GGATGGATCTCTTCAGGGGCCCAAATGGAACATACAAGGCAATCAGCAGGATGTAAATGCGACACAAGAAATAAAACGCTGCAAACCACCTGAATTCATTTTTAAAGCACTTCTGGAAGTTGTCATAGTACAATCTGAAATTTTTCAAATAACGAAAGTGCTTTAAGGACCATGGTGTAAAGAGAAGAATCAACGGTATGAACATAACAAAAAAAATAATCCACAGGCAGGCAATGATGGTAAATGGTAAGTGTTCCTTCCAATCTCTTTTGAAGTCGATGTTACCATTTGCATACAGCACCCATCTTTCTTGTATGGGAACATAGTGAACAATGTTGAATGAAATCATGGTCACATTTGTGTAACACACAACCAACAGTGCAGAAGGCATGAGAGACATTCCTGTTTATGTAGCAGGCAGGGCGGCAATTTGCAATCTTGGCCAAAATCACCAGTATGAGAAGAACATACAGTGGAAAAATGTACTTCACACCAAGTTTCTGAAGGTTAGTCATTCCTTTGTAAAAGCAAGTTCCAGCACCATTTATTTCCCAGTTAGCAAGACCAATCACAAAAGAGATGAAGGGATCAAGTTTTTGTCCTTCTTGAAGAAGAAACAAAATAATTTGATAAGAATACAGCCAGGTGTTGAGGTATGTGGTGAAGATGTCCAAATTGATCCGAAACACCATTAGGACCAGCACAGGTGTCACAAAAAAGAATACCAGAGAAAGTAAAATGTGGACATTTGTACATGATGGTCTGCACTGTTCATTGCCTAAATTCACAGAGTAGCCATGTTTGCATGCTCCACACAGAATGCTTGTACCATCGCGTCCTTTAGTACACATTGTTTCAGGACTGTATCGGAAAGTTGGTTTACGTTCAGAGAGATTACAGTAATATGGTGGACAAGGGTATGTGCTGAATTTATTGTCTTTTACTCCACCCCAATATCCTCTCTTTAAGAACACATACTTGGCATCTGAACTACAGTTTGAAATACCTGACTCAACAGAGCTTGAGATACAAGAGCAGGTCTTGCTATCTGTCTGCTCAAATCCATCATTACAATGTTGTAAAGTCAATTTCCCTTTGGAAGAACTCTGCACAACACGACCCACAACAGTGCTGAGTTGAATTTTAAATGGACGTTTTACACCTCCAACAAGATGCAAGCTGTTGATCTTGGGATGATCTCCAAGCACTAGAAACAACTTAGAAGCTGTTCCAAGTTCAACATTGCCTTTGGTATTTTGACTGTGTTCTTCAGTTATGGTTACCTTAACAACACCCAAAACAGAACTATTCTTTTCATCAATTAACTCAACAGTTGGGTCAAAGACTTCACTTGGAGAAACCATCCACTCATTTTCATTGAACTCGATTAGGACTGGATCAGTAGATATTTGTGCTTCACTGCTCTTGTTTTCATCCCGATATAGAATTGTGTCTTCCCACTCCAGAGTTCTGTGGTTTATGCGAGGTTCTCCATCTTCACGGCATCCTTGAAGAGTGGAAGCATACACTGAGTCTCCACCACCTGTTGCTACTACCAGATTACCCTCAAAAACTATTTGAGTTTGCCATTCCGTGATATTCTGTAGACTGAAGCTGTGGTTATAGGCAAGGAAACACTGTCGTGTCTTAAGCTGAGTTGTATTGAAGGCCACCACAGGAGGACCAGAGTCTTTCACATAAATAGCACCACCTCTCTTTTGAGCAGTGTTGTTAAAGAAGTGAAGGGTGCTGTATGGCATAAGCATTAAGAATGAAAGGCCATACAATCCTAGTGCACCCCCCTCCCCTCCTGTGTTATTTCGGAATGTCACATGACCAAAAATGTACAGCACAACATTCTCAACCACCATTGCAGTATTGTCATTATGTTCAATGTACACAACTCCTTTAAAAATGACTGGTAGGGAGTAGGAATAAATTGCTCCTTGGCCAATGACTTTTTCATCTTCTGTCAATATTATGTGGTTTTTTGTGACATTACAGTCCTCAAGAACAACAACATAAAGTTTAGGTCCTCTTGTGACAGAATTTGGGAGACCATTTACTGCTGCCTGTGTAGACATTCCAATAGCAGAACCCATTGTTGCTGTGTTGTTCCTCCAGGTACAGTTTTTGTATTCTATATAAAGCCCATCACCATTGCCTTTGAAAAAAGATTGCCATTCATAAAATGATACTCCTCCTCCTAAGATGGCAGTATTGTTTTCAAACTTGCAAAGTTCATACTTCATTTTGTTTGGAAGTAACCCTAGCTGATGGTCTCCAGCAGTGGTACCACTTCTGATGCCTCCTCCAGCATACGTAGCATTGTTGTTATGAAACACACAGTCTGTTACTTCAAATGTGTTGTTTTGCACTTTGTCATGAAATTCTATGAAAATCCCGCCACCCCAAATGGCAGTATTTTCTTCAAACTGACATCTAGTCACATGAATAACATTATTTTCTGCTTTCCCATTGACAAATATAGACAAACCTCCTCCTCTTCCAAAGGGAATGTGATCATCCCCAATTGGAAGTTTGACTATTGTTTCATACTGTTGACTTGGTGCACAATTCTTTTTGAACGTACAGTTGTAGAAAGTGTAACTACTGTTGGTGTCAAACTGAGCCAATGTTGTTGAATTGAAATCAAAGGGAAAAGTTCCACCCCTGTAGGTTAACTCCATGTAAATGCCACCTCCTGCAATTGCTACATCTTTTTCATCATCTTTTAAGTTATCCGGCCGATTGTTCTCAAACCGAGAATGTGAAATACGAACCTCACCACCAATGTCGTACATGTTAAGTCCAATTCCGGGACTGTCGACAATATTGCAGTGGTCGATAACAATGTGTTTACAGTACACCAGAAAAACAGCTGAATAAAACTCGATGTGGGGATATTTAAAATCTCTGCCAGTGGTACTTGCATGCAGTCCGCCACAGCCACGCAGCAAGATTCCGCTCAGAGTAATATTGTCGCTGTTTTCAAAGGATAAACTGCCATTATTCCAGGGGCATTCGATGGAAACTATCGAGTACGGATCGCCAACCAATTCGAACCCGTGCAAATTCATGAAGTCAAAATGCTGGCTGAGATTGTACGGCTTCTCTCCAGCTATTAGCTGCACAAGAGTTGAATTAATTACATGAGCTAAGGCATAGTCTAAGGTATTACAAGGAATTGTTTCATTCCAGCAAGAGCTCGTGTCCACTCCACCATGTTGTGATACTGTAATTCTTCTTTTCCACGTCAATTCTGCACGCAGTGATGGGGCAACTGCTAAAAGGCAAATAAAAGGGATAAAGAAAGAAATTAAAGACACAGCCATCGCGACCTTACGCCCGTATCACTGGTTGTTTTCTTCTGATGCAGTCGGTTAATTTCCAACTTCGCATGTCAACTTCCTCGTTTTCACAGAAATCCCAAACGATGAGTGGCGTGACTTTCGTGGAACTTCGCTGATAAACCACGCCGGCTGAGTTCTTGCACGTTCTGCGGTCTGTCATCTCAATCAGATCTGTCATCAATTTTTATTGAGGGCATTGGCCATAATCATGGATCAAACGCACACGATGTGGTTCCAGGGGCAAATTGGCTCCAATTTCTCCAAGTAAAAGGTTTTTCTCGTTAGCTGCTGTTTTTTTTGGAAGTCATTCAACGACGCATATCGCAAGAGTGCGTGACATCTAAAAACGGCTTTGACATGGACGCAAGAATTCAAGAGCTTGACTTTTCGCGCGTTTATGGAATCAGCATTTTAACGAAATAAGTTATCCTTTCCCTTTTCCCTTTCTTTTGCATCAAAAATATCGAGTAACAGAAATCTGCCCTGTATTAGGACAGAGATCTTGCACTTCATTCGGTCGCGCTAGTCTTCTTAGTGGCCGTTGATAGGGATGTCACGGTCAAGTTTGAGGGTTTAAATTTTAAAGTTTAAAGTTTAAATTTTCTGGCATTTTTTAGCAATAAAAGTGGCATTGCCGAATCAAACTTGGAAAAGAATACGTACGAACTTAGCGTTTCGTATTTTTATAAAATCAGACGTCATAAGCTGGTTGGGTTGTTTTTGTTTTGCGTTTTGAGATGAACATCCCGTAATTCCCAGAAAAGGTCAAAAGTTCCATTAAGACACCTAATCCATGGTTAATACTCCTAAACATGTTTGAAAATAATGGGTATTATTATAAGATAATTTTCTTGCCTTAGATATAATAAGAAGGCTACAGAACCCGTTCATCACTACCAAGGTTTTGTTAGTAATTCTCCTTTCTTTCTGCCATATGATTATTTTAATCTTACTTCGGAGAATTTTGTATCGGATCAACTGATGATCTCCTACCGCGCGCGCACAGAAAAGAAAGAAAAACAAAAAGGCTTTACATGATGAAGAAACCCTCTCAGGTTTCGTAACCATAGCATTCCACAGCTACGATGAGCACGGGTATAGTTGATTCATTTTTAATATTCCTTGCTTCAGTATCAAAATATACAAATTTCTTTCAATATTCTAAATCGCTTTAACTAGTACGGGTTCCCAATATAAAATATGGAAAATATATCTTTCTTTCCATTGATATAAAATACTCCTACAAATTGATTATTAGACTAAAGAATTCCTATTAGAAAGGTATGTACATAATATTTTCCTAAACAATTTTCAAGTTTAGCTCGTCGGGACTCGTCTGACCCCGTGACCCCCGAAGGAGAGAAAGGTCACTATTTACCGCCTGTGGAGGGGGAGGGGGGGGGAGAAAGGGGTCAGAGAATTTTGGTTGTGTCATAATAAAATTTCCTTAATGCCCCTGATGTTATAAAATATTCTACTGATTCCCCCCCCCCCCCCCCCCCCACACTGGCAGTCACTTTTCCATAGTCCCCCTTCATACTCTTTTGGCGACGACTGAACCCCTCTCCACTCCCCATGAAAACTAAATGATATCCCATTCAAAAGCCTTCGACCCCCACCCCCCCCCCCCCCCCCCATTATTCCACTGATGATAAATCATGACCGATCCGTAAAGGATCCTGGAGACTAAAAGACAATGATCGCGATTCCGCTCCGGGTTTCATGTGATAAAACTTAGTAGAGACTACTTTCGTCTCCGGAGAAAATTCACCGCTGTTGTCGATAAATCAAGGGGCTAACATTAACAAAGCATAGAGAAAATCAGCTGATGTTCTTGTAACAAAGGATCTTTAATTTGTTTATCGTTGCTGAGTGGTTACTTTACCCTGGGAAAACAGGATTCCTCCAGCTTTTAATCAAAATTTTGCCGTGTGAAGGGAGCTTAGTGATCCGGGGTTTATTCGAGATGCGATATGCGTTAAATCGACAGAGAACACTTAAAACCACACATCAATCTATATTATTCATTCACTGAAGCACATTCCTTAGTGCTTTTTTTTAGAGCACCCTAATTTGAAGGGAAAAAAAACGGAGCTTCGATTGCTGATCAGAAACTAACGATATACTCATTTCTTTCGGGGTCTACCGAGCTCGCTTTTTTTGATGATATTGGTCTCAGCTTGATTATCGTTCCCATTCCCTTCGCCGTCGTTAGCATATAAGGCGTGGGGTTCATGCTCGTCGGTTGAGACACGAAAAAGCCCCTTGGTATTATCCTTAGACTGAGCCTCATAGGGGGACATCATCGCAAAACGATCAAGCTCCGCATCCCCTATTGGACCCCCCGTGTCGAAATTATTTCCCATACTTATCCCCCCACCAGCGTTTTCACTGGGAGATTCCACAGCATTAGACACCCCGAATTGATCGTTCAACTGTAACGGAGCTCCCATACCACCTCCAGTCATAACCATCCCGTAGTCCCCACCGTCCGACATCCCATCCCCCATTGTCATGCCTCCCACGGGAGCCCCGCTCGGTTCCATGGAGCCAACATTAGTCGGGGATCCGGGTTCCGGTTTTGAATCTTCCACAGGATTTGGTTCATCATTACTGTCTACCTGTTCGGAGTCCAGGGAGCTGTTTCCCCGGGCTGACTTCTTCAGAACGAAGTTCAGCTCTTTGGCATCTCCCTCGGTTACTGTAACATCCTTTGATAAGGGCTCGTATCCCACGGCCATGGCGGTGACTTTGTAGCCCCCAGGGAGAAGAAGTCGCCAATAATCCCCATCTTTTGCAGTTATGATGTCTTTTTTACGATTGTCAACGCGGATATGTGCACCAGGAATTGGATTTCCTTGGCCGTCCTTTACAAACCCTTTCACCCCTTTGTGTACCTACGTACAACAAAGGCAATAAATATTATTTTCCACGAAATCTGCGAAATCGGCTGTCACTGACACTTGCAAGAATGTTTCTGGCTACATAATTTTTATTAATTACAGAAAAATATATTTTTATGAAGCTGTTCAAATAAAATAGTATCCCAACAGTAAAAAGTTTTGAAGGCACATTTTCTGGTATCTTAATGTCAAAAAAGTAACTTGAAGTGGATTTATTTTAAACTCAGTTAGAAATTATTGAGTTCAATTATTCAATTCTTTTTCACGTTTTTCTAAAACTCTTTTTCTTTAATTTTTTATTTAATTTGATCCTGAGAAAAGTAATTTGATAAAATCTGTGAGTCTTTATGAATGCCAATTGACCGACCATACCAAACAAACAAACAAAAAAGTTTAAAATGAAAGCAGTTGGTCCGAACAGTCTTCACCAAAGCAGCTGTTGCTTCGACATTCCTTATTTTTCACTCACAACCGCCACATACCTGATCAATAAAAGCTATTAGTGCTCGTTTGTTTTCCTCCCAGTCCTTAGGTAATTGGCTTGCCTCTGGGAACTTCTTACAGCCTTGTTCTATGGTTATCTCGAAGCAGTTTGAGTGCATGTAGTTATAATCCTGCATCCCCCCTGACACGCTGTACCAAGCTGCTCCATTTGTGACACCATCATTGAAGTGATCCGGGGGGACTTCAGGGCAAGGCCAGGGTGGATTCTTAAGGTGCATAGTTGGATGCACCTCAGAATAGGATTTGGCAAGCTCTTTAAAGACGTCGTCATCTGGAGACTTACTGTACTCGCTCTGCCCAGTTGGACTGTCATCAAATGGGTAATTTGCCACTAAGGAGCCGCCATGGAGGTTGGCACTCAACACAAAGGGATACTCAGAGATCCATTTCATCACAGCTATGGTCTCGATTTGAGGCGGTCCCGTCACGCTTTTAAAAAACTGGTCAGGAAAGTTACGGTTCAGATCAACATTGTTCGCATTGCTTCGTCCGATAATCCAATCCTTCCTGTTCTCACCTTCTGCTGCAAGCTCGTAGCCGTCCGGGTTCATACTTGGCATCAAGTGAATACGAGTGGTGTCAACCATTTTGGTGAGATTCGCATCACGGCCATAATTTTCACAGAATGCTTTCGCCAAATGCAAAAGAAGTTCGCGTCCCACAACTTCGTTACCGTGCATGTTAGCAACGTATTTGAACTCTGGTTCACCGGGCTCATGTTTGCCCGGATTGTCAGAGATTTCCACGACCCAAAGTTTTCGGCCTTGCACCGATTTTCCAATGCTGTAGAGACGCGTGATTTTTGGGTACTGTCGATGAAGATCTTGAAGATAAGCGGTCATTTGATCGAAATTATGGTGCGTCCAGTCGTCGTCGCCCAGCGTGCGTGTTTTTGCACTGGGACGTGAGAAAACAAGAGCCACCCGCAAATAAATGAAATATGCCACCAGAAGCAGTATTAATCGCTCCATTGTTCCAGATACACTGCACGCAAAGCTTTTTTGCGAGGAAATATGAAGATCTTCGCTCTAAACTCCTGGCAGTAACTATCCCGTCCTTAAGTTAAAGCTTCTTAACCATAAGCACCACCCTCCATCACGTCATTTTTCGAGCTTTTCCTTTTCTGATGCACACGAGCTAAAAAGCGAAACTGACCGGCTCGGACACGGTCTGTGATTGGCTGATCGGCTGAAAATGTCACGCAATCATTGAGCTCAGTTGCAGGTTGTGTTTACTTTCCTCTCATGAAGTGACTGAACCTGATTGAGTGTTCAAACCAAAATAAACAGGTCTCTGGATTTAGCTGTGACTACAAACATTACTCCGTCCCCTCTTGAAACAGTTTCGTCTCATTGGTCTCTGTTCAATTGGGTGTTAAACTTTTAGTAGATTTCCGTCGCCACGGGATTGTCTTGGAAGGGAATTTTTGTTTTCTTATATTTTATCTTTCTCAGATGTCAAATAGTTTGGAGGCTGAACTTCTCGTAGAGAATTTTGAATTTAATAACTTCAAACTGCGAGATAATTTGGCAATTGGAACAATGGTAAAGCTGTGAGAGAAGAAAGACAGAAGTTGGAAAAGGAAGAAAAATTAAGGAGAAAACCGACTACTTCGTTTGAATTAGTATCAAACTTTGATCCACCTAATTTCTTTTTCATGTCGTGAACAAAAATCAGACATTAAGAGACGACTTCAGAAGCAAAACAAAGAAATAACCTTCACTTTATACAAATTGAGGAACAAAATTTGTCAAAAATCTTGAAGTCAATTCGCACGATTGATAATGATTAACATCCACTCGAAAATAATCTCAATTTCTGCGATAATTTAATTTTTTTTCGCTTAATAGTAAGTGACCGCTACAAAAGGAGTTTGCACCAAATAACTTATGCATACCACATTGAACGACCATAAAACTATGTGCTTAGTATGTCAACACGACGCAGGGTTGACATTCAATTAAAAACCGTTCGCAAAAATAAAGGCTATTTACAACTAAAAAACAAAAGGCGTATTCATATACATGGTGAAGCTTTCTAAGTGCATGTGTTTACTAATATCCAGGCATTGACGGAGGAGCTTCCTGAGAGCTTCTTCGCTGCATTTTCTCTCGCTTTCTTTCACCTGGCGGCATTAAACTATGAAGCAGTTCACCCCAGTGCATCTCTTCTTGATTCAGTACTGTATACAAATGCAGTCATTTCCTCCAGCGGAAGGACATGCAGCTATTCCAAGTTATCTTTGTGGCAGTTAGACCTACTCATCATGTAAATACTCGTAACGTTGCGTAAAAGTTAAGTAATACTCTTTTACTGACTTCAAACTTCACCTGAGTAGCGAATGAACCTCGCGTTGTAAGAAACTCATACAAACTTTCATGCATAAATAACATATTATACAATCTCATCACAGTTAAAAGCAACTGACGTTTAGCCAACAATTTATAGATATACCTCTTCTTTATTTAAGTTTGAAATGCTCTCGAACTTAGAGACAAGGCTCCGAAAGGTAATTGTTTCATAATAAATATTTTATAAAAAATGACATGTGATTTGTACTCTGGATGATGTATGTTAGAGCAAAATAAGGCTTTGAAATTTTTAAGTCACTTAGACAAGGAACCAGTTATGGAAGACTACGAGGGATGTGTTTCAAAGACTTTATCATCAAGCCATATAAAAAAGGGTACATGGAAATATGATTTGAATCCGCATAAATACGACTATGATTTAGGTTTTTGAATTAAACTTACAGACGCTGCGGCTGCTTTCTGCGAGAAAACTTCAGCTGGATTAAACCAAATCATCTAAAATGACAAAATGTTCAACTGAGTGTCGAAAGTAATTCGTGATTGCTCTGGTTTAACTGAGCTTTGCTCTGTGATTGGTCCAGAAAACTCGCATTCTCTCAACCAATTAAATGCAAAAAACCATCGCAACTTGGTCACCTGCGTTTTCCCGCGCTTCAAGCAGTTTGCTTTTTTTCGCTTTGAATTCTCATTGGTTAATGATGATGTAAATCTTTGTTCTGATTGGTCGCTGGGAATACTTTGGTTTCAGTTTTTCGACACTCAATTGAAAACTTCTTTAGTAGTTATAAATGTTGTGGGTTAATTTCATCGCTGCTTTCTTTCATCTTTGTTTCAAGCCCATGTCATAGGAAACTGAACCAAAAAAACAATATCTCAAGCAGTGATAACACCAAGCCACAACATCCACAGTACCGACTGCAGTATAGAAACGATTCAGAGGAAAAATAACTGCGCAGAAGTGTGCTATAAGGGTGTTTCTTCCAGTTTGTTTAGATCCGGCACCCGACCCCCGGACTTGCTAAAATTCTCCTTGGGGGGTGTCAGCGGTTTCAGTCCGTTAAAAGGAGTACCTAGCTTCAAGTCTCGATCCTCAGTCGTCGCCTCATTTTCAGAAGGAGGTCGCGACGCTTTTCTTGGTAAAGGCGCTAAATGTTCGGTCGACGGGCTGACTGGTCGGTCAGGAAAGGTAAAATTCCCTGGCTCTGATAAGGTATGTTTTTGTGAATGACCTTGTAGAGAGAAAGCCGATTGTCCCCTCCAAGGTGACAGAGATCCTAGGGGTTGAGAATCTGGGCTTTCGCGCTTGGCCGGTGGTTTGCGCGTCGGGTACGTGTTGTGTGTTAAATGAGCTAAGTTCTTGTGTTGGAGAGGCTGAAGGCGAACTTCTCCAAGAGGTTTGTGAGATGAGCTGACTGTAAGCGGTCCGAGGTGTGTTACAACCTGTTTGAAGGAATGAGAGAAGTCGAGTGTGTTATCGTCCAATTAAATGCAAGCTCATCCCATTGGGTTTCCGACTGAAGGATTGCTGACACCCTTAAAAAATACACTGGCTCTTGTTAACGAACCATTAGTTGAAAGACGTTGAGCGTTAATCTTCTAAATATATTACAAAATTACTTCAGTCTTCAGAAAGAGAGAAGGCCAAACGATTAGCGAGCTGGTACACTGTGATCAACCATCTAATCGCTCACGTATTCTTACAGAAAAAAAAAAACTTTCCAAGGATATTATCGTAAAACAACAAATTCGTCTTTTTTTAAATTATGTTTTCAAGAAGTCACACTACAGATTTCTGGAGGGAACTCGTTAATAGATAAGAAAAGCTAATGAGCAAGTCAAACCCTCAAAAAAGACTTTGTTCGCTTTCAAAAAGACGTACGCAAAAAGTTCTCCACAAGGCCTCGTCTTAACTTGTTCCCCTCGCTTCCCTGGCTGAAGTCTGAACAGATTTTCAAAGGAAAATGAATTCTGCTCGAGAAAATTCACTGAAGCAACTCAAATCACCTAATAATCCTACAGTATTGTCTTATTTCAACCTTACCGTATCAAGACAATTCTGAGAAACTTACCTTGTCAGCAGAGTTCATTTTCCCTAGGCTTTTATGAGGACGCATATCGAAGGACTGAAAAAGAAGATAATTGATCGATTTTGTTTTTAATCAATATAAACCAACATTAAAGCTGCACGAGAAAAGAAAAATCAACGTCACACCTAAAACATGCTCCAAACGGTTACGTTGAATGAGTGTTAGGAGTTTACCTGTACATCAGCACTTCTACTCCAGTCCGCCATTTTACTTAATTCACTAAAGGCAAACAAACAAGAAAAAAATGAAACTCAACCAAATTGAAACTTACCTTTGTTTTGTTGATAAGCATGAAATACAAAGTAGACACGCAAAAGACATTTCCCCTTAAAATATCCTTTAATCTTACACCAGGCAAATGATGAAGACAGAGAAAAAAAACTATCATCTCTTTTTCCGTTTGGTTTTACTTCACTACACATTCTCAAATTACATTCGATGAATGCATTGTCTCGAAGAAAGAGAAGAGGACCACTCATCCAAAAATTTGAAACGGAGGCTCACACCAGATTATTCAGTCCGAAGAGTGACTCATTGAACGGTGATTTGTTTGGATTTCAAGATTTCTTCACAATTAAAAGTGAAACAATCTTGGTATTAACTACAAGCAGTCATCAAGTTTATTGTGTCCACTTACCCCTGTGATTCTAGGTGATGAAATTGCTTTGACTGCACCGGTAGGCTAACCACCTGGGAAAAAAATTAAGATAAGACACTTCCGTAAGCAGTTTAAGCGTCCGCAGAGAAAAAGATACACACAAGTCAATCGATTTTAACCCATTCATCGACACCAGGAGCATATAACCTTGGTTCAGATAATTTTGCTTCTGTTACAACCGATCGATGAGACTTTCTTTCAGTCTGTCGTGCCAGGTTTTATCTCGCATTTCGTATTTGGTTTTTTGTGACTTTTTTGTCTCCAAGTTGAGCATTCGCAGATAAATATGTGGAATCGTCATTTACAGGAGACTTAAGTGATAAGGTTTGTATGACAACGTCAGTATCAAAAATGAACAACAACCTTCAATTTGCGGCATCATAATTTGGAAATGGCTAGAAATAATTGTTGAAATTTACTCAGTGGTGGGCCTAGCCCCAAAAAGAAAATCCTGAAGTGGAGAAAAAAATCTATCGAGGGTTTCCTGAGACTGTCCCTTAAAAATTGTTTAACAAGATTTCCACATGACAATTTCGTATTAAAGGCGAACGATTGCCACGCCATGCCATGTCCACTACTTCAAACTTCAATTCAATCTTTTCGTCAACTGCAAAGGAGGAGAGTTGGTTTTTAAGCACATTATCAACGCTTTGGAAACTGTATCCAGCCACCTTAAATCGATCACCGAAATGAATACTACACCGGGCACAGTCGTGCGCAAGTGTACACAGAAAGAAGCAGTTCTCACTGTGATAAGAATAATAACAAGGGATAAATTCCACAGACCTGTTGCACTTTTTTCTTCTTTTTCTTTTTGTCCCTTTTGTCTTGTCCTAGAGAGTTTCTTGGTTGGTTTTCTTCACCACCAAAGTCTTGCCTCCTGAGTGAATTACAATTCAAATCAACAATCATGAACACAATAAAAGAGGTTAAAAATCATTATGCAAGGGAATTTGCCGGATCTACGCCCTGAGGAGGTAACTTTTTAAAATCATCCTCACTGTTTTATTAGAAATCAGTCACACCCTTGAAAAAATACAGCTTCCCTGTACGGGCGAGGAACGCCAATTCTGTGCGTGAACCATTTCGTTCCAAGACTTGGGATAACAAGTATAAATAAATTTCTGCTGTAGCTGAAATGTTTGAGTTGGCATTACCATTGTGTATCTTGACGCTGTTTAACAAGCGACACCCCGTGCTCCAAAGTTGATGAGGGTAAGTCTGATTTTGAACCTCTTCTTTCTGTGTTCATTCCCATTTGGAAGGAATAATTCGACTGGAGAGCTTCTTCTCGACTGGACGCAGCGGCATCTGATGAAAAAGGAGAAGGCACGGGAAACTCAGGCATGGTTTTTAGAAAAGCAGACACAACTAGCATGTAACGAAATAAATTTGCTAGAGTACACACAACCGTCAATTTCTACACTTACCTGTGAAAACCGTTTTCCCTCCTTGCCTATCATGAATTCCCTTCGCTTTTTGCAGGTCCATGGTCTGTGAATAAAACATAACCCACTTACACGAGTCAAAAGAGAACCTTTTTTTCAATGCCTTAAGGGATTAGTGCTCAAACTTCGGGTTACGGATGAGAGAGCTTACACCGACAGCGGTATTCTCTGAGTCGCCGGGGGTGGGGGGATCTGGAGGAATGTTTCCTGTCCCATTTACAGTCGGGGAAAAAAAGTTCCAGAATCTGGTCTCTATTACGGCGTTAAGTAGGAAAGGTTCTCCTTAGGAGTATTCTGTTTCTAAGGCTGAAGAAAAATTCGACCTCGATTCACTTCCCTCCTGTCACTTGCTTGTCAGTCACCTCAAAAGAAAGAAAACGACCAGAGGACGCCGAGAGCACCTAGAAGGTTATTGTGAGCCTAGAGCTTGCATTAACATGTCATGTGATCTCTTACGTCCGACTCTATACATTACAATAAATGCTGTACCTCACGGGCGTAACATTTCATACTGTGTTTCACAAGGTCACATTCACAGGCCACACAAAGACTATCAGCCACGTAAAACAAAAGTCTGCATTCTTAGGACCCATGAAAAGAGTTAAAGAGTCACACACCTCATTGCGTGACATGAGCGGCTGCTGAGGCCTAGACTTTACAGAAGCGGAGCCGTCCCGGTCCTTTTTCTTGCCAAGGATCACAGACTTGGTTTTTCTGATTTCTTCGGCGATTGTTGCTGAGCCATACGGCAGCTAAAAAATGTAAACATGATTTAAAAACCAGTTTCTTTTCAAAGGCTTTCGCCTACAAACCTGTTACCTTTTTGGACAATTCAGATTCCGCAATGCTTAATTGCTGGCTTCTTCAGACACTTTGATTAAAAAATAAAAATAAAAAAATATTAACACAAATTGAAGAAAACGGCAGAGACTCCTTACCTTTGTATTCTTTGAGTGGTCAACCTCAGAGTCCTCATTATCTGCAGGGAAGAAGCTGTAATTAGCAGCCACAAGATGGCTGGTGCTAACACCAGTGCTGGTCTTTGCCTTTGCCCTTCCTTCTTCTTCTGTAACACTAGTCTTATCGCTTTGAGCGAGATTAGTTCTTTCCTCAGTTTGAGAAGTAGTTGCTCTTGCTCCAGTTAAATTAGAATTACGAGGTTTAATATCTACAGAACTGTAAACAGTTTGTTTCACTGATAAAGGGGAATTCCCTGATCCCTTTGATATTTCAACGCTTGGCGCTGATGTACAACTTTCAGACTTCTCGGAGTTTTCAATATCAGAAGTTCTATTTTTGTCTGATGAATCATCCTGCTGATTACTGTCCTTTGGCCTTTCTTTAGCAACCATCTGCTGCATGACGAGCTTCTTCTCAGCACTAAAATCTTTGCCAAGCGGTGGATTACCGTGCGAATTTGGTTTTATGTCTTGTGTTTTCAACTCTTGTAAGCTCTCCACTGCCGTGATACCCTGTGATGAGTATCCTTTATGTGAAAAATATCTTGATTTGGTTGGAATTTCGGCCTTTTTCGCAGCCTGTTTGAGATCTGTACTCTTCTCTTTCCAGGTTTTCTCAAACTCGTCTCTTTCCTGTTGAAATGCTGGGTGATTGTAAGCATCATCTATTGTAAATCTGAGCTTTGGATCCAACTGTAACGTTGCCTAAAGATCAAGCATTTTGAAATAAAAATCTTGGCATTTTCTCCTTGGAAAAAGCAGCATTTTTATTCCAACACCACTTAAAACTGATCACAGATGTTGCAAAATGCCCAAGAAAGAGAGACAGACAAGGGAGGTGGGGGGGGGGGGGGTTGGGGTCATCCAATACCTAGAATAAACAAGGGTGTTGCAGGTAAAACAAAAACAATAAATTACATGAAAATTTAAAAGGAAAAAGGGAGGGATGGGGAAAGGAGAGGAAGAGAGGGGGGGAGGGATGGGGATGGAGAGGAAGAGAGGGGGAAGGGATGGGGGAAAGAGAGGAAGAGAGGGGGGAGGGAGGGGGAAGGAGAGGAAGAGAGGGGGAGGGAGGGAGGGGGAAAGGAGAGGAAGAGGGGGGAGGGAGGGGGATGGAGAGGAAGGGGGGGAGGGATGGGGAAGGAGAGGAAGAGAGGGGGGAGGGGGGAGGGATGGGGGAAGGAGAAGAAGAGAGGGGGGGAGGGATGGGGAAAGGAGAGGAAGAGAGGGGAGGAGGGATGGGGGAAGGAGGGGAAGAGAGGGGGGAGGGATGGGGAAAGGAGAGGAAGGGGGGGGAACGAGGGGTCATCCAATATCTAGAATAAACAGGGTTTTGCAAAGGGCAAAAACAAAATCAAGATAACAACAATAATAATAATTGTGAGCATTAATGATGTCTGTGCCACCTGGTGATCTCTTTGACCCTTAAGCTCTAATAAGTTATTCTCCCTCACAGTTGCTATTTACAGAACTTGTATTTCCTTGCAAATCAGTTTACTTCATCTTAATCTCAACACAAGTTCACCCAGGGATATAACTTAGATGAACACAGTTACAAATAAACTGATACTTTGGGAGAAGTTGCAAGTTTATAATTTCTAGGAGGAAAGGGGTCATGTCAGGTCTGCCAGCTCCATTTCCCAAGTTCCTTCTACCTCACGGCTAATCCCCTACCATAAGTCTGTTCAAGGGCTGCACTTCTAACATGATTGAAACTGATTTCTGACAAAACTCACTTGCATGAAGCTTAGCATGATTCCACTAATGACTCCAGCATATTTCCTTCCTAATGTCTGAGGGCCGCTTGTTGTTGGAAACTGTTGAAAGAAAAAATTACAACTTGTTTATACTATAAATAAAATCAACTATGTACATTTCTCCACAATGAATAACCACAATGAATAACTACAGCCTTTTTTACCAAATTGTTTATACTCTTTCACAAGTATTACAGGTCCAAACAATAATAACATTTACATCACACATACATGTAGGAAGAATCAAGAAAAATGGATAACATAGAGAATTATGTTGTGGTTTGGACTAAAATTTTCATATTAGATAAACTTTGATTTTTCTTTGTTTTAGATCTATTAACAATTTATCTGAGACTGAGAAAAACAAAATTAAAATGGTTATAGCTAGAACAAAGTTGGCCTAAGACAGATTTTTACATAATCAACAACATTCCTTCACACTGTAGTCTCCAAAATCAATGAATTTTAGGGCAAGCATATGTGAAAAAACACAAGTTTCATATTTTTAGTACATTGTAAAGATTAGAGCACATTGTCCAAATCATAGGTATATGAAATAGTAAAAAACAAACAACAAAACTACAATTCTACACAACATTTTTCAGGTTTGTTAAGTTTTCAGCTGCCCAACAAAGCAGAAAAAAAAGATGATACCTTGAGTCCTTTGAATCTAGGATTGTTGTTGAACATTTCCATTTGATCTGGGGGAAGCTGACCCAAAACCTAATGCCACAAACACAGAAACACAGAAATCAAGCCATTTTTAGTCAGTTATATATGGGAAAACCACAGTTCTTACAAAACTCCCACATCATTTGACAGATTTATGTACCAACCTTTTGAATTGTAAACAGCTGGTCTATTTCACTTTCTCCTGGAAAAACAGGCTGTCAAAAACCAAAAATAAGGAAAAAACAGAAAGGAAAATTGAAATCAAGAATTCTCCCTAAAAAGACTTTCCTACAACTTATAAATCAAATCAAAACAGTGGAGTCATTATCAAATTGGTTGGGATGGCATTCATCTGGTAAAATCCTATTCAACCATTAACTCGCAAAAGTTTCAAATTTGTACAATGGTCACAGCACACTTACAAAAAAAAAGGTGATGCTAATTAACATGTTCAGAAGTAAACCAGTTTTTTTTTGTTTCCCAATTTTGTGAAAACACCCAGGAAATTTGAGGGTCCAGGCATCCCCTCAGGACTAAGGATATATGTATTCTAGAAAATTTACTCAATTTCCACCAACCTGCCCATCACTCAGTTCCCCAAGAATACAGCCAATGGCCCAGATATCAACTGGCTTACCATAAGAAGCCCTGCAAATTAGGTAGTGAATTATCAGAATCAAACATAATGTAATGTAAAGTATGTAACAATATACTGGGTCATTTCATGCAATATGCAACTACACAACCTTTATGCCTCAGATTTTCCCTCTGCAAAATAATGTAACATTACACTGATGAATGAAAAAATAATTTTCCATTTTCTACACCTACCCTAAAAGCAGTTCTGGTGATCTGTACCATCGAGTTGCAACATAATCAGTAAACTGTCCACTGCCCTTAACAGTCATGGCTCGGGCAAAACCTGCAACAATAAGGTGGTGAACCATTGAAAAATTCCTTTCCTGAGTTACTTCAGACTTATATGCCACATTCTTTTTGCATTCTATGGCATTATTAAAATTTCCAATTGTTTGAACTTACCAAAGTCACATAGTTTAAGAACCCCATTCTTACTTATGAGCAAGTTTTCTGGTTTGATATCTGTTGACAGAGAAAAGGAAGAAATTAGAGAATGAGAAGCAAAAGGATGGAATAAGTAATCACTTCAAATGGAACAAATTTTGAACAAATTGTATGTTAACAATCTGAAAGTGTTCAAGATTTGTATTATGATACTACTTCTGTCATTAGTCAGAGTACCTCGATGAATGACATCATTCTGATGGCACCACTTTATGGCTTTAATGAGCTGAAAAACATAGTTTCTAGAAGGAGGAAAATGGAAAAGAAATGTTATCAATGAATAAGAGGGAAGTTAAAAGTTTTAAGTTTGGGTTCTATGCCATGTCTTTTCAAGTTCGCATGAAGCTCACCTGACTTGATTTGACGGAACTCCATTAGGCATTTCTTCTAGTAACTCAAGCATGTTCTGTTCAATTAAAAGAGAAAATCAAAGTAAAGCTGATAGACCATCCTAGCTACCGCTACACAGTATGGTTAAAGAAATGAATTTACAAATAAAAACTTCAAACATGCAAACTTACTCTCTCAACATATTCAAAAACTAAATACAGTTTTCCTCTTCTACGAAATGCTTCCCTGCAGAAAAGAAATAAAAGAAGTAAACAAAGGTGCTAAAGTAACAACCCTCTAACAACCATGATCTGATTCATAACTCTCCCTTCCAGTTGGTTTACATTTCCTTCTAAGTCAGTGACAAGAATTTGGAGCTATAACAGCTGGGATGGCACCCTCCATCTGATGATTTTGTGCATTTTAATTCACCTTGAGCAGAGCATTGACAGAAATTACAGGCATACAAGAGTTAGCTGTTACAGTTGTTACAGCTTTACAAGTTATCTCCAATGGTATTCGATAATCACAGATAATATTATACACCCCAATATTGGAGGCTTCAGAGAAAACAACCAGCCATTTAATTTGAGCAAGGTAAATAATTTCTGCTCCCGGAATACTTGAACTAAAGGAGAATCTTGAATTTAGAAGTTTTTTTTGTGAAGCTCACTAATTACTTTGAAAAGTTTTAATACTATTCATGACAACATCTGATCTCTCTATTTTGTCAAAACATTGCACAATTGATGAAGATATATCCCTCCTCCTGGATTAAGTATTAATGTATAAATAATCAACACTAACCTGAGTTCTACAATGTTTTCTTGCTTCAACATGCGAAGCACTTTTAATTCCCTCAGTGTTGTTCTTTTAACATCCTCATTTTCTGGTGGAATATGTCAAACACATGTACCAGAAGTTTAATTTAGAATAAATAAAACCATCCAACAAGATGGTTAGCAATAATTGACAGGTAAATGTCATTAAAAGGCATTCTTTGTTGAGATTGTGATTGTGGAGATTTCATCAGACAGCACAATCAGTGAAAGGAGTTCTGTCATGAATACAATAATAATGTCATAAGAGGTTTTGGCCTTAAACCACTGCCAGGCTCATGATTAACCCATACAACTTTACCATGGTTACTGCAACATTCATTAATTTCAAAACTGTCTAGGTGGACACTAGGTTTGCTTTAACTAAAGACCAACTTAATAAACCTTAGTGTCCTGAAATAAACGCAAATAAAATCCTCTTTTTTTTGCAAGCCAGATATGCATCAAAAATATATTATGATGTGAAATAATTGCACCAACCAGCTGTCACCAATAATTAACCACCTTCCCAATACAAATAATTTTAGTGCCCTTTCTTCATTCAACCAGGAGAAAGGTGCCAAATCAATGCAAACACTTAGTTCAGCAAATTGCTTATTAATGAATATTTAAAAAAAAAAAAAAGGTGATTGAATTTGAATATAGTTCCTATATTTATATCTTTGTGCCACCTGCATGTATTTTTACTTTGCATAAAATTTTCCACACCAACTTTATTTGTTTCTCTTTTCTTCAGATTATACCAAAGAGAAAAAGAGAAATAAAATTCATGCCGGTTTGGAAAATTTTTAACATCAACAAATATATGTCTCCATGGATGCTCACCTTCGCTGTCTTTGAATTTCTTGATGGCCACAATCTCATTTGTTTCCTGCAGCAGATTAAAAAAAGAGGATGCATCAGAGGGTTATGTCCACAAAGTAAACATTTTTTTATACTTATTGAAATGATAAAAATAAAGTGGTTGTTATTGTATGGTCTTCAAAATGTTTAGCTGCCTTCAGAGTCTTTTCAGAGCATGAGAAATATAAACCAGTATGAGGAAATCATAGAATTAATACCATTCTACTTTCAAATTGGATTCAAGATTGTCATAAGTTACTTTCAAGCCCAACCTCTTTCCAGTGGTTACCCTCTAACTTTAAACCTAAATGAAATCTCTAGACAGGAGTTACTAGTCATAATAAACAGTGTTCTCCCTTTTTACAAGCAAGATTTAAAACCAATAAGGCAACCCTTCAACCCATTGAACTTTTAAGAATTCTAAGCAATTTTAGGCAGTAATAAAAAGTATTACAGGCAGTGAATATTACTGTTTATAGCCTGAAAAGGAGAACACTGCCCAGAACAAAAACGTTGCCACTTGAATCTTCTATTTCTCAACAATATTTTATATTTTTATCATCCTTGCAAAGTAAAATGCCTACATTGATCCTGACCCATTTGATAACACTTTTAATAGAGAAATTTCTATTTCTCATTCAAGAACTTAAAGCCTTGTTTCTTTTCATTCATCTAGATAGTGGGGATCACTGTTCATGGGAAACTTATAGAGGAGACCATTGTATCATATATAGATACAAATACTATTAACATTATTATCCCAGCAACCTGCATCAGAGGGTTATGTCATCATAACCCTCTGATGTCTGGGTAGTGTTTCCATAACATTGTCCTAGTTGCCTCTAGATTGTTTATATGATGAATAGAGACAATCCTCGTGATCACATTTAGACAGTTGGAATAATCTCAGGTAAAAGGTTTGCAACTACTGTATGTACAGCAATATGTAACTTTGCCAGCTCCCTGCAAGAATTCTCCCCTTATGCTGCCATATTATCAATTGCCATGCAAATGTTGTGTTGGTTTTATGAGATTTTCCTTTGCAATGAGCCAAGCCGCTCCGCACTTCTGGAAAATCACTGGCACAAGAACACCAAACCCGAGCAACTAAACAAACAAATTATCCGAAAAGTAAACATGAAACACTGAACTGTTCGGGCTACCGAACGACTCCTTTTAGCATATTCTTGTATTGGCCCCTGGATTTTGAAGGACATCTCTCAAATATTGAGTGATTTGGTAACATGATCCCAGAAGGAAATATATCTATCAATTTACGTGCTTGATGAACCAGCAATCATCAGCCTGCTTAACCTTTATAACACGTTGATCTGTATATTTGATTTACTGTCATAGCTGAGCTGTGAGATGGAAAAAGAGCTTCCGTTACCTTGTGCCTGCATCTTAAAACCACTCCATAGGCTCCTAACAATACAGAAACAAAAACGGAGATGTTTAACTCAAATCTGAACCAGTTAAACCCATATTTAGCAATACAAAAACAATCATTTGCGGCACAAAACACTGTGGGTTTGACATTCCTTCAACCCAATTTTAATTTCATTACCATACGGATAATAACAAGCTTACATCAAAGACTACTTACCTTCGCCTACAACTCCAAGGACTTCGTACTTATTCATCTGTGTTTAACAGACATACTGTAGGAATATTTAATAATTGATCTTCGCCTGCCGTTAAAATAACGTGTATGTCGCTTCCCAAGAAACGAAAACATATCTTGTAAAGCATCTCCCATTTCAGGAAGTGCGTGTAGTGCGTTTTACAAATATCACCATGGGACATACAGAAAAATCCATCAATATTACTCTCAACAAAAGGTTGTCGTTTTATATGCCGAAAGTGTGTGGTTTTTGATACAAATTTTATCACATATTTTTCGTCACGGTAACCAACAAAACGAGGGTTGTTATTTCGTTTCCCATGATTCCCGCTAAGGGGTAACGACTGAAATTCCTTTCCGATGACGTAGTGTTCGGGTGACGTCGGGTAGTGCCCGGGTACGGGAGAAGTAAATTGTATCTCTTGTGAGTTCAACAAAACATACATTTGGGTTGAAAAAGCAGAAGGAAAATGAGCTTTCGTGATTTTGATGACGACAGAATCTCACCTATGCCTCAGATTTGATTACTGCGGTTTTCTCCCTTCGATATTCCACCAGTATAGGACAGTATATTAGAGAGATAATTCTTTACGATTTCTTCCCTGCAACTCCACACGGTAACATTAAAGTATAGTTCTCAATATCCTGAAAGAAACTAAAATCCATGAATTGCAGCACTGGGTAACCAGCAGGGCTATTAAACCTCCATCTACATTCTAAGAGTATTTTCTCCCCTTTTAATTTACAATAAGTAGTAAATTTGATGTGTGTTGTCTAAATCTATCCCTTCTTATTGCGCAAATCGGCCCCTGACTTCAATGTAGAAATCATGTCTTTTGTCATTTTATATTTGGTTTATCGTGAAGATGTTTTACTCCTTTGGTCCGTGAAATTCTTGCTCAAGTTAACCCTTTTTTACTCCTAATATCTCATTAGTAATTCTCCTCACTGACTACCATACAAGTCATATGGTGTTAGTTCTGAGAAGTTGGTTTTGGATCAACTATTTATCGCCTAATTGATAACTTTCTTTATTCCCATCACTTGTCTGCTCGGTGTTGTATTGATATAAATGGGAGAATTACTCTCTTGGTCACTCATGGGAGTTAATTGGTTAGAGGGAAAGAATATCATCCAGGTATCAGTGGGTATCAGTGAATTCGATATTCCCGCTTCAGCGCCCACAGTATGCACCACACCCAAGCTACGCATGCACAAAGTACTGTTGACATCTCTAACGAAATAAGCCTCTCGTGAAAGAAAAAACTTTGTTATGTGTCCCAATATAAGGTAGTTGAAAGGTTTGCTTCTCTTCGTAATCATCTTTTAGAGGAGGAGAAACAACATGTCGAGGGAAAATCTACACGTAAGTAACATGTTACACTTTGTTCAGGTATATTTTTTACTCTAAACCGATTATGGGTCTATTGTACGTTTGCGTTCATAGCCTGCTTTCCTAAATCTGTTCAGCGCTTTCTGTCAGATCTTTGACAAGCAGTGGATAATTTTGCCTGTTTTGTTGAGACAGTTGTAAGACCTTCTGTGAGAATTTGTGAGAAATGTTCGAAGGGAATGTGTCGTAAAATCACTTCGAACATTTGAACTTTGATGTGGCGTGGGGCGGAATTCTAATTTTGAGCATAACTTTCTTTTGCATGTTATTCCTCACTGAAATAGTGCCTTCTCTACTCTTGAGGAATTATCTGTGTCGTTGAAACTACTTATTCATTAGGGAATGGCTACCACTGTCAGAAATCCATCGAATTTAGCCATCATGAATCGCATACAGACGCTTCGATATGCATGAGTTGCATGTTTACAACCGTTGAATCAACCTTTAACAGATACATGAATGTCCGGATTTTTCAAGTGTTTATGACCGCAGGGTTTCTAGTTATTCCATCCGTGAAGCAATTATTGATATCATTTTCGACGCTCATTGCATTTTTTTTTACCTCTGTTGTGGCTTTATGATTAAATAAAAATTTTCAACGTTTTGTGTGAACGGTGCATAATTTTGCTAATACCCACAAAGAGGTGTGACTTAGCATACCGATATGATCGATTAGCAAAATTCTCTGGCGCTCATTTTCATCACGAAATTTTTGCTTGAAAGTGATTTTCAATTACTGTATCAGATATTGGGTCGGTTGTCAGTGATCCAACATCACCCACTAAATTAATTTAACTCATTCCTACATATGAGCCAACATCCATATTTTGAAGATATCATGCAAGTATCAAGAAGGAAATTACTTGATACTGATTTGAGAAGAACCAATTTTTTTGACATTTCTTATAAACCCAAGAGTTAAAATGCAAACTGTGCTCTTAATTTAAATTAAACTTAAAAGTATCAAGAACATTTTTAGTAAAACTTATGCTAAGACAAGATTTAAGGGAAAAAAAATTACTTTTAAATTGATGATACAAGAACCTATATGCAATGAGTTTGGGGGGGGGGGAATTGATAAATGATAATAAATTATCTTACTTTTTCAAACAGTTTTCTTAAGGAAAGGAAAGGTAATACATCATTATTCAAATTTCTTTTATCTAACATTATTCAGTTACAATCATGGTAGTACACTTAAGGCATTGTTTGAGTATTTAGTAGAACAATCTGATAACCTATCTGCGTAGGGCAATATCATAATTTTTAATGAATTAAATTTCATTTGACTTGGGAATGAAAATTAATTAAAGAAATGTTCCTGAAAAAAAAAGTTTAGGCTTCTTTTCTGTTAATTCTTGAATTGCAACTCACTTGTATAGATCACTGTTCCACTTGATTAGGGAAATGCAATTATCATGTAAATATCTGTAAAGGTTTGATTGATTTACTTAATTCTTCCTTCTTTCCTTGAATTCAAACCTTTCCTTGAAGTCAAAGTGTTTACTAGTTCATTTTACCAAAGATACAGTTGGTAAATGTTTTAGCCAGTATCTTGATGAATCACATATTTTAACTATTACTACTGTTTTACAGTTATGAAGTTCTGCACACCTGGAAATTTATAGTCAAGAGGCACAAGAATCTAGTTGTTTAAAACCCAGCTTTTACTTTTCACTCTGAATTGTTTCCCTTTCTTAAACACCAACTTTTTTTTCCTTCAGAGAAGAGAGAATGCCAAGGCTCGCACTTCTATGCGAGAAAAGCTGGTAGAGAAACAGAAAGCAACAGATGAACATGAGAGCAACTTTACGGCTGGTCGTGTTAATGTGCGAGAGAGATATCTGCACCGCACTGGAATAAGAGGGAGAAAGAGCTGGATATTCTATGCTGTTTTGTACATTCTAGCTCTCCTTGTAATAGTCAATATTGTGGTGAGTGTTCATAGGCTTGAAAACCAAATGATTGTCTTCTATTGATATAAAAGAGATGGATATGCCAGCAAACTTAAAGATTGGTATCACTTGAGGGTTTTCTTACTTTAGGTGAACATAGTATCACTGATGAGGAAATCTAGATGAAGGTCAGAAGAGGGTTTTAACCTTTTAAACCCCCCCCTGCAAGAGTGACAAGCATCCGCAAGAGTGACAAGCATCTAATTTCTCCTTACAATATCACCCTTGAATCAAACATTAAGGTCATGAGAAGGAAGGACATGATCATCAACTAGAGAAGTTCTTGATTGTTAACCAAGTTCTCTTTTTCAGCACCTGAGGACATGTCTGGAGAATAGTAAGGAGAATATGCATACTGATGTTAGGGTGGCAAGGGTTAATTAGATAACTAAACTCTCTGAGGATAAACAGGTTAAAGCCAAGGAGAGAGTGTCATGACATGATCAACAAGTGGCATGGAAAACATATTGACTGTAAGGGAAGAGTTTAATAAAGGGTTGGATAGCGCGGTGGCCTCATGGTTAGTGCGCTCAACTCTGGATCGGGTGGTCCAGGTTCGAGCCCTGGCTGGGGTCCTTGTGTTGTGTTCTTAGGCAAGACACTTTACTCTTACAGTGCTTCTCTTCACCCAGGTGTACAAATGGGTACCAGCAAATGTGCTGAGGGTAACCCCGCAATGGACTAGCATCCCATCCAGGGGGGAGTAGCAATACTCTTAGCCGCTTTATGCTAAGAAAACTGGAGTTAAGCATCAGCCCCATGGGCCACTTGGCCCCGTATAAAGGCTTACTTTTGGATAGAAAGCATGAATATCTATATTACTGGAACACGAACAGTGGGAACTGTTATTAGAGCTGTGATTTTTCATTCTTCTTATTTCACATAATTTTATTATTCATTCCTTTCACAGATGCTTGCCATTTTGTATCATGTCTTGCAAATGAACAAAGATGGGATGAAGTGCTTGTCATTTTTTGAGAATGATGACATTCGATTTCATTGTGAGAGTGACATGGACTCAGTCAGTTTGTATAAGAATCAAGCTGGAACTTTTAAAGACCACAACTTGGTTATTGACAGTGATGACAAAAAGGTAATTTATGTTATGAGTAAACCACCAACTTTGGTACAAAGTTACCAAAAGTCTTAAAATCATAAGATGGTCACCAATAGGAAGAGTTTAGTCTCCAGAAAAAAATGCAAAACAGAAATAAACCAAGATAAAACAACATGGGAAAAGATGACATGAGGAATCATACTGCTTTTATAAATTTTGTCTTTGGAGCATCAACACAAAGTGTGTAAAATTTGTTTTATACTCACCATGAAAACTAAAATGGTTGCAATGCGAGGGGGCTGTCATCAAATGACTGTGTTAATTTTAGTTCATATTGATACAAATTATTGTTTTGTTTTTTTTTTGATCCAGATTATATTCCATGGAGGGCCTACAACAGCATCTGCACAAAGTAGGTGTAACTTAAATTTGATATTACTAAATCACAGATAACCTCATCCTAATTATGGAATATATACCAGTTTTGTTTTGGATCGTCAAAAATTGATCAGGAGACTGATGAGAATGGAAAAATACAGAAAAAATTTGAACTAATAACTGACAGAGTCTTATTAATGGTTTGCCTGTTGTTCAGTGCACGTAGGTGCAGATATGACTGAAATCCATGCTAAGCGTGGCTTCAGATTTGTGGACCCTTATGAAAAGAAGACCATCCTGAACTTGAATGGAAGTGTGTGGTATGTTAATCCAGCCTCCATCAATGCTTTCACGGTTGCTGGAGATGCATTGGTTACCCATCGGGTAAGAGAGTGTACAACTTTACAAACTAATTTGGAGAAACTATTTTTTGAATTAATGAAACTACAGTTCAGTTACTCTTTTTGAGAAAAATGGCTTCCCTGAGAAAGAGAAATAAACAGGTTTTGCAACTCAAGTGCAGCAACCACTTTCTTAATTTTTGATGTCGGCAATAATCGAGTGAACAGTGTACTCTTGACAGGAGATTTTTAGGTGCTTGTCTTTGGGAATGTTGATATATGCAGGTTTTTAGTTCTGTTGTTATTTTTTCCAATTAAAAACAAATTTTTCAATTATTTATTTACCAACCTCAAAAGTTACCATCTGGCCTACTTTCCATGCTGGACACATGCTGATCCTAGTAATAGTAGTTGAATTTTTCTCATTCAAACCTAGTAGCTTGTCAACAAGTTCCCCAGATCTCAGTTGAGATAGGATTGTGCCACCAAATTGGAGCAGTAAGGGGCTCAAATACAACTAGGGATGCAGATATGTTTGCTCATTATCTTTTTATAAGTACACTATCTATGCTTTTCTGTCAGGTTGTCAGTAATGAGGACCAGAGTTTGACTTTGACCTCTGAACAGAGCATTTCAGTGGAGGGACACGAAGGGCTAGTTTTGGATGGAAAAATGACTAACTTCAATGCTGATGAGGATATCGAAATTTCCTCCGTCTTGGTAATAATATTGTTTTCACCTGAGGGTCGTTGAATTGTGCTCTTAGGCAAGACAGCAAGACAGCAGTCATAAGGAAATGTTGGTTATTAGGCTAGTAAAACAAACCTGAAACCAATTTCTTTTTATTTTCTCACTTTAAAGGGTTCACAAGGAAAGGCTACGATTACGTTTGATGCAAGCAGTGGGGTCTATGTGAATGGAAGTGCACTAGACATGCCGACTGCAGCCCCAGGCAGTTCTTCAGGGAAATACAAGTTATGTGCATGTATAAACACGGGCAAGCTTTATCGTGTGGAAGTTTTGAACTCGACTTTCTCGACTTGTTCTACAGTGGAGAATGTTTGTGGATAATGACAACAGTTGTTGTCTTGAAAAGAACTTCTCTTACTCTCGTTTATTGACTAAATTACGGTTAATTTTGTAGGAGGTAAAAAAACTTGGTAAGAATATGTAGTTGGTTAAAGGATGGTCTAAATAGAGAGGGTAAAATATTGATATGAACTGCACATGGCTCTCTAGTGGTGCTGCTTTTTAAACGGCTCGTTTCCGTGTTTGAGACGTTGGTTTCAGTATACTGAATAATAGATATTGAAACACGTTGAAAGAAAACGCGAACGGCAAACGATCATCTACGATCTGTATGATAGTTTTTTTCCTCCAACCTTAAATAATTCTCACAAAGAAGTAGAAATTTTCTAAATGTCCTCATATTTTTGCACCGACGCCCAAAAGGCAGGGAGAAAAAGCTTGTAATTTCTAGCAGTTTGCCGTTTGCGTGAGGTTATCTTAGATAATCTCTCTAATGTTTTGTTACTGGTAAATATTTTATACCTGGCTCGTAAAATGCTGTTTTTCAGTAACGCTTGTATTTTTCTATGACGGAATGAAATTGGAGAAATCTGCCAAGTCATAGTCAGTTAAAGCATGTAAAATAGCTTAGCACCTATTTATTACCTGTACCCCCTAGGACGACGCTCTTGGCGGCTACAAAGTTAGTTTTGTGTGTGCTTTAAGCCAACCAGGAGCACATTTGATACGACTGGACCAGTCCTTATTCATCGAAGGATCCTGCCTCCCACTCATTTGCAGTCAATTGGCAGTTAATTTTGTATATTCGCTCCCAAATCCTCCTCCGCTCCTGAGCAGAAAAAAAATGAGTGGTATTTAAGGTAACATAGATAGATTTCTTAAATGGGAATTGGAGAATGAAAATAGTGGGAGGGGACTGTCGTTTTCCACCATTTCTATTTCTCTTCTTATTTTTAGTAGTTTTAGGCTCACAATTATGAAAATTTAGCCAAAACGTAGCTTTGTTCCTGTTCTGGAGTAGAGGGTTGTCCTGGGGTATGGTCTCTCTTGACGATGACTGTTTTGCTGCTGTGCTAAAGCATATTATTACAATGTCAATTAGAGTGCTTCAACTTTGGGATAACTGACTACTATACAGACAGTTTTTTACTCGAGCAAGGCATTTTTACATCTTGTAAACAGAAGAAGAGCTTTTTAAAGTATACTTTTCTAGTGTTGGCGACCGCGTAAGACCCTGGAGTTTTTTTACTTTGATAAAAACAATAAAGGTGTGGAAGTACGAAGCAGTGTTATGTCCTCTATAATTGTTCGTTCGGCTTCCGATGACTCTTAACTTTCAAGGGAAGTGGAAAAAGGTTCAGCTATCGGGATTTCAAGTCATCGGGAAATACATTAAATAAACAGAAATAAGAGAAAACTGTGTTCACTGAATTTCTATTCATAGAAGGGGTTAAGTGGCAAAGCTGAAATTGTGGTTGACTGGGCAACAGGCTTCGAGCAGTTTAAAATGAGTTTCTTTCTATGCCCGAGGAAAAAAACTATTACACTTAATCGGTTACACAGCAGCGTTTATTAAATGTTCAGCATTTTTGATTGGTTTTCAATTCAGAATGGTATTTCTTTTATCAAGAACATTTACGGTAAATCATAAGTAGATATGATGTGAAACAGAAACATGTTTTAATTTCCATTGTCTCGCGTTTTGGCCAGTTAGAGTCGTAAGGGTTAAGTTTGTGATATGCACGCCAAAGATAGTGTAGATTCCTTTTTGAACAGTTAATATTTTTTTGACAATCCTCGGAGAATAACCGCTTTTTCCTGGGTGCGGAGTCAAATCGAGAGCGGCTCTCACAGAGACAATCTTGATGACTTTGTACAAGGCTTTAACAATATAACCTTAAGAGACTCAAGACACGTTAGAGAAAAGATGAAACTTTATTCTTTGTAACAATGATAAATTTAATCTCAACTGTGCTCTTTATATAAAATATACAGTGTTTAAAACTGAGGTATACGAAGTACAAATGTAAAATTCATCCAATTCTGGATTACAAACATTCTTCCATGGAAGGTTACACTCTAACAATAAAAGATTAGATTTACTTCTACAAAAGGTAGTAATACTATGCCAGAACGATTTTCACTAAGATACAAGCTTTTTACTGACTATGTGATTTCCCTTTACAATAGCATGGCGTTGTGACGAGTACAAAAAAATATTTAACCTAGAGATATTAATAGGTTTAAAAGCAAATTCTCGAAGCCAAAATCTTACGAAGTATGTAGTAAATGCTGAAGAGAATTGAGTTGGTGATCTTGATATTAAATGGGTTTAGCCGCTGACACACTTCGAAGTTTCCCTTGGTGAAGGTAAAGGTTCCCTCTTAAGCCTAACTGAAACCTCCTCAAAGACACTTATCAAGCAAAACCTTTCGGAAAAGCAGAACTCATGGTCTCCTTGACAACTGTCATTGTCAGGTTATTTACTAGTTTAGAACCCTGACCTTTCACGGCCAAGCAGTTGCTAGGATCCTTCATTTCAGTAGCAGTTGCTCGATAGGATCTCGCTAAGAGGATTGTTATTTACTTCAACAAGTTTCGTCCTCAACAAGTTAGCCCCTTATTTTCGAGAACTGAACAAGCATGTCAGTTTTTGAACTGGAGTACTTGTTAGTGAAAAACTCGTCATAATTTTTCATTTTCATGGAAACCCCTCTAGTGTAAATCCGGCTTTGAATGTCGTTTGGGCTACTGAACAACTTACAGCGATAGGTGATCGTTGGTGGTAGAAAAAAATGCGTTACGATACGAGACGTGATTAAGAAATGTACGTGTCAAACATCGTGATCACCTTAGGGAACGCACGTTTTTGTAAAGTCAAAATTCTGCTGTTTAAAGTCGTAAATAACACACGTTATTCAAATTGAGTTATAAATAGGACATGTGATTATTCAATTTTTCCTCTTTTTAAATTGTTAACTTCCCAAAAGTAATGAATTAAAAATACTAAAGCCATTTCTTCCCTCTTCACTATTAGCTAAACAGGTAAAATATGTAAAACCCGATGGCGTTGCTTTGCCGCGCAAACATCGCGCTCTCAACGACTTCGAAGAGAGGGGCGAGGTTAAAAAAGATAAAAACCAATCGAATGCAGAATAGCCATTCACAGATGATAATCAAACTCAAAGAAAACACTTCCCACATCATCTCACTTCCTGAGAGCAAAAGCTTTTTCTGAATTATTGTTCCCGTTTAGTTTCCCTAAACTTTTGCACGGCCGTGTTACTGCTCCTGTGCAAACGATAGGTTCAGCTTTGTCACCCAAAAAATTCAATATGGCGTCTCCAACACCTGCTGGAAGCCTAGAGACCCAAATCCAGAGGAGCTTAGCATCCCAGCCAACCATGTACCTGGTCTTGGGATATCTTGACGTCAGTGAGTGAACAATGGCGTCGACTACTTTGTACAGGTGGGGTGAGGCACATGTGTCTACCATTCCTGTTAGCATGTTCTTAACGCCTGGAATTAAAATAAAACAAAAACATTAGTATAATGAAATAGGCGTTAAGGTAATAAAATTACACTTCATTTAGAACAGCAAAGTTGCACTTGTTGACAGAAAGGTGTTAGCGTAAAAAACTTGCTCGTGACACTTTTCAAAGAATATTAGCGAGAGTGTGGTTCTCATTATAATCTTGAACAGTTTCCTGGACGAGAGAACTTGCCAAGTCATGTAATAAACAACATGGTCCAAATCTCGTTGGTCTGGGATAGGGCTTATAGCGTTAGAAGACCAAACAACAACTAGAAAGATGGTTATGGCGGATTGAACGCATTGTGTTCTGAGACCAAACAAAATAGCAGCAACGATGGAGGCGAATGTTTCTTCGAAAACTCTCCCTCCTCGAGACCTGGCACAGGGAAAGCATGGGCAGGGGATACTAGTCAAAGGAAACCTTGTCATACTTTTCTAGCTGTCAAAGGAAACTGTAAAGCTATGGCTTTATTCTGCTAGTCAGTGAAACCATCAATTCCGATGCCAGAAAGTGGGGCGCATCACAAAACTTCTAAATTTTTGAGTTATGTCTTGCCCTCAAGGTAATTTGAATAATCAAATGCACTTTAAAGAATATATATATTAAGTTAGCGATAGCGAGTAACAACTCTTGCAGCAGAACTCCTAAATTTTCCACGTTAACGTCTTTCGGATGTTCACTAGCGTCATACTTGTTGATAGGATTAAGTAAATAAAATCTACTCACTAGTTTCGTAGAACTTCTCTCCGTACTCCTCTTTTAAACTATGGCTCAGGTTGGTCCAGAGGTCCTGCCACTGACCCTTGAGGTTGTCGGGATTGGTGATTTTTGTCTGAAAAAAGCCTGGTTCCACAATGCTGACCTTGACACCAGTCGGACCCAGTTCACGACGGAGAGCATCCGAAAATGCCTCTACACCAAACTTGGAAATGGAATATGCTGATGCGTGAGGTAAGCACGTTCTACCTGCAGAAAGCAGAACGAAGAGTATGTTTTTATCTTGTTCTGTGAGGTGAATATTCGACCGAGTTGCATGATACCAAAGTAGTTCCAAGTTTTAATAGCGACAAATTTGATAAGGATTTTTCAAGTTTGGAACTAGGCCGTCCCCGGTCAGTCAGTGATAAAACAGTGTGACGTTTGACCATCCTTAAGTAAGGTTACTGAGTAGCAGATTCATGCGATTTATTGCTATCATAGAGCCCTCTGCTTTTCAACATTCTTTGAAACTTGCTCGACTTTCTCACCTCCAATACTAGCGAGGTTTATGATGCGTCCTCGCTCCTTTTTGACCAGCGGTAAGAACACCTTGGTGACGTCAATCAGTCCCCAAAGGTTCACATCTGCGATTTGTTTAAACTCTTCAATAGTCTGCCACTCAATCGGTCCAACTTTAGCGATGCCAGCGTTATTTATCAGACCCCACAAACCTGCAAGATATAACACGATTATTTCTACCCTTTACACCTTAATATAGACTACGAGCAGTCCCTCCTTTTGGTGAAGTCCGTCGGGAGAGTAAAACAAATCAGTGAAAACATTTGATACTAACGCGCTGCAGGGAACTCTGGGAGTGAGGCGCACGAAAAGTTCCGCGTGGCGCGCTAACCTTTTTCTTTCTTTTCCCTTTTTTTCCTTTGACTCATGCGACCAAATTCACCGAAAGGGAGGGTTTGCCCGTAGTCTAACCCTAAATTTTTATAAACTAAATGTTTGATTCAGGAAAAATAATATCATGGTCACTTTTTAGGGATTAACGGAATTTTACAAAGATCCTTTAAGAGTGGGTATAGTATTGCAGTGAGAAGAATGGGGCGTGGGGATGATTTTTCAAACAGGAGGTCATGGTTAAAAATTTCCGCACACCTTCCGTGAAGCAGCTTAGACCACTGTTCTACCTTGCGTATCAGCGAGCTTGTACTCACGCAGCAGATGGAACATTTACTACAAAGAAAGATTTGTCTCATACAGATTCTTCGGACTTTCACGTTTTCAAAACCAGATTTATGAAGCTGGTGTGTTGTTGACTTTTAAAAAAAGTTGCCACATAGAGGTAAGGGGGGGGGGGGGAGGTCGAGATCCCCTTCTGTACTCTCCTGGAAGACTTCTTGTCACAGGTGTGTTGAGTTCATTTTTAAGACCGTCCTTCATCAACTAAACAACGCCCCAAAAACAATTTTTTTTCGAGTCGGTCAAAACAATATTCTTTATATCATGTGAAAGTGAGGGCATCGTCGTGCAGTTATTTGAAATATACACTAATTCCCATAAACATGAGGGTGGATAAGTCGGAGGGAGCTTATTTGAAGAGCTTTCCAAATGAAATAATTACTTTACATGTACATGTGCATGACTTTATCGGTTTGACGCATGCGATGAACGAGTTTGCGGCTCGGTTTGTTTATCGAATAAGTTTATCACCCGTGCTCATCTCAGTTCGTTATAAATTTAATATACCAAAATAATTAATCCAAACGAAAGCTGACCAACGTTCCTACCGGAAATGACAATTAAAACGAAAATGTTTAGGGGCGTGCGTCGAACAATCGTCTGCTACCCTTCTATTTATACCTCTCGCACAACTTCAAATAGATGTATACTGTGCGGTAAAAGAGAGGATAGCATAATATTTTTTTGATCAATGGTGCTATTGTATTAAAGCTGGACAGAGATATTACAGTACGAAGCGTCAGTTTATGAAATTAACATTCCTTTTCGTATTATTTCGCTGAAACAGGAATAGATGTTTTCCGTGAAAAATGTTTTTCTCCCTCTTAAGGCTTACCATCTCAAAGCCATTTAAGGCATTTTATGGCCGGATATGAAGTACAATAAAAAGGTAAAAGGAATTTTTTCTGCCATTCAAGGAGAAACCGACAATTGCATTCGTGCACAAGGAGGTCTGACCGAAAACTCAAAGAATGTGCCGTTAAAGCTAAAAGAAACACGTACACTATTTTCAGTTTCCAAAGTAGAGAATAATTCAAGGAGGCACCTTTTAAAAACATTTTCAAAAAGAAAGCGGCTTTTGAATGGCTTTGATCTCAAGTTAAGTTTTTAACCAAATTTATGCGGCTATTTTGGGAAACCGTATTTAGATCTTTATTAGACCATTCTTCTTACTCATGAATGGGTTTTGAACATGCACTTTCAGTTATAGTTGATTTGATTGTTTAAAGAGGGGCACGAGTGCTTCCATTGTTTGCTAGAATACTTTACATAGTGACATATCCTTACACGAAACATTCACGGCGCGTTTGATGTCATTACAGACACCAGGCATTTCGTGTCTAAAAGCTATTTTCGTCTTTGATTGAGTGACTCATTTTTTTACAACAATGAGCCGGGAATATGATCGTACCTCGCTTATAAGTTCAATCTCGTTAAGCGCTGAAACGATACTCTGCGATAACTTGCTCCCCCCTCGATGATAACATCCTATCTCGTGCTGGGGCAAGAGTCAAAGAGATATCTTCAATTAAATGGTTTCGGAGGACTTTACTTCAATTAGTGAGCCATTTCCGTTGTCCTCTCTTCGTTGATTTTTAAACACTTATCATACGTTGGAGTCGCAAAGTTATGTGACAAAATCGCACTTAAATGTTTCCACGCGAAGCCAAGAGTGTAACCCATGCTTGCCTTCTGAAGGGAAGCGTGTTGCTGTGTTAGTTTAATCTCCAATTTCCTCGTTTTCAAAATTTCATTAAAAAGTTGTATTTATATTTTTATCGAGGACTTAGACTTAGGGAAAATATTATTACTCAGGCTGATCTGTTTATCTACTGGCTTATTATTAGGTGAATTGTTTATCCACGTATAGTTTATGCCATTTAAACTATTTCAACCGACAACAGAAATCCTTTAGGACAACATCTGTGTCACGCTTGTAGTCACCTTGGAACATGGCAACACAATATGTCTGATAATTCATAAAAACTAGATCAACAATTCAAAGTAAACATTCAGTAGGAAAAAAAATAAATATACGGTAATTTACCTCTATTTTCAGGTAAATACTGCGCCACAAACTTGTATGTCTTCTTGATTTCTTCCGAGTCTGTAACATCCAAGTGCAAAGCGGATAGCCTTTTGCTGCACGCCGCGGTTAGGTTTTCTTTCCCTTCGCTCGTTAGACACGTCGCAAATACATTGAATCCCAGGCTGTCGAGTCGTAATGCAGTTTCCCTTCCGAATCCTGAATCGCAACCGGTGACCAAAACATACTTCTCACGAAAATCAGTCAAAAATGTATCTTTGTAGAGCTTTTTGATGATCCACAAAGCACACATTGCCGCAACGAGCAACGCTACCGCGTAGAAGCTGTCTGCTCTCTCCATAGCACCTTGCAATTCAATCTCTTGTTCTCTGTGGAGGGATTAGACAATCACGCTCGATATGTTAAGTGTATACACGGTTCTCTGCATGGTTGCTCAAATCTATGGTATGAAATGAAAGAATCTCTACCTAATTGGCTGTGTGGGCGATGCTTAAATGCACTTCGGAAGCTGTGGGTACTTGAGAGAAAGACCCGTGATATTCTCACACGTTTTCCAAAGATCTGAGTCGGCAAGTTTATCTCAAAAAAAGGGGAATCTAACACCACCTGCTAAAAACTGGACATGTTGAATATCAGCGAATGTCACTGCTGCCACTGCTGCCAGCTACGATAGCTACAGAGGCTTATCATTAACTTCGATTGCGATATTCCGGGAAAATTCGTGTTATCCAATTATAAATTACCGCGCAATTTGTAATCAATGTATTGAATTGTAAACTGAAAGCAAAGTAATTCCAGTTGTCTCGGGGGGTAGATAAACATCATAAACGTTGTAATAATCACAATGTCTCCAATCGATGACCTAATCGATCTGTCTGTTCTTCCAAAACGAGGTCATCTCGGTCAATGTTAATTTTTTCCCTGATTTCGACTTCAAAGTTCGTCCCCCTTACTAATACCAATTACTAAGGGGGGCATTGGGATTTACGGTTTAACGGTTTCAGCTATTTTTTTAGGTTTCTCGTGTAGTGCCAATAAACTTCGGATTTTCCGTTTTTTAGTATTTGGTTTTCGGTTTTCAGTCCGTAAAAATCACTAATGGGTCTTCGGATTTGATATCCGATGTGATTTTCGGTTTTTCCTATTTGGGTTCCCGTTTCTTCTCGATCTGAGCGAAAATTATGTGCCTCCACTGATCTCGAATGGCCGCGAAACCTCTGTATGCTCCACAAGTCAGCAGTCTAACTGTATCGGATCGATTAGGGGTTAGATAACTGTGATGCGAAAATTTATCGGTTTTGACGGTTTTACGTGCGGTTATCAGTTTTGATCGCATTTTTCTGCGGTTTTGCGGTTTTGGATAATTTTTTTCTATCGTTTTTCGGTTTCTGTTAGACCCCAATGCCCCCCTCAATTACTAGCCATCACCGGACATTTTCAAAGGGATTTGAAAAATTCCAACATTCCTTTATTTTGCGCAAGCAGCGACACAGGAAATGGCGACATTACCATAAATGAACACACCGAAAAAAAACGAGTAAGGGAATTATTAAAAAGACTCTTGAACCTCATCAATGTCCGGCTAAATATCTTAACGCAGAATGTTATTGAGGAAGCATTATATTTATCTTCACTACAAATTCATTGGTATTCATTGCTTTCGCAAGAAAATAACAATTAAGCGATCAAAACGAGCTTATAATCAACATATTACGACATAAGAGTGCTTCGCTGCTGAGAGATATGTTTTCAATACCAATTTCTGAATATCAGTTATTGGTCTATGTGTTTATTTGATCGTTTTCTGCGATCATCTTATCGATTGAAGACTGCCGATCGGTGTTATTTCAACTTCGTTTGTTTCGATTCGAAGCAATGTTTCACAATTAGATGCTACAAAATTAAGGCACCGTCCCAAACTCTTGACTGCACAAATTACACAAGCAAGGACTTCCTCAATACTAAATGATCCAAAATATGCGTGAAGAAACCCAAACCAAACGGTGGAGGAAGTTTTCCAATTTCTAAGACAAATGTGATTCTCTTACCTTTCTAAAGCCCCGAAGCATACCGATTCACCACCAGCGCTGCCCATTTTAAGTCAATTCTGGTTTGCACAGAGCTGCTACGTGAAAGTGACCCTGACTGTAAACTATCAGGAATTCGAGCGAACGGAACACTTTTTTCCACGGTCACATGTCAATCAAAAGTGCATTCACACAACTGACACCCACGCGATTATTTGGGTGACACCGTCGTGACTCATGATTGTATGAAGCCTTCAGGGAGGGGAGGGAAGGGGGCTGTACAGCGAATATGCTTCCGAATGATGCGCGACCCCACCCTCTGAAAGGGCTTTCCTGGGGCAAAAGAGGCGATCTCTTGATAAGTTTTTTATTATAGAATCAAGTTCATTTTAAATTTAAAAGTTATAAATTTGCACGCTGTGATGATTTGTCACATTTCTCAAAAATTCATTTTCAGTTTTTATCTCTCTCTCGACATTGAATGAAGATTGGGGAGGGTGGGAAGTGGGAGAGTTTTTACAAGGGTTTCCTTGTTAAGAAGTTACATCTCGATATCAGGTTACGACATTTTAAAAACTTTGAGACACACGGAAGTTTCGAAATGATAAATTGCCCAGGTGAGAGAAAGGAAGAAGATTAACGAAGATTAACTCAGGTTGCAAATGACGAATACAAAAATGTCGGGAAAATTTTTTGAAAGATGCACGAACTGTGAAGTAGCTGCTTTTTAAGTGGCTGGGTAAACAGCAGCCCTTGGATAGTTCCCTGTTGTCGGGTGATTTTGTTGCAAATTGTTGTTGGGTCATATCACAAAAGTACTTCCTTGCATGACAGCGCAACGTGGCACCGGATGACATCTCCTTGTTCAAAACGGCCGCTAATGGAGAAAGCTACCCTCCTCCCTCCCTGCTTGACAAGCCTTTTGGGTTTCTTCAAAAGAGGATCAACGTCGCAAAAGGAAATTTTATTTCCTATTCTTTTTGTCAAACAAATGTTCGTCGATTTGCTTCTCCATTCTTACAGGAAAGACGAGTTGCAGAAAAAAACATAAACACACTGCAGTTTAACCTTCTCAGTTTTCATTTAGACCAACGTGAAACAATCAAGTTCTATGGCCTGAATGCAATACACCGTTCTCCCAAGGTACTTCCGGGTACTTCTAAGGAGAGAAGAGAGTACCAAAATTTTCCGTTGTACGCTGGGGTCGGAAGTATTGATAAACCTGGCTTTTGGGGTAAGAGGAGCAATTAGTTGGTTCCTCCTTCCGGTTCAACATGTCCTCTCTTTCCGAGAAATTATTACGTTAGGTCATGTGGTAAAAGGCGCTAAAAGTTACTGTGAACTCGATCTGGTACAAATTAAATGCCTTGTAAAAAATGTCGATTAATTATGTGACCTTCAATTGTTTATTAATTTATTCAAAAGATCTCTTATTATCTGTAACTGCAAATTTGTTTTTGATCTTGGTGAAACTTTTATGGACGGAGAGATAATTTTTAGCCATTAAGGGTGTTTTTTTTACGTCGTAACACGAGCAGCTTAATAGTCCTTCTACTATTAAAAGGAGAGCGCCTCAAATTGAAGAAACTTTAATTTCGCTGGTTCAACCGCAATGGTATTACGTGAACTTGCTGGTACCTGTTTTGACGTGCAAAGCAGACAGTCACCTGGCGGAAGCAGTGTGGATTACAACAAGATTAAACAAGATTTGCTCATGTAATTACATTTTTGAGCGCATTTGAATATTTTAATGGAATTATTACGATCTCGTTAAAGGAGAAATCGTTGCCGATCGCGGGTAAGATCACGTATGCCAGTGATTTGTCAGATAAACAGCACGTTTCTAATCTGTCATTGGGGCACGCGCGTAAATTCTCAACTGACCACAACAATTATTTGTTTCCGTCAGAACGTACGGCTCTACTAACCGGTCTTTTCGTGGGTTTGGCGTTCCCGTTCTTGTTTGCGTTCTCATTACTTAAAGTCACTAATGGCTAAATAAAGTGCGTTGATTTGTATATCCATGGAATTCTACAAGTACATGACCCCACTCATAAATCTCAACGGAAATAATTCGCAACGAAATCTTAATTGCCCTCAGGTGATTTCCCCAGGCACAGATATGGGTTGATTGGACATCCATCAGCAACCGGTCCATTAAAACTAACCTTTACTAGTTTTTTTTCCTGCAAATTCGGTTGACCTTTCAATTTTTCGGCTGCTCCTGATCGCCTGAACTGGCTCTTATTTCCATATTTCACTTTTACCACCGTTTAGAAATGCTTAGAGCGGGTAGCTGAGGCATTTTGAAATCGTACGTGGGTGTAAAGTGTTAAGAAAACATACAATGTCCGCGCTATGATCACGATACCTACGCAAACGCTCTCATTGACTATATATGATAAAGGAATGACGACAAAAAACGGTATTTATGTCTCCACTTAATTAACAGTTATCTTTTTTCTTTTTCCATGTTATGTTGGTTATATAATACGCAGAGTGACCACATGCATTTCAATAATCTAAAACAAACATCCGCTTGAAGCCTGATCTTCGATTTCCGCACGTTCTTCAGTACTACTCTCTCTGCCTTTGCGAAACTTTGTCACCTTTGAGTGCTCCACACTGCAGGCGCCCGATAAGCTGGCAAATTGTAAAGGCCCGCACAGAGGCGAAAACTCTCTAGAAAAAGAGTGCTGCTTTAAAACACTTACGTCCACGAGCGCGCGGTCATGCTTCGGCTGCGCAAGTCTCTCTCTTCAGTTGAGTTGCGATTATACTCACCGTCTCGACTAGATCTCACAATGCGAGAACAGTAGTCCTATCTAGGACACTCTTTGCTAATCATACATAATTTTTAAGCTTTCTCCACCTTCTCGCCCCCCTCTCCTCCCCGACCCATTCCCAACACTATCACTACGTGCATGGTTTCCTGATGTCTAATAATTTTTGTCTCAAATTTTAGGTGAGTCGGGTGACCAGTATTTACTTACAGGATTCGACCTAACAACTTGGCAACTGGTGTTATTCGCTGAAAAGGTCTAGGCCTGCTTGAGAGGTCTCTTGAGTTCTTTGAAAACAGGATCAATGTTGCAAAAACAAGTTTCTGCTCATTTGTGAAACAATTGTTGGTCGATTTCCTTTCCTGTAATTGCGAGACGGAAGTGTTGTGGAGGAACGTAATAAAATATTGCATTCCAAAATACCTCTTCAACAAGACCTGTACGCAACAATAAAACTTTAGGGTCTAAAATAAGACGAACCGTTTACCTAAAGTACTTTTAGGTATCTCCATACAGAAAATTAATTGTTAAATACATCGGTGAGACGTTGGCCTTATATTCATCGCGGGATGAATATTCCTCCTATTGTTAAAAGAGGATTAACTCAAATTGAGGAACTTGTAACAATGATTTGGCATAATTCTACGATATCATATGAAATTGCCGGTATCCTCTGTCTTTTGGCGTACTACACAGTCTCCTAACAGAGGTAGTATGGGGACTAAAAGCAGGAGCCATTAAGTAATGGGCTCCTGCTAAAAGTTAATATTTAAAGCGCTCAAACATGATCTGTGTATCTAATTAATTATTTTTTTGGAGTGTATTTCAACATTTTAATGGAATTAACATGATTCAAATGTTCTTAAATCGTATACGAACCGAACGCCGTCAAACAATCGGTATGGTTCATGACGTCATTTCGAGTCCGTCGTTACAGCACATGCGCATATCCACTTTAATTATGGTAACATAAGTCAACGACGACTTTGATAGGGACGAGAACAACAAGTGAAAAATAATGAATTAAATTGCAAAAAAAAAAGAAAAAAAAAGAAAAGCCCTTCACGCTCTGCGCGTGCGTTTCACATTTTGTTTCCTTTTCAGCTGTCCATGCTTAACCAGCGACTTGAAAAAAAGACAAATTCAAGGTTCTGTGGACGACGTAAGCGATAAGGGATAAGAGCAGTGACTAATTTTCAACTTTCTCGCATAAAATCTGCACCCCTCATGCCATGTTAATCGCTAAACAGTTGGTATAGGTTTTACAAGTGGAACAAAGAAATATACGTAATTGCCAGGTTATTCAGAGACATTACTTCGTCTTCCTTGCCTACGGTTTCACGCTGAATGAGGTGCCTTGACTTGTAAAACATGGAATTTTAAAGGGGGCGGCAAAGCTGTTAAATGTAACGCGTAATTAAGGCCAAAATTAAAACATCAAGCTTGAATTTTACAGAAAGGCGATGTAAGATAAGATTTGAAGTTTTCTCTTTTCAATTCGTAACGCGTGAAATACCGTTCAAAGTGAAACGCGACACGCGAATTCTTCTAAAATTTGTGTTTGAATGGGATCAGGAGTTCCGCTTTGCTACCCTCTTAAATGGTACATGACCCAAAACATTCATGCCGACGGAAACAATTTGTCATGAAAATTGAAATTGTCACTTGGGTCAGCAAAGCTATGTTTACACTGTATATCGATCAGCAGAAGACTTGTTAAAATACATCCTCGCTTTGACTTTCAACTTTCATTTCTTCCGGCTACTCTTGGTTCCCTCTACCAACACTGTTTTAGATGTATCACACTTTCCGCCGGTTAGTTGATTAAACGCAAAGGCCTCAAGCAGGCAACTGGAGCATATTTGAAAACTGAACGTATATGAGAGAGATTTGAGATGGAAACATCATGAGCATCCTGGAAACGCACAACGTCCGCGCTGTCATCGCGATACCCACGCCAAACGCCTCCACATAACTTAATCTGATAAAAGTTGACGACATAAAACCGTATTTATGTCACCACATTGTATTTACCACTTATCTGTTTCCATAGTATGTTGGTTGATGAAAGACGCAGAAAGTGATCCGAAAGAAACATCCGCTCGAAGCCTGATCTTGGTTTTCTGCACGTACAACAATACAACCTCCTCTTCTGTTAGTTAACTTCGAGTACTCGGGCGCACGGAAACCCAGTAAATAGTAAAGGCCCGCAAAGGGGCGAAATCTCTGTAGAAAAAAGTGCACTGAATGATTCCTTGCTCGTGCGCACTGTTCCCAAGCACACACGTCCACGAGCGTGGATCAAGAGCGCCTGCCAAGTGCCTATTGCGCAAGTCTCTCTCGAATTGAGTTTCTACGATAGTCACAGTCCCGATCACTTCCGACAATCTCCCCACCCACTCCACTCATCTCCAACACCAACCCTATGGGTGGGTAAGGTGCAAAACGTCAGCTTCCCTGGAGATACAAAAGTTGTCTAAACGGCTTGTAAGTCATGTTGGGAACTGTCGTGCTTCATCAAGGGCAAACCAGATTAATCCTCACTGTAAACTCAATACATAACAGTTCACTTTACAGAAGGATTCGTATCCTGTGAGACAATTCGCTTCAATCAAAATAATGCGAGTCCTGTGCATCCTGCTAAGTCCCTTCAGCTGTAAGGTCTTTTTTGTTCGTATTTTTTATTATTTCGAGGCTATCGCACTATTGTGGCCAAATAGAAGGTGATCTTTGAGTGCTCAGCAAATGAGATTTCCAACCCTTTCACTTTTTTAAGCACCAAGGCTTTTGGAACCGTCTTCGTGAATGCTTATAAGTTCTCTTTCAAGGTTGGTTTTAATATTGAAGCAGAGCAGCAGACCAAGTGTACATATACTACGCAAGCTCGGACAACCCTTATCTGTGAATTTTTAGCTCCCGTTTCCCTTGGTGGTTTGCATTGGAAGTTGAACATGCAGTCTACATATTTCAATTAGCCGAACCCAACACATGATTATACCAGCACCTAGCCCAGCTACTTCATGGTATGTCACAAATATAATCCAGTTAGACATCTTAAATTGGATATTTATACTTGTGTCGCTCAGCGATGAAGCTTTAAAAGGATAATAGTATTTTTTTTGTAAAGACATCATTATTTTGTTCAATTTCTCTTAGTTTACATTCGTTTTAAATAGTCTTGTAAGGCGTTGAAGAGAATTGGTCTATTTCAGCGCTATGTAGTTCACAATGTCGTCCACGATCTGTTTGTTTTATCAGTGTTATCCATCACTAAGACTTTTCTTTCTTTGCTTGAAACTCGATCCAATCTGATTCAACTTCTGGAAACAGCGGAATAGCTGAAGACACGATATCATCAAACTGAAGAATCTTAAAAGTGGAAAACCCCGATCTGTTAAGAAACAATGTTTGAATTTCTTTTAGCAAGACATTGCATTATTTACACTACATCTATCTGGGATTTCAATTCCAACGTTCGAGAAAATTCTTTGTTTCATTGTTCGCAGACTTTCTGGCTGAGTAGAGTAGCTAAGTTCTTTCACGCGAGGAGAAGACTACTCATAGATTTTCTACAAATTTGACAAATTTTCCCTTAATGGACAAGTTCAGAAATTTATATGTCAGTTTTTGGACATAAGGACTTCTCAAAGTGTCACTTTGTCTTGTATCGATACTTCCTCTGAAAACTAGTTGTGTAAATCTTCTTTGAGCAGTTAAGAAAATGCCGTTTCTTTCTTCACTCTTGGCTCCACTTTCATCAGGGAAAGTGGGAGATAAAAGTTTGGAGACAGATTGAATGTTGCGATAATAGATAAAAAGAGACGAAAACAATTTTGCAGGTGAAACAAGTGTAAAAATCGCACGAGGGCTGTGCCTACATTTTACCATTACGTGTGTACGCGAACATGAGTCAGCTGTTTAGTTCGCACCTTGTTTCCTTGTAGGTTGTATGTGAAGGACCTAAAGCGACTGCCACTTGGTGCTGAATGAAAAATAAACGGCCATAAAAATAAGATTTAACAAAACAGCAATACCTTAGTTTGTGGTAATAACAACACAACGTTAGACGTAATTAAACTTCATAATTTTTTTTAATATTACCAAGTCATCGAGTTTGGTTTCTTCAAACAGCCATCCGTCCATTTCGTCTTCATCAAGGAAAAAATTTGTATCGGATGTCACATTCTAAAAAATGAAAAAAACACATTCTTCGTTTGAGCTCTTAATATCGGTAATTTTTTTTCTCTTTGCTGTACAGGTATCAGGAATGCGACTGAACAGGAACTGTAAGTAAGAGCAGAACAAACCTGAGGAGACAGCTCTTTGGTATTTATCTGGAATTCAACAGACTGTAAATCACGTCCTATACCAGTCCCTGTAGCTTTTACGTAACTTTCTTTCAGACACTGGAAAAGAAACGAAACGTTAGACCAATCGAATTTCTAGAAAAAACTGCTAAAGTCAGCAGAATATTACACCAACGAAAGAGAAACTTGACATTAACGTCCCTTTTAAGTGTAATTTTGTTTTCCAAATACGCCTTACTTCATGTCTCACTTGAAACGCAACAACGACAATTTTGGACGTCTTCGCGGAAATTTTGAAACAATGTAGCAGTTAATTTTAATGTTTCCAGGCTTACGGAATTCAAATTGGAAATAGCTCTAACAAACACATCTTCTTCTGTCTGACATTGAAGTGCGTTATGAGGCTGTGATCTCACAATTAACATTTAAAATAGTACATCTACGGGATTTAAATCTTAAAAGAGTTTGAAAACATCTTTATTTGTTATATGCATCATTAATAATAAATAACTTTAATTTCCCACAACAGCTCTCGGCGCCTTTAAACTGAAACATTATCAGTGTTTCGGCACGAGGTATACTTCGCGCGAGGGATTCTTTGCCCGCGGGAAAGTATGTGGCCGTTGGCAACGCGAGCCCGCGAGAAGTCTGCAAAGGGGCTGGCTCTGATTGTTATTAGTGCCAGATCCCCGACTCGACACATCTTCCCGCCGGCGGGGAAACGCGCGTCCAGCAGCGCTTATAATAAGGACCTGCTCGCAAGCTGACTGAAACATACCCAGTGTCTGTAAAACATCTGCAGTTGATTCCATTCGGAAGGCTGAGATTTGATTGTTTGCCATTCATATCCAGTAAACTGCTTACGCATGGTGTGAAAAAATCCAGGCACAGTAGAAGAAGCTTGAAGATAGATAATTTTGAAACTTAAATTAAATGTTGTTTCAGAAAAATTTTGAAGGAGGGCTAAGTTTTTTCAAAGTTGAGGCTGAAAATGTTTTTAACTTACATGGGTATGTTGTTTTCATTACATCAACACCAACTAGAGGAGAAAAACAATTTTGGTACTGTTTAGTATTTGATGGCCAAAAAACAGTACAGTCATCAAGACTTATGAAGGAGGGTGAGATTGTGGCTTCACTTAAGACTTTAATCTATACCTGAAAGCTAACTTTCATATTAATAAGGGCTGTCAAATGAAAAAAAATTATGTATCAATTAATCATTAACCCTTTACACCCCAACATCAATATGCAAGTTCTCCATACTTATTTCAATACATTTAATACATTTTCTCTGGTACCGACAAGGAGAATTTGTTTGAAAATCACTTCTTAAATGGGTGATCATTTCCTTTATTCTCATACCCTACACATTTGATTCAAGGGTGATATTATAGAGAGAAATAATTAGAAGCCAGTTTCTCTTAGAAGTTAAAGGTTTAAGCGATCATAGAGAAATAAGCATACCTTGCGATTCAGGCTCTGCAGCTAACACGGTGAAGTCTCCCTGTAACAAACAGAAGTGAGATCAAATGCAACAAATTATATACTGCTCAATACCATAAACCCTCTCTTAACACTCCAGGATAATAAAGTTGACCTTCATTTTTTTTTTTTTAAGTGGCTCTTTCTTTGGAGATACTCCTCCAACATATGGGTTGGTCAACTTTTTATGCAACCCAAAAGGGGAGGGTCATATAATTTTTTAAAAGCTTAACATGGGAAGGTTCATAACTTCCTTGGATCACATGAGGGGAAGAATTAGAGTTTCTTTTTGCAAGAAATTGGGAGAGGGCACACAAAAACTGCATCTAATAACACCCCTTCCCCCCCCCTCCTAAAAATGACAGGTCCCTTGGAGCAAAGCTCTGAGTGATGTTTTTATTAGGATAAATAATTGCTCTGAATACTGCCAACCAATCAGCTCCAATGTTCTAATCAATGTTAGTAATTTATAAATGACATATAACCACACAATATCATACAGATACACAACCTGATGAGATATGTTGAAGTTAAACTTTCTCTGTGATGGTTCCATAGGATCATTGGCCTATGAGAGACAAACAAAAACAAAATTTTGATTTTACAGTGAAATGGTTTGACTCTAGGGAAAGGAATTTAGGTTAAAATGAGCTTACTTACCAAGAAAGGCTTTCCCTTCTCTGTTCTTTTCAGTATCACCTCATTATAAGGAATCTTTGTAAAGTCACTGATCACTTTTCTCATTAGAAGTCTTCCAATCTACCACAAAAATAATAATATAGTTAACACAACATGATTTTCTATAATTTGTGCTAATAAACAGATTGACTTACAGTTCTACTAATGCAGGACTTTGAGCTCAGACTCTAGTTATTGAGAGATGTACTATGAGTGGAAGGTACCTTGCCAAAGAAAACTGCACTATGACTTTGTCAGGGTTTGAAGTCAGGCTTTTGCATATGGAATCCAGTACAAGAAATGTCAGCTCAAAACATCTCCCATAATAAAAATTATTTACCAGTACGATGGGTTGAAATTTTGCTACTTACCAGAGCTGATTTAGCATCTTTCTTGAAGACAAAATTCATTATTCTTTCTTTCTCTTCTATCTGCAAACAAGATGTCCCTAGTAGCCATTCCTGAAAATTTCCAAACATTTAAGGTACTTAGCATTAACCTACTTTTTGCCTGAACATCAGTCAGTATTTTCTCCCTGCTCTTCTCTATGTTTCTTTTGGTATTGGCAAGGAGAATTTGCTTAAAAACCAAGAGCTTTTTTAGTTGGTGATAATTTTCTTTATTCTCACAACCTCAATGGTTGATTCACCAGTGATTGTAGGGAGAAATTAGATGATAGTCACTCTTAAGGGCTAAAAGGTTAATTACAAGTTGCACATACATACTAGCCAGCCACCCAAAGCTGCACTTATGAGAATCACAGAGTGACTGGAGGCTCTGGTTCCTCTGGATGCTAAACTCTTAAAAGCTTTCATCAAAGCAAATTATACAAGTCAGCCATGGACTTAATTTAGATACCAATAGCAGTTATGGGGGGGGGGGGGGGCAGGGAAAGGAATCAACACTGGAGGTACTGATTTCTTTATTCTCTTGCGGTAATATTAATTAATCTAAGCATAACGTGCATTGATATCTTAATTAAATTTGTGTCAATGTTATATGATCGACCATGCTGTTCGTAGAATAAGTTTCCCTCGGGAGGGGGGGGGGGAATGGTGGGGTTTTTAGAGGTAGTTGGGAATAGTGGTGGGTTTAATATTTATACCGGTATATCCTCTCTTGAATAATGGTTTTTAACACGATTTCTTCGACCGAAAAATATGTTAAGTCTAATGACAGAACATCAAATAGGAAGCCAGTGGGTAAACACTATTTTCTTTTAATAGAACGCAAACGAGTTTTCCTGGAATATAAAATCGTAACCTCACCTTTCTAGTTGGTTTCCACGCACCAGATCTGAAAGCGAGACGAACACCTTCCATAAGCGGAAAACGCATTTAATATAACACGGTCACAAGTAAATCTAGGTGAGCATTTCACCGGACGAGCACCAAATTTCTCTTTTGTCAGCAATACAAAAACTCTATCGTTCTTCCGCCATATTTTTGTATTCCCTACATAACAGATACACTAATGATAAGCGTTACCGCTGGAAATCATTGTGCTGGCGGCAAAACATGGCGGAGCCTAAGTGTGAGGATAGGCAATCTTGAATCGTTGGGAAATTGCGAGAGAATTTCTGGGTAGATTATGGATAGGTTTAGCTGGACATCTTCATCCAGTACGTGTGTCTTTCCAGGCGAGTCAGGAGTTCACCAGCAGTCTGGTATCAGAATATACGACGGAGACAAAAAGGTAGAAATGAATGAACAATAAACTACAAATCATTTCTTGCTGAAACATCAATCTTAACTACCTTTCTTTGGTTTCATTTTTGAGCAGACAACGTTTGAGAATGGTTCTCTTAAGCTAACAACACACAGAATAGTATGGGATGACCTAGATCAACAGGTAAGGCGCAAGTAATTGTAAACTTGAAAATCTTCAGAGGCCTAGGAGCACAGGGTGAACTTAAAAATCTCTAGAGGAACACGTACAAGGTGCGCACTCTCGACGCTTTTAGGTTCAGTTTCTAAAACCCTTTTCAGTTCTCCTTTACTGTTATTAAAAATTGCCCTTTATATCAACTTCTTATCATTCATAGCTACAGGAAATAGCTAAAAACAAGAAATACAATAGATAAAAGGCATGATTTTCTTTTGGTGAAAAATCTTCTTTCCCACTGCTGTGATCTTTGTTCCACTGCCAGACCTGGTATCTCATTTGGGTTGAGAGTCTAGTTGATTGTGTTCCCTGTCCTGTGAGATTTTCTCTGGGCTCTCAGGTTTTTCTGAGTGTGACAAGTAAATCCATTTGGATTTGACCTGGTTTCAAGGCTAAATGTCATCTAATTATTTAGAGTTTACTCAATTGTGACTATCCCTCATCCAGTGTTTGAATTTTAACAAATTTAATTGTATAATTACTTTAGGCTTATTCCCCATGCCTAGGAAAGTTTGTTTTATTTTGTTGTTGTTATTGTTTATTTTGCTCAGGACAGAGCCATAGCAGTGCCACTTTCTCTTGTAAGCAAAGTAGAAGAACAATCTTCTGGCTTCATGAGCAGGTTTGTGATCAATTTTTTTAGGAATGAACTTAAAATTATAAAACATTTTCTCCTTGGTCTTAGGAAAATAGTGCTAAATTAGCAGAGTTCAGTGGCAGATCCATAAAATCCTGAAAATAGGACCAAAGATATTATGGTTACAGTACATGGTCCCCCAGATTGAAATAAAATCTTCAAATTTATTTATTTTGCACATAGAGTTGAGTTAAAATTATATTATTTAAATATAACTTTTATCAATTATGTGAATATCTATTTGTTGTATTTCATTTTTTTTCTTAAACAGTGCTAAAGTGGCTGTAAGTCTTCACCCTCCTCCAGCTAACAAGGAACCTGGACCATGTGTCTCCAGTCCATATGGTTGTGTCAAGTTTTCTTTTAAGCAAGGAGGCCACTCAGAGGTAGAATACTCAAGATGGTAACTTTAAGACACAGTTGGAGGAATCACCTTTTAGAAACTTTTCTCTGTATAAATTAACCCCTATTTTAGAGTTTTCTGTAGCAATTGACATCTCATTTATGAAAAACTCTTCATAAATTATTTTATATGAAATATAAGATTTTTTCAATCATGAATCTCTTTAATCAATGTAACCTTTATGATTAGGCAGAAAGATTCCCATTGGGGAGTCCTAATAAAGATATTGTATTGTATGGTAATCACTGAAAATAATTTTTTGATTGACACAATTGATTGGATAAGTGAATAAAGAATTAGGGGACTTTTAGAGGTTTAAGGAACCAGAGCAAAATTTATCTTCCCTTGTAATGCTTTTCTAAGTGGTTGACTCTCTTTTGTGTATCTGTTTCATTCCATTTAGTTCTTTGCTCGTTTGATGGAACAAGTTAATAAGAGGTCATGGATGCAGCAAAGTGCACAGCAATCATCCAGTAGCACAGCAGGAAAAGGACTGGTAAATAGAGATACAACAGTACAGTACAGCTCAGATATACGTTAACCAAATAATTCATACAAAATGAGCCAAAAATTGAATGCAAGTGCAAAAGAAAAAGAAATGTGCATCAAAATTTCACATAAGCATGATACATCTATCTATACATGAGGTAGGCCTTTTGTTTTTCTATTGTTGATTGTGTATTGTTTTAAAGAATAGGCTATAATCTGATAGCACTAAAATACTAAACAGCTACCAATGACAAGTAAACTTGTTAGTTTCAAGCACTGTTCAAACTGACCTTCCTGATATGCTGTTACATACTCTGAATTTATAAATGAGTTATCAATTTTGAACAGAACTCTTCTATTAAAATAGCTATTTCTCGCTTTGTAAAAAAACCCATCTGTTGCAACAGCTTGGGAATGTGTAGGAAGATCACTGGGGTTTAAACTTTGTTCGGTGTTCAAGACCACTTATCTGCTTCTCTCCCTCTTCCAGAATCGTCCCAGAGGAGTTGGAGGAATTGTGGGCATTGAAAGAAAACTAGAAGAGAAATCCAAAGAGACTGATAACTATATTCAAAAGGTAAGTATAATTAATAAAGGGTTGTTCTGAAAGGGACTTCTGCACTCAAGATTCTCTCCTGACATTTTCTGTTATTCCATTGTGAAACACAAGGAGAAGGAGATGTTGCATCAAAATTCACCAAGGCTTTATTCTGTGTACTCCTTTTACTGAAGCACCAGTACAACATGTTTTAAAACCAAGCTAGCTTGAACTTGCTAAGGGGCACAAAAAGGGGCAAAAAAAGTGCTTGTCAATGAGGGTTTGATGAAGCTTTGTGTTAACTGAGTTTGGGTGAACAAGATTCTATTTTGTTAATGTATAACTTATGTCATATTCTTCTAAGGTGGATTGTGGATGAATCAAATTGAAGTTAGGTTATTTTTAATGTAATATGTTCTTTATTTCACCTCAGATGGTGATAAAATATAAGTAAAGCCTTTATATGGGCCCAAGTGGCCCATTGGGCCGGTGCTTAACTCCGGTTTTCTTAGCATGAAGCGGCTAGGAGTATTACTACTCCCCCCTGGATGGGATGCTAGTCCATCGCAGGGTTACCCCCAGTACATTTGCTGGTACCCATTTGTACACCTGGGTGACGAGAAGCACTGTGAGAGTAAAGTGTCTTGCCTAAGAATACAACACAAGGACCCCGGCCAGGGTTAGAACCTGGACCACCCGATCCGGAGTCGAGTGCACTAACCATGAGGCCACTGTGCCTCCACGGTAATAAAATATGGTCTAATACTTTTCCACTGACACATTTTGTGCCAGTTATTCAATGCGTCTCTTTTTCTTTTGAACATTACTTTAGGCTTTTAAAGACTTGGATGCATTAATGGAGAAGGTATACTTATTTGATTTTCATACAATATTCTAAACAATGCCAAACAAAGTGTGCAGTAACACTTCACTTGTAGGTTGTACTTAAAGACTTAGATTGTCCAAATGTCATGGGTTATAAGCTCTTGCTGTTGCTGTAATTATGTGAGTGACTTAGATAACTCTTTCATTCCTAAGATCTGAATATCAATTCTCTGTTCTTTATTTCTTACATTCTTCATAATTTTAGGTCTGAGGATTTAGTGTTAAATCACAGCATATCCCTCACTTGATATTTTTTGTTGTTCTCAAGGTGTTTCTGCTTGAAAATATATTGATAACTAAGCATAAAATTACTTTTGGTCATCCCTGGCAGTGAAACAGATAACAAAGAGCTACCACTGTTGATGTTTAGTTTTGTTTTCTAAGAGGGGACACCTGCAATTCTATTTGCAACAAGTTATGGTTGATGTTAGGGGGATCTGATTGGGTTGTTTTAAATAATTATCATGAAATTTATGTTTGTGCTGGATTTTTAACAGGCCAAGGAAATGGTTGCCATTGCTGATAAAGTAGCTTCCAAATTAGAAGAGAAAAAGGGTGCAATCACTGAAGATGAGGTAATTAACTACTTAAATCTCTGTCATTTGTTATTCTCCTTATTGTCTGCCAAACAATTCTTATGATTTTAGTTCTGAGAATTTAGTACTGGACCAACTGGTAATCCCCTAATTGATATCTTTCTGTATTCTCATCACTTGCCTCCTTGATATTGTGTTGGTATTATAACAAGAAATTCTTTTGTGGTCATGCATGGGAGTTAAAGGTTAAAGTGGTTTCTGTAAAGGTGAAACTCAACAAGTTAGTTTCATCTTGTCAAGACTTAGGTCTGTACTGGTCTTATCTGCACTAATCTGGAAAAAGTAAAATGACTAAAATGATTAACAATCTGTTCACTTTGAAACTAGCTTTTGCTGCATATATCAGCCTCCTTCGCTGCCAGACTTTTGGGTAAATTCAGCTGTAGAGAAGACTATGAGTGAAATGGAAGTATCCAACACTCTGGCCTCAAACTTGCAAATAATTCTTTGTTTGTATATATTACACGGTTCATTTTTCATTTCAGTGACTAGTTTTTACTGGGAGTAGAATGAATTGATTGTAAGTTCACTCTACTCCCAGATTGTAAGATTGTTATTTTTTGATGAAGTTTTTTATTTTGTTTATTTCAGACAGTTACATTCAAGTCTTACCTCCTCAGCATGGGAATAGCCAATCCAGTAACAAAGTAATTTTATGTTATTTATTAGTTAAAGTGCTTTTCGATTTAGTGCTGTAAAACCCAACCCAAAGTTATCAAATAAATACCTCTAAGAGCCAATGAGAACTCAAATAAAAAACCGACCAAACTGCTAAAAGTGTGGGAAAACGGGGGTGACCTAGGCATGGATTGCTTTAGTTTTGCGTGTGATTGGTCGAGAGAGTGGCGTGAGTTTTCTGGACCAATCACAGCAATCAAGGATTACTTTCTACTCTCCATTGAAAATTCCCTATGAATCATTATTACATCTAATTTAATTGAATCGTCACACTAGTTAAGTAGATGAGAGGGTCTTTTTTAAAAACAATTACAGCACAGTTTCACAGACTGAGCACAGCAAAAAATACACAGGCAATTCTCTTACTTGGCGCTTAATTGAAAAATATTCATACTCTTAATGTCTTTTAAGGGAGACACATGGTTCAGGTGCAAGTTATCATAAAGAACTCGCTAAAGAACTGGGAACATTCTTACAAAAAATCATTACGGTAAGATGTGTACCGCAACCTTTCATTTCCTGGTGCTTTAGACTTGATTGCAACTATTCAAGCCTGTTCTTGGGGAAGATTAAATAATGACAGTGGTATTTGCGATCTTGGTAGTGAAAGTTTTATCAAACTTTTAACGTACTTAGTAACTTGGTGCATACATGAAGTCTTTACATGCGTTTGACCCAGGTGCAAATTCTGTCATTGATTCGGAAGATGGAACCAAAAATAGATCACACTTCATTTGAAATGTTTATTATTATTATCATTGAAGGACGAAGGAGGCATGATGACGCTGACCGATGTATACTGCAGATTCAACAGAGCAAGAGGAATGGAGGTTTGTGTTGGTTTGTGTGTGGTTCGTTTTGTGTAAACTGCATCATAACAGGAGCTGTTGACAGAAGTAATTTTTTAGGCCATGCGTAACCACTTTAAGGTTGAAGAAGACTACAAAAGGTTTGCTTTGTAAGATAGAAACATATAAACCAGAGAGGTACAAGGATGGCGAAGGATGAAGAGGGTTAAAATGAATAATAACTCTGAACGAGTATTTCTTTCATTTAAATATATTTTTCATATATACACCTATTCATGATCGAGTTCGGTCAGGGTAGGGAAAGAAATGCATGTCTTCATGGCGATCGGTAAAACCCACAAAAAACTAAACATTTTGAACAAGGAATACAATACTAGTTAAATCTGAACTTCAGGGCAGAAGGTGAAGCTTTTATTTTTCTGGTCACGATGTTTTTGAAGTGTATTTAGTCATTGTTTTAGTTGTGATATTCTTTCGTCAGCTTGTTTCCCCCGAAGACTTAATAAATGCAGCCAACATGTTTTCCGCTGTGAATATTCCACTGAGGTGAGCTGTGCTGTCATCTCATTTTAATCCGATGATTTACTGTTGTGAAGAAAATTTATATGTTACCCACTTGAAGGAGTTTAAGTGTTTATAGATACGTGTTTATATCGTCAGAAGAAGCGCAAGCTTTTATTCCTGCCTGTCTTGATAAGATTTGACTTTCGTCCTATTTTAAACGAATCACTCTGTATGAATTCCATATAGTCACAGTCATTGATTCAACAGTTCACGGGTTTATTACGAACCAACATAATGACCAGCTCCTTGGTGGCTTGGTAGCTTAGATGGTAGAGCACTGCACCGGTATCGCAGAGGTCATGGATGGCTTCTGCTTAAGTAATGTTCATTACTGCGAAGATCGCTTCCATATTCAATATTACGCTATTGTTCGTGCGACGAGGATTTTCTCCCTCATCCGACGGACTAAGCCGGAAAAGAGTGAGCGCATGATTACAGTCATGACAAGGGTTTCTCTATGTTTACTTCCTCTCAGGTGGACATCCATGAAAACAGTTTAACAAACTTTTGTTAAGTTTCTAATTTTTCTACGTTATAACCTTTGTTCCCTTTTAGAGCCGTGAAAGTAGTTGTGTGGGAAACTTGAGCGATCACAGTGGTTATGGGAACAGAAAATATATTTATACCTTTTTAAGTGCTAACGTGTGGACGTGTCTTGCAGATTAAGATCTTTTGACAGCGGTGTGTTGGTTATTCAAGTTTTGTCCCACAATGACGAGGAAGTCATACGGACAACCAGACAAATGGTAAGCACAGACATGTAGCCACTGGTGGGGTGGAGAGGAATGAGCGGGTAGGGGCGGGGCACTCCATTCTTTAGGCTGCGTCCGAAATTGCTTGTCGCCATTCAGGGTATCAATTTTTTTCTAATATTGTCTTAGTATGCAACAGGTGGCTCAGTGAGATCGATTAGCCACATTCCATGGCAGTTTTTTTGAAAGGAACGCGGTAACGAAGTGACTAGCATCTAATTTCTTCTCACAGTATCACCAGAAAATTATACTTTTAAGTCACGAGTATAAAGGAAGTGATCTCCAACGAAAGAAGCTCTTGATTAGTAAACAACTTGTTATTACTATCGGGTATGTTCAGAGAACATTGTGGAGAATATACATACTGATGTTAATGTACAAGTATTTTAAGCTGGGTATTTAGGTCTCGATGTCAGACCCCTACCCGAATCTTTTAGGGCCGGTTATTGAAACGAGATCCAACCCAAATCGCGGTTCTACGCAAGCAGTGGGCCTCGGTGATTCTCTAGAAGAGACTTGATTTCATTTAAATAATTGTCCTTCCACTATAAAGTTTCGGCCTCTTGACACTGTCCACAAAAAATTGATCCGTAGCTAAATTGAAGATGGCTTAGAACGTGGTTTTCTTAAACAACAGCTAAACTTTGTTTAAATAACCGGGCCTTACAGTTTTCTCTAGATGAACAATGAGTGATCTTTACATCAGGACAACATTTTGACTGCTCTGTTGGGTTGTCTTTTTCTCTTTGCATGTAATAGCTCGATGAAAAGAGCTCCTTGACAGCCGAAGAACTCGCACACTTGGCAAAAGTATCCGTAATGTTGGCCAGAGAAAGGTAGAGTTAGTCACACTTGTGTTGTAGTTTGCCATCTCTTTGAGCGTCTGAATTCAGTTTATAGGGAAGGCGCGCGAATCTGAATATTTCAAAAAAAGTTTGAATAACACTGGATTATCTAATCCTAATTCTCTCGATTCCCTATGACTTGAATCCTCGCTAACGCGGACATCGCGTTAAATCAAACCAAAATCGATTTCCCTGGATTTCCATCGAAGGGTAACTGTAATCTTACCCCCATAACTTACTCTTTTTAGCAAAAACATTCGATGTTGCGGTTCCTCCGTTCAGTAATAGATCACAGTTGACGTAAAATTGTGGTAAGAACCAAAAACTTGCACACGAGGCGCAGCCGAGTGTGTTACTGAGGTTCTAATCACATTTGAAGTCTTTCGTGAACTATTACAGTAACTGAACAGAACCAAAGCAACATCATGTTGCCTTGATTCCGTGAATCTAGTAGTTTTATATGATAAACAAAAATCAAGATGTTGTTCATGTTATACCATCCATGCGTATGTCCTTCAAAAAGTTCTAAACAAGGACCAGTCAAAATGTGTGTAGGATTCATCTTATCACATAAACGACACCAAAATAAATAGAATAAGATAGATGGTTAGTTTTGAGCTCGGTAAGAAATAGCCGGAGAAAGATGCTTTTTCGACTTGTCATGAGCGTAGGACAAAGAAAACATTTTGGGTCCCCGTGAGGGCTCCGATGCTCTACCACTGAGCCACAGAGACTACACACAGAGATTCTCTCTTACTATTTAAAAACAGGACGCTATCGACATTGCTGATCTTAGCAGTATAAAGGACACGTGTCTTCGTAATAGACTTCGCTCACTGTAGAGTCTCTGTGGCTCAGTGGTAGCGCAGCGGAGGGTGGAGTCCGAAGGTCTGAGATTCGTTTCCTTATGGCGACTCAGAATTTTTTCTTTGTCCCACGCTCGTGACAAGACTGAAAAAACATCTTTCTCTACACCAAAATTGTAATAAAGGGAACACTGTGAAGGTGTATAGATACGCTAACTCAGTCAAACCTCCTTCATTCTCCTCAGGAGGTTCGAGTATTTGGGAAGTTGATTGTGATTAACTCATAGGTTGCTTTTATTGTTGTAGGCTCTTAGTAACAGAACAAGCTGGCAAAGCATGCCGGGATGACAGCGTAGAGGGTCTTCGGTTCTACCCTAATTTCCTTGTAGAGAGAACAGATTGAAAAATGTTGTTAAAAAGTGAAACAATCAAATCAAGCGGAATCTCGAGAGCTTCGTCTCTAATTTCTTTGTAGAGAGATCAGACTGAAAACTGTTGTTGAAAACCTGAAACAATGAAACTCATTGAAATCTCAAGAGCTTTGTGTCTGGTCAACTGTTGTGACCAGTAGGAAAATAAGCGCCATACCAAATCACTTGTTCCTGTTAGTCTGCATATAATGGTTCAGAGAGGTTAAGATATAAAGTCGGACACATTCAAGTTGACGGAGGAATAATGGCAAAATAAAAATAGCCTCAATAAATTTATTTTGCAACTGATCTCGCCATGAACAAGGTAGCTTTCTGACAAGTTACAGACAGGTCGTCGTAAAACACGCGCAGATAATTAAAACAGCGTATTTTATTAAACATAGGAACTGTACAGAAGTCTTGAATAAAAATGAAAAAGTACGATTTGTTGTTCTGATTCGTCCTTTACTTTGTGCCGTTCTGGTCTTTTATTTAACACAAGGTTCCTTTTTGATTTTATCAGAATCAATAATTTTTATATTTTGTCGCCTGTTCCACGCACTATGCTTGCCGGGCAAGCGAAATGGCGCGGTGAGCGAGCAAAAAAAAAAAAAAAAAAAAAAAAAACGAGAAGGGGACTATCGAGAGCGACATCTGTTCTCAGAGCCCCGCCAATTCAATTCAACGTTCGACGTGGCCTTTAACTTTTTGAAAAAGTTCCTGTAACTTATCCTCAGGAAAACTGTCGGAAGGAAGTTGAGACATGTCGATGTAAAGCAGCTTGGCAAAAATCAAAGCCAGTTGGCCGGGAGGCGGCCAATCAATGAACTCAAACAGCACTGGGATGATAGGCTTTCGTAGAGTATCAGCCAGAGTGACTTCTCTTTGGCACATTTCGGACATGCAGTAACGCTTTGTAACACAACATATCACGACCTGAACGGAAACAAACAAAAAGTGCAGTTACTATCAGAGATATGTATCTCAGGATTAGATTTTTGACACCCCCATGTTTTTTAACTTTACCCAGGAGAAACCTCGTCGAAGTGCTTGCTAGATTTCCCACCCTTCAGGGTCCAAATATGACATTGAGTACACCGGTGCATGGCTACTGAAATTACTTTCCCGGTACATGTAAAATTCAGAGATCGAGACTGGAACTAGGACTGGGAGCTGACTCTTCCTGGATGGGACGCTTTGTCTAACGTAGGTAGCGCGCCCCCTCCTTCCCGACACCAGAATTTCATCAGATTCCCCAGACAGTCTGTTGTTACCAATTTCTACTTCTGGGTGGAAAGGGTTGCGTGTCTCAAAGATCTAGCCGGGCTCGGACCCGGATCTCTTCACTTGGAGTCCTGCGCGCCAACCATCAGGCCACCTCTCCCGTTCCTAGGGGCGGGTAGTGAAGCAAACGGTCATAAATTCTCGTAACTTGGATTTCCAAGAGTCACCTTTGACGCTCTGATTCCTGCGTCTATCTCGGCATACAAGGCGTCTCCTCCACCCATCTGACCGATATCCATCCAGCAATCGAACCCAGCCTCCTCCAGCTTGTTCCTCAATACTTTCACAGTGTCCTGGAGACCCCACTGATATGAGATAAACACTGCAGGGCGGACCGCGATCTCTGAAGGGCTATCAATGTCGTCTACAATAAGGAAAATAAATTCACACTGCGTGAACTCCTCCGTAAAATAAGAGTGTATATTCCAGCAGTGGATTTTTTTAAGATTAAATGCTGACGGATTTTACGAAAGGAACTGCATTATTTTGTTTGCAGTTTCTTTCAGCCTACTAGTGCGTGTGAAATCATGTAGCGATGAAAATAACAGTTTCGGAATGATTACCTTCGAAAGTTTTAATTCGAGGTGCATCTGGAGGACTCACCTCGTCATTCTGAAACAAAAGGAGAAGCTTAATTAAATTATCATAGATTGAAACTATTCTAATAACAAGTTGTGAAGTGAAAACACATCAAAATGCAATTTCATTTTGACAACACGGTTTTTTTGCCACAATCATTGGTTTTCAAACTTTTCAACCAGTCAGAGAGCAAATGAATATGCGTGTAATGAGAAGACCAGCAAGCGATTCCATACTAAAAGTAACAGTCCTGAACTGAAAAATTTAGAGCAGAAACGGGATTGCACCCTTTCAAATACTTTACAGTTTGAAACTGCTAAAACCAGAGCAAAGTGTTCCACGGCATTCTATTGGAGAGGTAAAGGTGAGGTCAGGAATCAAACCACAGCCCAGGTTGGTTTAAGCAACATAAAAACGACTGGGAATGTTGCTACTCTTCCTTGGACAGAATACCAGCCCATCGCAGATTATCCCCAGCATTTGCCCAGGTTTCCGACAGTCTGCTAATATCATTTATATTTAAGGTTGATCAAAAGGCGGAACAGTTGTTCAAAAGGACGGATAACGCTATCCGATGGATAAAACGTTGTCCGTCGGATAAGAGTTAGCAAAACGTACAGTGCTATGACCGGATACAAGATGATTCAGCGTACAGCGTTATCCCTCCCTCTCCCTCGAATAACCGGAGCCTGCTTAGAAAGAGGCAGAGCGAAAATGAATCTTTCCCTTGCACACAACAAAATGACGCAGCCAGACCGATTGATCCCACAAGAGACACCAAGAAAATAAAAGGAAATCTCAAAGAACTAAGGACGGTGTAGTTTCTTCGACGAAAAATTTTCAAGTTAAGAAGGTTAAAAGTCTTAAATTACCTTTTTGACACAACCACACCATTTCTGTAAACCAGGAATCTCCAGTCGTGAACGGGCACCGAACGTCTTCGTGCAAATTAATTTTCCGTCGTTTGAAATCGGAATGAAATGAATGCAGGCGCTTTCGGTACATGACTTGGTCTTGTGTTTTGTGCAGGCTTTGTTGCAACACGAAGGACAAGCTACAGAGAATTCATAACGCATGTTACGAAGACATGCAAAGTCACTTGATAGACTACTCAGAATCGAATCCAGGCGCTCGCGGACCAAACCGGCTTGGCCACCTCCTTCGTCATTCGAGTTCTTTGTCTGGAGAATCACTTTCACAAACGACTGTTTGCCAATAAGAAATAAATCATCCTCGCCCAGAATAAACCTAGCAAGGTTTTGAAATAGGTTTGGTTCGTCTGTGCAGCCCAACTCGGGACAAACCGAGATGAACCGAGAAACGAGCTGCGGAAACAAACCGTGTGGGAGAAAGCCATCAGGAAAGTTGATGTACAGAGGACAAATTTCGCTCTCTGTCGTGTCCAGTTCTGTCTCTGGACACGAACAGAGCTGTGCCGGGACAAAATACTTCACAGCCGGCGAATCTTCTCCATCTTCACTTTTAGGCGTGAACCTTGCAATCAGACCATACATTTCCATCATGGAAAGAATGTCGCTCTGTGATTGACCATCGCACAAGAATTCGGCAAACACGTGATCAACTAAGCGCATGCTCAGAAGACCAGTTTCTTCAAGTTCGTTCCAGGCTGCTGCATGACGCGGATTCTTGAATTAAAAAGACATTCGATCAATGATTTTGCAAAATAATCTTTAAGTCTGACCCCTCTCAAGATGTCCGAAACTTAGATTTACTTTTGAACGACAGAGGTATAAAGGGAACTGTAAATGCAAATCAAAACACGCAAAAGTTAATATAAAAGTTACATTATTTTAGTGGGAAAGAAATGTTCCTTTTCACAAGCACTTCAGCAGTATTTCAATCCCCAGAATGATAAATTTTAGAGAATTTTTGAAGAATGTTTGAAACATTTTGCCTAAGAATTGCTGGTAAGAGGTTTTTAAAATGATGGCAATTTAACAACACCAAATTTAAAGGGCCCGAGATCGAACCATCTCTCGACGCTCGAAAGTGGTTCTGAGCTCGAAGAATTTCTTGCTTTTTGCCCTCAACTTCTTCCCAGCTCCCTTTCCCTTCCCACCCTTCGGACGCTAGCGAGTCTCTCCCTCTCATTTGTTCCACGAGGTTCGATGAGAAACCCTGGGCACGAGCTTGTTGCTTCTCCTGCACGAGGTGTCTAAAAGAAAAGGTTTCACTGTATCGAAGAATAATATGGAATCCTTACGGAAAGGTCAACAATATACCTGTTCATCAAAAGGTCGAATGGTGATGAGCTTCCTAAACAAATGAATCAGCCATTGTGTTTGAAGGACCACAGTGTCACCATGCCAGATGATAATACCCAGGTCGTGATAAAAATCTAACATGGCTACCATCTCCGCCTCGTCCTCGATGAAGCATGTCTTACTCACGATGAAGTAGAGCTGAGAAACCTTCAGGTAGAAAATTTTCTGTTGCACCAGCGCTTCAACGACCCTCTCGAAGTTAAACCAACGTACGGGGACATCTTCTCCCATGTATGGCTCTAAGCGTAAGACCTACAAACAATTTGAATCAATCAATAACCCCATTAAAAATAGTTCTGTGTCGTGTGGTGCGTATTATTTTCTTGGTTTCACATTTTTCAAACCAGTTTCATCTCTAGAGCAATATTAAATTTCGTAAAAAAAAAAACAAAGAACGAAATTATTCATCAATACGATTTGTCTATGAAATCATCACAAGAGCTTTTCGAGACGATTGTTACTAGTCCCTTAGGAGATTTCGCAACACTTTCCTAGGAACTTGTGATTATCAGAACTCAAGAAAACCAGAAAGACTGGTGGCTGGCGCAGTGAACCAGTCATATGGGGGTTTTCCGTAAATATCAGCCAATAATAACAGAATATCATCCTTCACGATGAACTCAATAGGCTAGTTTCGCAAGAAGGTTTTTCTGTGCTTCGAAGATGTTCAAGTTGATCATTGCACTTACCTCTCTTATCTCCTGTCGGACCTTCTGGACACCTTCGTCTTCCCCAGACCGCGTATTATCCACTCGGTAAAACGGTCTGCGAACGTGCTGCTCGTAGGTCTTCCCAGAGAGGCTCTTCTTTATTTGAGTCTCCATGCGTTTAGGGTCCTCGAACGGGTTGTCAGCGTGAGTACCTACTATGATTACCGGGGGTCTCAAATACGGCTGTTCCTCTTCCTGGTCCTTCTCTTTAGCCCTAACCTCTGCACTAAGGTTGTGTATAGAAACAAGCCACGATAGAATGCTGTCCAAGTTGGTTTCCTCTCCGCTGGAATGTGGAATAAAATCGTGCACGCCCTGACGAACACAGGGCTCCATATTGGCGCTCAGTTCCTTGCTCAAGTTGTACACCAGCACGTAAACAGCCCGTGGGGAGAGAAACACAGGGTGCGAGGCGTAATACAGATGTTGCCCCGCGAAGTCCCAAATTGTGACAACTGTTTCTCTGTCGCTTTCCTGTTGATCATAGCCTGCTTGACTGTCTAAGTATTTAGCGACTAAAGATTGAACATTTTCAGGCACGGTTCGCGAACTGTCAACCTCGATGTGAAATAGCTCTGCATCTTGCAATAACTCAGCTAAGTCGGTGTCGGCTGCAGACGAATGCTCCATTGAAGTGTCTGTGGGGATGTCCTGTGCCGGAAAACTTGTTGCTGGTACTGCGACCTTTACAAAAAGTGATAATCATGACATCAGCAGACTAAAATAGGACTAGTATTTTCTTATCTCAACCCTTTATATCCTTCCACCGGAGTGTCTTGGCTTTATACTGCTCTCTGTGCATTTCCTTAGTTGCTAAGAAGGAGAATTTGTTTAACAAGCAAGAGCTTCGTTAAATGGTGATCATTTCCTTTATTCTCATGACCTCAATGTTTAAGTCGAGGTAGATATTGTCAGAAATAAATTAGATGCTAATCCCTTTTAGGAATCAAAGGGATAACAGACAACTGCTATTCAGCACATGCCAAAAAAATGTTCTCTAAACTACGCGTGTTATGTTTCGTCCTCCTGCTTGACAGCCAAATAATAACAATCACGTCTGACACTGGACATATCTTATTGAACAGCAATCGAGCCACTGAAAAACGTAAATATCCGTGTCTATAACCAAAAGGACAGGTCAAGATCATATTCTCGCACAAAACATTGTTCACAAAGCAGTCCAAATCAACCGAAACATAACCTATCGAATAGCAAACATAAAAACTGCTTTACGGTCTCTCAGAAGTTCCGGTACTTACTAGTCCCGTACAATAGCTTTTTGTTTGCTACTTTTACATTCAGGATCGAGATGCTATACATTAGTTTTGAAATTCATACTATAAAAATGAGCCGGGACCCCGCAGTGCAATTCTTTAGGTGTCGATCTTAGGCTTGTACAGTGCGTCAAAGAGCTCAGTTTTTCAATGTTTTCCTTACAGTCGACCCACCATACCTGGTTACTCTGTGGCGCTGATACCCCCTGTGTGACATCAGTTTGCACAGGGTCAACTTCCGAGGAGTTGACCTCTGGCTTCTTTTCCTCGTCCCTTGAGCGCAACTCGCCAACGACAAGTCTTGCAATATCATCCGCAAACTCACACGTAAATTTCTCGTTTTTTACGAGCTGCCAGTTCATTACGCGGTCAACGTCCAATTCGAAACGAGACGGGTCTACTTCAATTCCTTCAGTACTTTGTTCGCCGGGATCAAACTTCAAACCTAGAAGCGACTTCTTCAAACTTGTCTTTCCGGCTCTGTTCTGGCCAATCAGCATGACGCGCCCACGATACACCCGGACCTTACCCTTTTTAAGAGCTCGCTGAAAAGCATGCTCCGCCTCGATTCCGCGAGCTTGGATCTCGGGAGGAACTGGTGAATGGAATGAAAATAAATATTATGAACAGTAAACTTCGCGCGAATTTCTTTCTAAGAAATGTCGAGCGAGTTACTCCATTAAATTCTCTAAGTCAGCACCGTAGGAAATGTATAGAGAACAGTACGGAGAATACGAGCACTGTTATGTACTGTTGAGAACTCGTTGGTCGTACTGATTTGTACTCATTGCCAACCCGCCACCTCTCGTTGCCTCTGTATGAAATTCATATTAAGCAGAAGTTAGTAATGTATTCAATACTACATATTTTTCGGACTCACCAGCTGAATCTTTGTCAGGTTTTGCTTCTGATGAGGTGTGAGTTGCCTCTTGTTCAACATTTTGTTTCAGTGTTTCCCAACAGATATCTTCATGTCCTAAAAATATTATGCAATGAACACTCTTAGAGAGAAAGTATCAGCAACAAGACAAGACCTTTCAATTTTGTGGCGCGGAAAATTGACGAATTAGAAATGAAACTTTTATTTGTTGGAAACTATTGAATATTGGTTCGGGAAGAAAGTGTAAAGAAAGGGACCCACGGTAATTTAAAATGAGTGACGAAAGTTTTCTGTTTGGTTTTCGTCGCTATGTGATTGGTCTAGAAAACTCGCACCACTCCTTTAACCAGCCAAAAGCTACTTTTGTTATCATCCTTTGTTATGATTGGCTCTTGTGATTATGTTGTGATCATTTTGGACTTGGTTGTAAGACACTCAACCAAAAATCTCTCCATAAACATAGAGGGAACAGGAATGGCTGCAGACGTTGAGATAAAAACGAATTTCGAGTTGTTTTTTTTTTACTGAGCTTACGCTGAAGTGCTATGTAGAACTGTACGATGTAAACTACACACCAGGGTGACTGTCATACGACTGTTTTCAGTCATACGACTGTTTTCTAGTTAAGCCCGCCCAACTCAATAAAAGCAATTATCTCAATTTACTATTGAAACTGTAAATCAGACAAAGCTACACAGTTATCTCTCAAAAAAAAACTTCACCGAACTTTTAACTTACCGAGGAGTTCTTCCGCGTTTGAAGGATCAAGCAGACCCATTGAGCCATTCCTTTTTTCACAAAGCCATGCCTCATTGCTCGAGGAACTGGCCACTTTCTGTTCTCTACATAAAATAAAATTAACTTTCAAACTTTTGACCCCTTAGAGTAACTAACATCTAATAGCACGTGGGTGGAGCTTCATATCATGAATTGTCACTACCGAGGTCTGAGTGATCTGCTGAAGCCTTCAGACCTTGGCAGTGATAATTCATAGTATCATGCGAAAACCCAATTCTATAATTGAATAAAGGGGTAAGTTTCTAAAGAAACTGTGGTGCTGCGTCGGTGGGAGAGTATAGCAGGTAATTTAGTGTTAACAACTGGGTTGAAAACGTAAATTAGCCACCGTAAAGGGTAAAAAAGCTGACGTTTCGAGCGTTAGCCCTTCGTCAAATCGATTAGACGAAGGGCTAACGCTCGAAACGTCAGCTTTTTTACCCTTTACGGTGGCTAATTTAGGTTTTTAACCCAGTTGTTAACACTAAATTACCTGCAATTCTATAATTGTCTCATTATTCATTTTTTAAACAATCTGCAAAAGAGGACACCTCTCTTTAAGTCTGTAAAAGTTTGAGAACAGTACACGAACGAGGGGCTAGGAAACTAGGCAGACTTTGAATTCGAAATAATAACACATTATCTGCTGCAGACATTGGGCACACTTTGAACTTGAAATAATAACCCAATATCTGCTGCAGACATTGGGCACACTTTGAACTCGAAATAATAACCCAATATCTGCTGCAGACATTAGGTTATCATGTCAACTTCACACGCCATTGTATATTGACTGTATACTCTCGACCAATCAGAGTCTTCATAGTAAGTCAAATTTACAATAACATTTCAAACATGGCAACTGCAAGATAGAATTGCTAAATTCCGAAATTTTATGGTAAAGAAAAATATGAATTAAATGAGTTTGAAAATAATTCCAACCACATTACATAAAACTATTTTTTCATGGGGTTAATGATTGACCAGATGAAAAATATTTTCCAGTCTTAAAGGAATAAGATGTGTTTTATAGTACTCACAGAAATTGAAATGCTTTTGAAATCAACAGAATAACTTCCCCTTTTTTGCAACTGAGTTGATGTGGCACTTGACGATTACAATCTACTTTGACCAGTAGTTTGGGAAGAGAAAAAGTCTGTAAATTAAAAAAAAAAAAAAAAAAAAGAAAATTAGTTAATGAGTTGGATACCTTAGTGTTTAATGGACTATTTTCATCAATCATATTTTTGTGCAATATCATTCTACTGTTTTAACACATCCTAACACAACTATTCACCATCTCAATGTCCCTGGCCAGTGGTGGATATTTACCTCACTGCTTTGCAGCTTGGTAAATATCTATCAGTGACTACAAGCCACCTCTGCTTTGGTGTATAGTTGTTAATTATTATTTATAAAACACTCACTGAAAGAGTTTTTGCAACATCAGACATAAGAGGTCTGCTCTTTGGGTTTTTTGCATTGCATTGATCAAATAAATCCTTCAGCACATCAGGTATGAGGACATTATTTACAAGCTGTGAAAGAAACAGAAAATTGTTATCAGGATAACTAACTGTGTTTTGAAAAACCAAACAGTCATCTGATTAGTCTTTCCAAAACTTAAATTCACCGCACTGATCACACTCTAAATTAAATGGTAACCTTATTGTGAGCAGGAAATAACTGTGGCAACAACAAAATGCTTGAATATTGAGTGATTTTCAATAGCTTAATTTGTGGCCTAAGTGGCTGTTTCAGATCCAAACTGTCCAATTTCACCCATCAGATTACATATAGGACAGTTAAGCTGCCAATAAAAATTATGGACTTTCAGACATCAGCCAATAAAACTCAACTACCTAGCTAATCAAAATAAAGAAAACTTCTAACATCAGGTTGAGAGGTCCACATTGAAAACATAGCAAAATGTACAAAATTAACCAGCAAATGATTATTATTAAGTTTCAATAAGATGGATATGTGCTCTTGCATTAAATTTTTCAATCCTGAGTTTCTTGTATTTTGTCACTGACACAAATAGTTGGTAATCTTACTTTGTGACATACAATTCAGAGACATACAATTCATTCTCCGCCAATTTGAAATCACTTCCCCACTAACTCCCCAAATTGTGCTCCACTTAGTCCTATTACTATTTAATTTTCCCTAGTACAGTATATTAGGCACAGCTCCATGCTTTTGAAAAAAAGGTTATTTTAATTAGTATTTTGTACATGGGAACCGATTACTCAATTGCAACTGATAATGTTATTGACTGCTAAACTCAACTAGAATTTTGTCATTCTTAAGATTTTAAAGAACTTGCCACTTTACTCTTCAAAGGTCTTGTGATCAGGTTACAAATTAGGTGATGAATGACACAAACTGAAAGTCCTTTGCCGGACAAAACTCAGGCAGAAAATCCTACCATGGGATTACTTCTTAAATCTCAGGGCTTACTTTAATTATAGTTGGTGATACCTTTTCCCTTGTCGAGGATAATAAATCCTGATGGTGTGCCAGATTACGAAACAAATCTTTGGCAATTAGTGCAAACCAGCTTACTGTCTCCCCTTTCTTTGTAGAAGAACTGGAAGGAAATTAAAAAAAAACAGAAGATAGAATTTATTGGTAAGAACAATGTGTACAAAAACCCTAAAAGAGAACTCTGGAATTTTTTTTTCAACAATTCACATGAAAGGTATCAATATTATTATAATACTAACTCTTTCTTGTCTCTTTGAAAACATCCCCAGAGCCCTCCCAATTTGATCTGCAAATAAAAAAAAAGTTTCATTATCTTGAGATGCCTTGAGTGAGTTGATTTGTGGCCTGCATTGAATCAATGCAAAGAGTGTTGAAACGCACAGTTCACATGAAACCATTTGCCAGTGTGCACCAGCATCAGTTTCACTCTGACAAAGGGCCAACACTTGAAACATCAGCTTTGAACTCTATACAGTGGCCAATTTATGTTATCAACTCAGCTAATAACACTAATTAAAATTACCCTGTTATACTATCCCACTGACACACCACCAGTTTCTTTAGAAACTTACCCCTGTTATGCACCAGCATCTGGTCTGCTTCATAATTACCATCATGATAACTGACTAAACCCATAAACTCCCAGAAGTGATTTACATGCAACTTCACCCTATAATATCCATAAAACAACCAGCAAACAACTTATAGGAATACTCAAACTGATCAAGTAGAAGTTTTTGTCTCATCTAACACCAAATTCTCTCAAGTAATTTAAAGCAAATGTGTAGCAGCTAAAAGGGAGAATTTATAATCAGACCTTGGGAGATAAAAGGTTGAAAACAACCCAAACCTTGAAAAAACGGGCTACGATGGACAAAAAAAAAGGCTTTCAAAAGTTAGTGACAAAAAAGAGGGAAGATTGAAAATATGAAAGAAAAAGTTAAGGGCATGTTAACATGTTCCTCTCCTTATACCAGCTAAAGAGTGAAGGTGTAAGTCCATGAATAGTTCAAACAAACATTCATTATTAATAATCAGTTCAGAAAACCAACTATAACCAACTAGGTGTGACAACATGAGAGTAATTTTGAGTACACTTTCATCAACCTGTACCTTGCCAGGTGCGACCACAAATACAGATGAAGCCACTATTCGTGTATGAACTAGACCTATGCTTTCAAGGTATTCCATGGCCGCCGCAATCTGGGAAATCATCTGCAGCAGACTGTACACTGACTGCCGTGGCATGGCTTCCACGATGTTCCCATACATGGCAAAATCCACCACCTAAAGTAAACATCATTGATCTAAGTGCAGTACTGAATTACCAGTTCAAACATGATTTCAATTCTAGCAAATTCTTGCAGCTTCCAGCTGTAATTTATGAGGAAACATGCAACAGCTAAAGGAGAGAAGTAAAAATCACATATTAGAGTTAAAAAGTGTTAAAAAAAGTCTGTTGATACATGTACCTAATACAAAATAAAAACTGCTGGTTACAGAACCTAATTTTTTTCACCTTCAATTTTGGGCCTGTAAACAGTACAGGCCTGAGAGTTCATTTTAATACTATGCAGTGTTTATTTCTTTTATCTTCACTTACCAGAGCTATGGAGTTAGTGTACAGTCCAGGCAAAATCACTCCATAAAGATGAAGGACATTCTCATGATTCAGTGATGCTGATAATTCTGCCTCATGGAGAAAATGTTTCCTTTGGGACGGAGCTCGGTCATACCTTAAACAAACTCTAATCTACAATTAAGAAATGAACACAATGAAGTCAAGTAATATTCATAACAATTCCAATTCAATAATTTTTTGAAATAATATTGTAATTGCCATGGGCAACTGGATAAATTCAAATCTGCCCAAGTCATACCAATCAGAATATTATGCTGTATTTAATTAACCTTTTCTCCATTTGGTTTTGTCCAGATGGCTTCAAAAACAGATCCAGATACTGGTCCTGATGAAATCTTCTTCACAACATGAATTTCATCAACATATATAAATGGTACTCCATGGGACTCCAATTGAGCTTTGTAGGGAAGTTTTCCATGTTTCTAAAAGGAAGGAAGATACCAACAGTTACACTTGACTTTTGTTTTCTTATAACCACAGCTATTCATTATCTGTACAACTCTGCTCATGTTTGAGCATAAATGCTGCAACCTGATTGGCTTTGCTAGTCTGTACCAGTTCTTTATTTGAGAGAGTACAAGTAAAGTGGGTAATCATGAAGAACTGCTCCCCTTTACCAACAGTGGGTCAACAACTTAGCAATAGGCCACTCAATTTTTATATGCAATTGATGATTGACAACTGATATACTCAATAGTCCATTTTACAGTGGAGTGCTTGGTTGCCAAGCCTTTGAACAGGATTGAGTGAATTTATGTTATAATAATCCTTTTCTTCCAAGAAAGCATGCATAGCTTCCACCATTCACCACATGCCAATGGTGGTTATTGTGTGTGTGTGCCCAGAGAACCATAATCCAGCCAGTTCATTATCTGAGTCACCTTATAAGGAAATACATTGTGCCAACCGTTCGGAGCTGAAAAAAGCTCCAAATATCCTAACATTCAAGGTTTAAATATAATTTAATAAAACCATTATTAAAACTCACATCCAACATGTACTCAAGGAATCATTGTTAAATAACCCCATTGCAAAGTCATTAGAAACTTAACTTATGTCATCATTATAACCTGTATGTGAGGTTTAGCTATTACATCATGGGCTCATCCTCCATTATAAACAAAAGAAACCCAAACCTACCAGCGCCAAATTAACAAAATCAGCTGTCCCTACTTGCTGTGGAAGTTGTTTCAGCTGGTCTTTAGCAAATTTAGGAAGAAGTCTAAATCTCTTAAGTGCTTTATCATCTAGTCCATTCAAATCAGCTATAGAACGGATTTTCAAGTCATAACACAACACATTGAAACTATCTCTGAGGTTGTGTTCAGCCAGAAGAAGATAAAGCTTGTCAAGTTCAGTTAAATTTTCCACTCGAAGATTCCTTGGGGCCTATACAAGAAGAACATCATAATTACTTTTAACAATATATACAGCAGAACCCTTCCATGTGACCACCCTGTTTACCCTTTCACTCCCTGCAGACAACAAAAAAGGATCTAGCATCCAGTTTACAAAACATCGAGGAACTATGTCTCCTACCCATTCATAGGACCATCTCATCACCATTATTACTCCCTTTTGGAGCTGAAACTTGAGATTATTTAAAGCCTCAACAATTGAACCCTTCAACTTCCAAAAGTAATTGATACTTAACTTTGCCCTAAAATATGCGCACATTATTCAGCAAATAGGTTATGAGAATACTCAAACTTATCAGGTAGAAGTTGTTGTCTTAATCTAGCACCTAATTCTTGTAACTCATTTACAAGGTAACGTGTAGCAGCTAGAAGGGAGAATTAACAATCAGACCTTGGGAGTTAAAAGGTTAAATAGCTTCCTATCAAGTTTAAAACTAGAAATATTGATTACTCTGGTTGATGGCTTGCAACATGGCCTTTTGAACACAAATTTTCTCAAATAATTAAAAAAAGTCAAGTTTTAATCCTTAAACTCCCTTGAGTGACTAAGACAGAACTTCTCATTACAATATCAATACAATATCAACCAGATAAGTAATGAGAAGAAAGAAAAATAAAATTTGGGGATAGTTAGTTGATCCAATGCTTAACTCTCTGAACTAACAAAATAAGACTTGTATGGTCAACAGTAAGGAGAATTACAAATTTGATCCGGGAGTTAAAGGGTTAAATAAACAACTACCACAACACTTACATTTTTGTCTGCCTTTGGTAGTCTCTTAAGCTTTTTCATCATATTGAAAGTAACCAGAGACTCCTAAAAGAGATTTAGACAAAGAAGAGTGGGACGAAAGGAAAACTGTACATCACGTACCAGCAAGTGTGTCGAAACTTTGGGGGGGTGTGGCATCAATAAACATAGCGCTCTAAATTGCTTTTTCCCACATGGGTAGACTAGACTTTTTCGATGATATTTGAAATATTGCATTCATATGTTGGCAATGAAATTAACAAAGAAAAAGAAGCAGTATCAGTGATGATTTGAGTACGTTCTGAGGCTTGATTCATCGGTAATGGAGCAAATATGTATTATTTAAGGAAAAGTATGCACAATCGATCAGCGATAAAAATTCAAGTTTTCCCATTCAAACGGCATAGAAACGGAACTCTTGGTAAGATACATACTTACATGACACCAAAACTCGCATCTTACTGATTAGACAAAAACAAACCGCTTTCTCTCAATTTTCTGTGTATTGAGAATGTTTCATGCACCAAGTGCACGCTGCAATATCCACAAGGCGTTCCAAGTCGTTTGTCTCCAATCCTAGCATCTTGGTCACATGTAAAAATCTGGCCAATCAGAGGAAACATGCGTGGCTTACATGCGTTCTACAACCTTTGATCTTCCCTTACAACGAAGGTCTACGGATTTCGCCGGTCGAAGCCTAAGTTCTTGTCGAGTGTTTAATAGTTTTGGCTGATTCATTACTCTAGGATATTCAAAGTAAGTGGTAATTTCTTTATCTGACCTTTTAAATCTTTTGTGATTACTGTTTATTTATCCATGAAGCACATAATTCGTGAAAGTTGTGATTTCGAGTTGTGATATTAGAGAGCGTCACTCGCGCAAAAGATTCGATTCGATCGCAAAGTTACGAAAATATAGTGATCCTTGTGAGATCTTGAAGAAACTTCGGTTTTAAAGCTCACTTTAGCCTTCTTTCATTTAAAGTACTAAAAGGTTTTTTCCTTGAATTCCGCCTTTGCCGGTCGAAGATGTTCCAACGTGATTGGTCACGTGGCTCAGTTGAGATTAAAACTTCATTAACAAAATTTTTACGTTTGTCGATATTCTGTTGGCCACAGGAAAGCCTTAAATATCAGTTTATTGCTGTTATACCCAATCTTGACCAATAATTTCTTTCAATACTTTCTGATTTGATATCGACATCGTTTTCGGAAGTGACGTTTTCTGTGCATTCCTTCGATAGTTTCCGCTCGTACAACCCTCGTCAATTTTGAAATGTACTTAATAATCACCGTCCCTCGCGGCGAATATTGTTTCCTTAAAACCTTTCTACCGTTTCCTTTTTATACTTTGTGTTTGTTCGGGAAGTAATAGTTCAGGTTAAGTGTAATATAGTTAAGGCTTAGTGGTGAAAAAAAGAAACTGCAAATCGAACTGCAACTCTTGTCACTTGGGAACTTGTACATGTGGAAACTTGTCCTCTTTACTAACTGTACGTCTTCCAACAATTGGTGAACTCGTCTAGATAAAGAAAAGGACATTCCTTCTGGCATAGGCTTCCCTTTTTTAATCAATTCTTGAAAGTATGCATTTGTTTTAAAGTTCATATTTGTAAAGATTTAATTTGCAACCAGCAGATTATTCCTACAGTTGTGTGAGAAATGTAACCTTTTTTCCATTTCTTTCAGATGGCAAAAGTGGTTCCAAGTGAGAAAAAGCTACATTTTATTGAGAACTTTGGACTTAGTGGTGCTGCTGCTATCATTTCCAAAACTGCTGCTGCCCCAATTGAGAGAGTGAAGCTTCTTGTTCAAAATCAAGATGAGATGTTGAAGGCTGGACGTTTGGATACCCCATACAAGGGTGTTGTGGACTGTACGATGAGGACATACAGAGCTGAGGGTTTTCTTTCTTTCTGGAGAGGTGAGTAGTTTTGATTCATAAGTCAGTCTGCCTCTTTGTAGTTAAAAGCAGTTCAAGCTGTCAGAGAATGTTTACTACTCTACTACTCCATCTGGATGGTAAACCATTCTATTGCAGATCTCCCTTCCCCCTCCTCGAATTTGAGAGGGGGGGGAGAGGGAGTGATAGGCATGGAGTTGTGCGGAGAGCACTTGCCTCAACCGAAACAACCCAACTTTGGTTTGCAAACCTAGTGTAACTTGTGGGTTAATTTGGCTGATGGTTATCCTCCTTATTCTAAGGGTTTTTTTCCAGTCACTCTTCTCTCATTTACAGAAACCCTCTCGAATGGTTGCTTTACAACCTGTGTAATTGCTGAGTTAAATTGTCTTGCTGGTGTTAAGAACAATTTTAATCTTGGGTGTAGAGTTGCATCATATCCCTTACTCTCATGAAAACAGAATTTAACGTTTGCCAAACCCTTCAACTCCCCAGATCTGATTGTTAATTCTCCCCTCTAGCTGCTACACTTTTCCTTGTAAATTAGTTGCAAGAATTTGGTTTATGATCAAGATAACTTCTCATTGATCATTTAAAGCATACTCATAACTTTTTTGCTGGACAACATGAATGTTGTAGGGAGAAGGTAAATGTTAATAATTTCTGGGAGTTAAAGATTAATAGAACCATGTACTCTTTTGCTCTTCCCCAGGTAACCTTGCCAATTGCATCCGTTACTTTCCAACGCAAGCTTTGAACTTCGCTTTCAAGGATCAGATTAAGGCCCTTTTCAAACCCAAGAAAACTGATTCCTATGGGACCAAGTTTAGCAAGAATATTGCCTCTGGTGGAGCTGCTGGTGCCATGTCCTTGTTGTTTGTCTACTCTCTGGATTACTGCCGAACAAGGCTGGCCAATGATGCAAAGGCAGGTTCTAAAGGGGGTGATAGGCAGTTCAACGGCATTATTGATGTGTACCGCAAGACACTGGCATCTGATGGTATTGCTGGTCTGTACAGAGGTTTTGTCATTTCCTGCGTTGGTATCATTGTGTACCGTGGCTTCTATTTTGGTCTGTATGATACCCTGAAGCCACTGCTGTTGGGTGAGGATGCTGGACTGCTCATCTCCTTTGTCCTGGGTTATGGTGTAACAGTATCTGCTGGCCTGGCCTCTTATCCAATTGACACCATCCGTCGACGCATGATGATGACATCAGGAGAAGCAGTGAAGTACAAGGGTTCCATCGACTGCACTGTGCAGATTATCAAGGGCGAGGGTTTCATGTCCTTGATGAAGGGTGCTGGAGCAAACATCCTCCGTGGTATGGCAGGTGCTGGTGTCCTGGCTGGCTTCGATGAGTTCAAGAAATTGTATCTCAGCATTCGCTTCAAGGATGCCTAAATTTTTGAACTAATCTGACTGTATCAGCTGAATTACTGAGTGGATATTTTAACAGTTTTTGTGATTTTCACTGATGGGACAAGATTTGCCTGACATGTAAATGTTGCAAACTAAACTTGTTGGTGTTTTTTGGAACAGCTAAATATGTAGTGTGAAATGGTGCACAGTTAAAAATGTCCCAATTGACGGAAATGACTTATTAAAAAATAGTAAAGATTGTAGATCCTGTGTGTTTCTTTTAAATACAGCCCAGTCAGTCCTGAGCAACCAACCTTTTTCAGAGTTAACCCTCTTTGGAAATAACAGTGTTGTCTCTCAATCGTTGGTCTTCCTTGCAGCAACTTTGTGGTCTCATCGGGCAACAAAGTGGGAAGAGTGAACTCTTGTGTACTGCTTTAATCACTTCCTTATTTTCTTTGTTGTGTTTGTTTTTTAAATCTGTGACAACCATTAGAAAGCCTAGAGCCTGTTTCCCTTTTATTGTCCTCACTATTCTAGAGCCCTACTTTGCAGGCTGTAACCACTAAAATTTTCTGCCTGAAGTTCTCCTTTATACTGCCAAAAAGTGCTTGGAATTCTTGAAAACTCATCAGGTAGAAAGATTGCTCTACTGGTTTGAAAATTTATTTTACTTGTAGTGCTTACTTAACTATGCCCTGTGCAACTTACTTTAAAAGGAATGGTCCTAAGTCATTCAGAGAGAAAAACCTGAAGAACAGTGGGAGTTCTGAGTGATTCCAGAAGTTGTTCTTTTAACTTTCTCCAGATAATGAGAGAAGCTTGAAGTACCGAAGATGAAATATTTGCCAATGACCATGATCAATGCAGGAGGGACTTCAGAGAATTTAGGATGCCATAGGGAAAAACTTAATGGTGGGGTTTAGCTTATTTCTTTAAAAATGAACTGCCAACAAAGATTACAATTTAAAAATTTATTCCTCAACACTTTGTTATACACCTTCCAAACATTGTGTTTGCATGATTTTGTTTTCTTAGAAAAGGTTAAATAATCTGCCATTCCCTCTGGCCAGGGAATAGAGCCTTCAAATTATCAACTAAATTGTGTAAGGAACTTTTCTCCTCAGAGACAAAAATTTCCTCAACAGTCCATTTTACAGTTGTGTGCTTGGTTGCCAAGCCTTTCAACAGGAATGAGGCAAAGGGTGACCATGTTATGATACAAACCTTGCTGCTTTTCAAATGCTACTTGGATACTGGTCTCTATCACAACAAGGTCACCTTCAGCCTCACTCCAAATCAAAGGCTTGGCAACTAAGTAAACAACTGTAAAATGGCCTATTGCCTGCTTAACTAATGGTATTGAACACCAACAATGAAAAATTTTCTCGAGTAGAGCCAACCTTTCTTCTGCTCTTGTTTCTTTGCTAATCTTTCTTGGAAATGAGAAACAAATAATATTCAGAACAAATTCTGGGGCAGATCACATAAAAAATTTGTTATAGTTTAGTACAGTTCTCAATCAAACAAAACTTAAATTTTTGTTCATTACGATGATCATACATCCGAGACATACATAATATACCATAATATGCCTCTTCACAACTTCAGGATAACTAAAGGATGGAAATTATTCAACAAATAAATTCAATTGCATATATCAAATATTATGATGTGGGTCTAGATGATAGGTACTATGTAAAGCTATTTAATAATAATTATTTTAACATTCATTCCTACAAGAAATATAGGCTTGAGATGAATCACACACCTGATTAATCTGACATTAGGTTTTAGGCTGGTAACAATACTGTTGGGCTATGCTATTTTTCTCGACTAAATCGTCACACAAAGCAATTTTTAACTGTTCACATGGTGCATCTAAATTATTCTGTCTGTTCTTCCATGCTGTCAACATCTTATAGCTTTGTTCATAGACATCATCTTTATTGTCGTGCTCAAGTTGAGTAATGGTTGCTTCCTGAATGTGCAAAAGTCGTGCGATTCTCTTCCACACACCAACAATTTCTTTGGCTAAGTGTACAAAGTCTACATCTTCTATCCTTGCTAGTTGAGGACTTTCTGGAGGGTTATTCTAGTTAAAGAAAGGCATGCAGCAGTTAATTCCATGCCAGTGAAACATATACAATATGCATCTGTTGCATTAAAGCAACTAATCAATAATACACATAAATTAAACCAGCTGTTACAGATTAACAGTTTACTTGGATAGCCCCTCACAGCTGATGGTTAGTCCATTAATAGTGTCACTGATGATAATCCTCATCTGCTCATCTGATTATCTTTCAATAATATTACACTTGTCTATAATTATTATGAAATTAACCAGTATTACTAATTGAATGACTTTAAAATACACTGCCAAATGTTAAGATATTCAGAAGAAAAAATGTTCATAAAAAAGAGGAAAAACTGTTTATAAAATTATCAGGGTGTAAGTTCGTGATTGATACTGGCAGATCTCATAGTTCACAGTTGCCAGTCTATCAATCACTAAGTATATATAGAATTGTTTGCTTGGGCTACAATGTTGTAATCTATCATATAGTTGTTTCAAGAAAGGCTGTTGGACAAAAGTGCATGTGACAATCTTGAAACGTATCTGGGTATCCAGTAATCATTGAATTTTAATATGTCAAATAAATAAAACAATTCATCAAACCCACTCTGTCTTGTCCTAAAGTGACATTTCCGCTGATTTCCCTGAAATCCTAAGGTCAAGTAACTGTAACCTGAAAACCTACCTACAATTATTCCTTATGGGGTTGTCACATGCTCTTGTCTGTTTGTTTATTTGTTTTTTTTTCAACAACCTTTTTTGAAACAGCTGCATACAGTTACACCACAATACAGGGTACATGTTCAGGTCAGGCATATACACACACAAAACATTGACACAAACATAGGATAAATGAAGGTTAAGCTTCCTAAAAATACATCAACTCTAAATAAGAACTACTAGCAATCATCTTACCTCACTGCTGCTGTACCAAAGGTGAAGATTTCTAACAATGAACCTAGAGTGGTCCCCTACTTGTTCTGGACATGTAAAAAGTGTTTTTGAATCCACTTCAGAAGGAATGGGTAAAAAATGAAGACAGTCCTGATCCAAACATGATGCCGATTGATGCCGATTACACTCTGCATCAGAAGTTTCACAAGCATAGCAAGTTACACAAACTTCATAGCGTGCATTTCTCAGCCAATGCCACTGCCCAGATAAGCTTTTTAATTCATCTTCAATGAAGGTTCTCACTTGGCAAGCTCTACTCTTTTCATTTTCAAGACTTTCACTGGACATGTGACAGTTGTACCCCTTAAATACCAACTTAATGCAACACTTGCTACAAAGAAGAACAAGGTCATATTGACCATTCTTCCCTAAAAAGAAGTGAGCAGCATCGCAGTACAAGTTTGGGGGTATGGTGCAATCCAACATAGGACAAAGTGTGATAAGGCGTGAGACAAGCTGAGGGAACAAGCCATGTGGAATAAACCCATCACAGAACTTGTATATGAGAGCACATGGATCACCCTCTTTTGGCATCAATTTCTGCAAGGTAGGATCTGATACACGCAGTTGAGCTGGAACAAAGTATTTGATGATTTTTCCCTTACAGGAAATGTTCTGCTGTTGGTTTGGTTCTTCTTCATGTTGAAATTTTGCCAAAAAGCTAAATTTTTCCATCATCTCTAGGACACTTTGTTGCAAAGGCTTGTATCTACCCCCTTCCAAATCTTCAAACACTTTGTCAATGAGCTCCTTTTGCAAGACTCCAGTCTTTTGAAGGTCCTGCCATAACTTACGATCGACAGGATCCTTACAATTAGAAAAATGAATAAGAATTAACTTCGTTAATCAAATCATATGAAAATCAGGTTCTTTTGCTTCAGAAACAAACTACTTGGGATGTTGAAGATCATGCAATGAAAACAAGACAGATAGACTTTTGGACACTGTGCCCATGGTAAGGTGAGAATTTTTGCAGACCCAGGGATACACCATTCCCTGAAGCTTGTGCCTCCCAAAGTAGTAACAATACAAATCAACCTTTATCCTATAAACCCTAACATCAGAATGCAATTTCTCCATACTGCTCTTTATACATTTCCAAAGGTGCTGACAAAGAGAATTTGTATAAGATGTTAGCCACAGTTAAGAGTCAAAGGAGTAGGCTGCAAATTTAGTGGCGAGAATATTTTTTAACTTGCCATGACCACCAAAAAGGTTACAGCTTGAAGCCCTGTCAATAGACAACTACTTTGTTACACAAACCTGTTCTTGATCAGGGCAAGTGGAGATCAGCTTTTTGAAGAGATTGGCCAGCCACTGTGTATCCAGAACTACTACATCTGTGAATTGCACAATCAGACCGAGGTCATGGAAGTAGTTTAACATGGTGTCTAGCTGATCATTGTCTGTGATGAAGCATTCTTTCTGTGCAACTGTGTAGATTTCCTCTCTGGTCAAGAAGAAGGTTCCACCTGCTGTTAGATTCTTTAGAGCTTTTTCAAAATTGAACCACTTCACAGGAAGGTCTGCAGTTGAAATCAACCCAGATGACAAGATCTGTTGTACTCTTTTTTGGATCTGTTGAATCTCAGGTGATTTTGATGACTGCCTGTTATCTACTCTGTAAAAAGGAGACAGTACATGTTCATGGTAGGCTTTACCTTTAAGGCTACTACTGATCTCATCTTCAACTTGTTGGATTTCTCTGGGTGAAACCTTATCAGCGTGTGTTCCCACCACAAGCACAGGTGGGGGAAGGCAGCGCACCTTTGACTTAAACAATTCTTCAACATCATGCTCCACTGGGGGCCTGCAAATGCTGTGGACTGAGACCAACCATGACAGAAGCATGTCTAAGTTTGTTTCATTTGATGTGTTCTTCAGAGGTAATTCTTGGTCTCCATGCTTAAATGATGGCTCTGCGAGGTCATTTGGTTTTTTCTCCAGGTTATGAACAAGAAGATAGATGGCTCTGTGGCAGAAGAATAAGGGATGTGTCGCATAATACAAATGCTGACCCGCGAAGTCCCAGATGTCCAGAACAGTTTCTGTAGAACTGTTCTCATTGCTTTCCTCTGAATTTTTAAGGCACTCTATTACAAGCGGGGTTAATTCATCTGGCATATCAACTTTTGGTTTCAGAGCTGGTTTTTCTTGGGATCCATCAACTAAGTCTAGTACAAAAGCTTTTGTGGATTCTTGAGTGTGATTGGATGCTGGAGGAGTTGTGGTGAAATGAAACCCACTCAGCTGTGGTGGGACACAAAATGATACACAAGATAAATGCAAAATAAATTAAGGTGGCTCAAATAATTTTTTTTAAATCTGCTTAAATGTACATTACAGTATCATTATGTGATGAATTGAGGCTACAAGACTTTTTCATTTGTTTCCTCAAAGATTGTATGTGGCAAAGATCCAGTGGTTGCTAGACAAGTTGTGATCACTTTTCCTGAGGTTTAAGGATGCTACTTGTTCCACAAGTTTTTTGTGTCCATAACTCTAAAACAATCAGCTTCAATAAAGATATTTCTTATTGCAAATTTCCTAATCAAGCTGTACATTTAGTTCTGAGCCACTTTGAACTTAAATAATCCAACAGTTGCTTTTTTTTTCTTTATGCGACATGTTTGTAATCGGAAAAAACAAGAAATGATCTATCTCAAGCTATGGACAACATACTTGTTCTTGTGGCATCTCTTTTTCCTCCTGCATTTCTTTCTTCTCAGGAGGCAAAGTTTGCTTTGGTTTTGTCTCCTTCTTCTCCATCATATGACTAGCAACCAATCTAGCAATACATCTATTCTGCGGTGTAGCTTGTTCCACTTCCTTGTTTTCTTTACTCACAACCTTCCATTCAACTACCTGCTCAACATTGACTTCCAGTTTTGATGAATTCACTTCCAAACCTTCAGTGCTTGGTTCATCAGGATTAAAGGGTAAACCCATTAGTGAATTTTTCAGGCTTGTTTTTCCTGCCCTGTCCTGGCCAATGATCAGCAATCGAGCACGGCACACTTTGATCTTTCCTTCCAAGAGAGCAAGGTTGTATGCAAGTTGTGCTTCATTTCCGCGGGCTCTTATTTCATGTGGTACTAGAACAAATAAGAAAAAACTATATAGGCATGCATTTTGGCCGTTGAAAATAATTTGACTCAGATACAGATATCCATATCCAAATAAAAAGTAATGAGGCAAGTGGTTTTCCTAGTATTTAATGTTTCCCTAATTTGTCTGCTGCAGACTGAGATCTTTGATTTCTGAATGACTGAATCTAAGAGAAAGAGACATGAAACATGAAACAAGAAACATACCTTGATTATCATCATCTATTGGTATTACTTTGTCGCCATCAAAAAATCCTGCAGTCCCATTCTCCTTTTGACCAAACCACATACCATGATATCTAAAATATAATAAATACATAACATGCTATCAGCTTTTCAATGACACTGTCAATGTACTCTACAAAACAAGTTTGTTTTTTCTTCCATGTAAAATAATAAGGATGAAGAAGTGAAACTCTGACTTGAGCTGGCTTTTTTCTGCTGGCTTTGTTTCTTAATGACAGAAATAATCAGATACAAATATTGACCTAAAGGGGTGTTATTTCAGGATAACTTTCAGGTGATTTTGCACCACATGATGTTAAGTAGCCAATAGAGTTGTGCAAAAATTAACGAGTGGGTTATAACATGATATATTTACCAGGCATTACACAAAAAGCACGCTGTATTATAAAAACAAGCACACTCAGAAAACTTCACATGGAAACCATTACAAGCTGTAAGTAAATGTATCTCCCAAAATCTAAAGCATGGTGACCAGTAAGAGTGCTCTCAATCTGGAACTTGAAAAAATTATTAAGAAGAAAAGATGGCTTTTACCTCGTTGCATCCTGTAATATCACCCAAAGTTTCTCTCCTTTGTCATATGAAAGCTCACAAGGTTCTGCAGAGGAATTGCTTGTTGTAAAACAGAACTTTTCTGGTCTTTCCTGAAGAATAAAAGTCATCAGTATTAAGTACTGTCTAGCAATTTACTGCATCCCTTTTCCATGTAACCAGCAAAGGTAGTTGTCACACATGGCCAGTACTTCACTCTCAACTGTTTTCAGAGTCACCATTTGGTGATCTAAAATCATAAATTGTTTGCCAGAAAAATAATTATTTTGAGTAACCATGGCAATGAAAATGGTTACGGCTCAGTACACTGGTGGTGTCTACAGAAATCAGACTGGTGATCTAAATGGTCATGAGCCAGTTCTCAAACAACTTGATCAGAAAATTTATTCAAAGTAAGAATGTGTGGTCAGCCTGTTGTTTTGATAAGGTATTCTACATATTGATTAACACCTAACACCACAGTTTACAACTGTCACAGTACTCTTCTTAGCAAAAAGTCTGATACCAACAAAAAATGCCCTGTTTAACTAATTCTGACATCGAAATATCTTACAATGTTCCTTAACAAGAAGCTTTGCAGAAAGCAGAAGGAAGTTATAACTCATGCACAAGAAAAAATATTGGCAGAATTACTAGTCAGAGTGTATGTCTTGAAAAATGTGACATATCATAAATTAAAGTACACAAAAAGAGAGGAAAAGAGTGGAAAAGGTTGGGAAAAGTCCCCCCCCCCCCCCTCGCACTTGCTCCTCTGTAATTAGTGCTTTCAATTCAAAATTACGTTATTTCAAACACCTTGGCAAGAGTCTGAACTATGTCATGGAATGTTGGTCTTTTACTAAAATCCTTTATTTGACATCTCTCTAGAAGTGAAGCAACACCACATGGACACACAAGAGACTGCTTTCTATCACCCTGAAAAAATCATTGCAAGAAATTATGTGAACAAAAATCATTCAATGCTAAGAAAAATAAACTTTTACAGACTAACTGTGATTGGCCAAGAAATGAAAAAAGAAAAATGCATATATATAGATCTTGTATAGATCTATATAGATATAGATCTATATATAGATCTTGTCATGGTTTGAAAATTTAAGGATAGAGAGTGCAGACAAACCTGGAACATACTAAGATTCTAGTCTTTAATTGCATTCTAATCAAATTTTCAACTTCAGGACATAGAACACCAAAAAATATAAATTGAACAGATTCTATCAATAAAAGTTCAGGTTTAAAGAGAAGAAGACGGGGGGGGGGGGTGAGGAGACAGGACAGAAGGACAAGGGGAGGAGGGGGTGAGGGCACAAACACTGAGAGCAACAACCCATCTAAGAGAAGTACACATAATCATGATTACCTCATGCTACACAAACTGGAGATGAGCAAATTTGTTAAAAGCAGTTTTGGGCCATAAGAATGATCTTTGAATTCAACTAATTTTTTTTTTCATTCATCAGTAAGTAGACTCTCACCTGAAAAAGGTTTACTAGTCGGCCTGATTGATGGGAGTCAAGGTATCTGAACATTGACAAAACTACATGAGAGAACAAGGCAACCACTCCTTTAACAGACAGGTCATCCAAACGATGACCCTGATGACCAGTTATTGTTGACAGTAGTAAATTACCACGCTGACCCTCTCTGACCTCTCTGAAAAAGAAAAGAATATAAAATGCATGATTTAAACCTCTTTTTGTGATCTATTTTCTGATGAGAAGATGAGACTCAATTTTCTGCAATTCCTGGTTCAAACTTTCCTTGTCTTTTTGCATTAAAAACAAATTTGAAATTAACTTAAAGGAAAAGAAAACATGAACAAAAGTAAAAATTGAACCACAGCATATACCCATGTTTGGATAAGGTGTAATGTTTCACCTCAAAAAAAAAAAAAAAATGAACACATAGTAACTGTTTAAGTCATTAATTTGACCAAGGCTATTCAAACCACATCAAAATTCAAATTTACCCCATCCAGCCGATTATCGTATCGACAGCTACATGTACATGTAACCCTTTAATACAAAGTACAGTGCAAGTTTTTGGAATCGTCTCATGATGTCCCTCAGCAGATTAAAAATAATAATAGTAATAATTTACAGTGAGGCCTTAAGCTACTATAAAAATTAAAAGCGAAAAAATGAGGAAGATATGTTTGACTTCTAAAATACTGTATCGATTAATTTTATTGGTTTAGCCTCAAAAATAAAATATGATTGAGGGTTAACACACTCTATGTAAAATTTGAGGAATCCTTACTGTTTAGCCTTATTAATTTCTTCTTCATAATAGCAGCACATGAAACCACCAAGGCTGATCTGTGGATACAAAAAATGCCGTCTTTATGGTACTGTTGATTTGAGTTCCTCATTAGTATTTATTTATAACCCTTTAACTCCTAGATCAAATTTGTAACTCTCCTTATTGTCAATTATACAATTCTTATAATGTTAGTTCTGAGAATTTAGTATTGGATCAACTAATTATCCCCAAATTGATATTTTTCTTTACTCTCATCACTTATCTGGTTGATATTGTATTGATATTGTAAGGAGAAATTCTGTTGTGGTAATTAATGGGAGTTAGAGGGTTAAAAGACGAGGAGACCAGAAAGAGCAGGGAGGGTTTGGAAAGATAAATGCAGGACAGAGAAGATGAAGAAGGAAAGATGGAGAAAAGAGAAAGGAGACAAGAGGTAAGAGAATTGAGATGGGAGAAAGAATGACATAAAAGGAGAAGAGAAGGCTCAGAAAAGAGGAGAATGAAAAAGAGGCAAGACAAAGGACACAAGGAAGGATTAGAAGAGTTACAATGAATTACAAGTTTCATTGTAACTCTTCAAAAGAGATACGGTGTGACAAAACAACACCTAACTTTTTAAATTTCCAAATTCAACAAAAAGCAATCTTCAGAAGCTCTGAGGAGAAAGATGTAGACTACCAACTGTAGTTTACTCCTGAGAGCATTTTAGAAGAGCAAATTTCCATTTACCATCACCAATTAGAAGGAAGAAGATCATCAATTTTTTTAAATAATAGAATGGTGTAGACATTACCTTTTCAAGAGATGAGATGTAAACAAAAGGCTCTGCTACAGATGTATGTACAAGATGTTTGGACTCCAAATATTCCAGAGCTGAAGAGAGCTGTGATGCATAGAGCCAGGCATGGAAGAGAGATGGAACATGAAACTCCTCCAAATGACCTTTGTTGAAAAATTCAACCACCTTGCACAGTAATAAAAAACAAGAGAATGTTATTATTGGTACATCTTAAAGAGGTGAAGTAAATTACCATCTGTTAACCTAACTTGACTGCATTATGTGTGTAATGAATAATTCAAAATAACTTACTGTAAGCTGTCACACTGATTAAGAGACTTCAAGAAATTAGCCAGCAGAAAATGACAATTGAAAATAAAAAATATATACTGTACCAATCCCACAGAGTCTGTATATGAGCCCAAAATAACAGCACCATAAAACTTCATGATATAGTCGTGATGGAGACCTGTCATTATTTTAGCTTCTCTAATGAACAACTCTCGCTGTGTTGGGCCCAAGTCAAACCGTACAACAACATCAACCTGATGAAAAGAATACAGGAATTTGTGCTCATGTGTCTAAGTTTGTCTGCCCTCATCCCATCACATATTTGCAGGAAAATGTTTGAAAAAGTTTTCAGACAAGCCACTGATGCTAATCACTTGTTGGAAATACATGATTAACTGACTCAATGACCTTATGACTCAAAGTGTACCAAATTTGAATGTACTAATAAGCATTTTTCCGCTCAAATTTCACTCTTGTTTAAAAATTTTCAGCCCACTTAAACTGAACTGATTACATACACTCTATTGGAGTTAGAAGCGTGTTAACTTTGCCAATAAGTTTACAGTTCCTTAGCTGCCTACTTCAGATCACAATCAATAGAAGAAGTGGCTATGAGAGTGATACAAAACTTGAAAAAAGGAATTCAAAATGAATAATAGAGATAAGTTTCTAAAGAAACTGTCTGCATCAGTGGGAGAGTACAACAGGGTAATTTAGTAAGTTAACTGAGTTGATAAGTAAACATAGGTTGGGCATTGTAAAGTCAGTTTCAAAGCTGATGTTTCAAGCTGACTCTGGGTAGAGAGGCTCGCATTTAAGACCTGACTGGGTTGATATGCTGTGTGTTCACTCTCACAGTACCTCTCTCTACCCAGGAGAATAAATAGGTAGTGGTAAATTGTCAGGGAAGCCTGATGAAATGCTGAGGAGGAGAGGGGTAACTTTGTGATGGACTAGCATCCTATCCAGGGGGAGTAGCAACACTCCTAGTTGCTTCATGCTACTTGGAAACCAGGGCAAGCTCCAGCTGGGTGAGTCAATGGGCTTGAGTGCAGACTTTTCCTGTTGCTGTTAATCAGAGTAATTCTGGACTATACCAAAATCAACATACCATGTTATGACCTTGCATCCACTGGGCATTGTAAACATCACCAGAATATGGACGACCAAGAGCTATTTTTTTTCGTAAAAATAGCTGTTTCTTTTGTATCATCTGGACTCCTGCATCTCCTAACTCCTCTTTATAGTTATTTCTTTCAATACCCTAGGAAATAGTTTCATTCAGTTGACAAATAATTCAAATTGAGTTCCTTCCTTAGTATACTTCAATCAATTATGGTTCAAGTTTCTTAGTATGTAGCAGTATTAGATCACTAGAAGGGAACTTCACCAGCAAAAATAACTCTTTCAGGTACAATATCTTGAATGAGCAAATTAAACAGGTAGCCTGCAAACACTCTCTCATTTTCAAGGGTTCCAAAACAAGTATATTTTCACCAACACATAGGTTTGAGACCTCAAAAACAATAGCCAGCAAGTGGTCTGTTGGTGATCTGGTGCTAATTAATGCCAGAATCCTTACCTAATCTTACTTTTTGGTAAAGAAATTACGGTGCAGCAGTGCTGATAAAAGGGTCTGCTCTTGGGCTAATCAAGCAGTTGGTTAATTATAAACTAAGATAACAATTCAACTCACCAGAAGTGATGGCAAATTTTCATATCTCACAGTCTTTGAATCTTCAATCAAGTTTTTAATAGTTTCTAAATCTTCCTTAAAAGACTGAGATTGTGACCACGCTGGCAGCTTTTGTCTTACATCATCCAGGTTTGTCCTCACTTTCTTTTCAAGGTCTTCAACACTTGTTACATCAGCAGCATAACACAGTGGGTTGAAAAGCCGAATAATTCTCCATTTGCACATCAACAGGTACAGTTTATCATAGTCATTAAGGTTCAGAACCTTAAAAAGAAAAATCACAATCAATAAAAAATCAGCCAAGATGTTTAGCCCTTTACACTTGAACATCAGTAAGCATATTCTCCATACTGTTCTCTGTAGATTTCCTATGGTGTTGACAGGGAGAATTTTTCTAACAATCGAGAGCTCCTTTATTTGGTGATCATTTAAATCAGCCAAGATGCTTAGCCCTTTACACTTAAACATCAGTAAGCATATTCTCCATACTGTTCTCTGTGGATTTCCTATGGTGTTGACAGGGAGAATTTGTCTAACAATCGAGAGCTTCTTTATTTGGTAGTCATTTATATCATTTTTTTGACCTTAAAGAGTGGTATGGGTGCTATTGAGAGAGGGAGTTAACTACCAGTCACCTAAAGGGTTAACAAAGTGAAAGCCCTTGTGAGAGGACACTGCTCTTGCAGCTAACTAGAATGGTTCTTGCAAGCAGCCACCAGAGGTGTAAGCAATAGATAGCCACTGAACGGAGATTACTAGCAAGCAATTTTGGAATGTAGATTTAAATAATGTAACAAGTTATATGTAACAACAAGACAAACATTTAAATATGGCATTGTAAACAATGCACTGCAAAGTCATTGTCATGAATGGCATTCTGAATTTGTCCAGTAACAGGAGGGGTTGTTGTATAAACTACAATGCATGAAAGTATCCTCAGCATTTATGGGAAAGAATACAGAGCTTGCCAGAGGTTTCAAATAGGTTTTGTCAAGATCATCCTGGGTAGAGCTGTCAACCACAAGAGAGACTTACAAGAAACCTTTCCCTTCTAAAGGATAGAAGTTGTTTAAGTCATTTAACTAGGAATTTTCAGAAACACTCAGTTGTGAATTAATCAGAATATGATTTCTTCCTGCCCAGTCAACCCTTAAACTATCCTTTTTTCTATTTCTCTCCCCTAGCTGCTGCACATTGCTTTAGAATTCAGTAGAATGAATTTGGTTTTACTACATACTCATTGACTGAATAGGAGGTCCAGTTAAGGAAATATCTGGCTTAAGGTAAAGGTGGATCAATAAATAATTTAACATATTGCAGGCACCTATCATACTTTTTATGAAAGTAGCCCCAAAATGTAAGTTCAATTATTAAGTATGAAAATTCTAAAAAACAAAATTTCACCGTAAATTTCGCCCGTGGGGCACTCCATTATCATCAGAATCTACGTATAAAAGATAAACCCAAACTAACACCTTAATAGCCGCATTCAGTTCTTGGATAGAGAAAACAATGACAAAAACAAAAGATTGAAATTGGGAAAACAGATTTGTTTTGCAAAAACAACGGGAATAATTTAACATTCAATATTGGATCAAACTCCGCCCAGCCCCATTCATTATACATTCGTTTGAGAAAACGACAAAAACAATACATTTCCATTGGGAAAACAGATTTGTTTTAAAATATTGTATTCCCAGATTCCTCGCGTATTGGATGTTTACCGACAAAACAGCGATAAAACAACTCACCTGGTTTGTTGAATCCATTTGTCAAATCGCAGAGAGGATTAAGTGTGAAATATTAACTTCCGCATCCTTTGACTCGCGGTGCTAGATGGCTCGAGCGGTTTTAAAAGTTCGAACCGCGCGACCCGCGGCTTCAGCGGGCCGTATGCAAATTGTGTCAATGCTTCTAAACTCGACAGGTCCTTGCAATTTCTGAGAGCAACACTTACATATAGTCTCAAAGCGTATCCTGGCCTATAAATACACGGACAAAAAATCAATCGATGCTCAGTTATCGTCCGGAAAAACCCAACAAGATGTAAAGGAACGAAAGGAACTGTTCACTTCTACGTATAACTTTGTGTAACAACCCTTCTCTATGCCCCGTTTTCTCTGTCATGTGAGATTACCCAGAAGCCCTTGTAGACGCCCGTCTTTCATCATGGCGGAGTTGCTGCTAGATCCGGCTATCCGTTTGTGGGTTATTTTGCCCATTGTAATAATAACGTTTCTTGTCGGAATAATCAGGCATTATCTATCTATGCTTCTACAGTCAAGGAAAGATTTAGATCTGTTACAAGTCTCCGACAGGTAAGATTTGAGGACGAAAAAACTCGAACTGAGATGCAGGTAGCTGCGCCACCGTGCTATAGTGAACTTTTCGCAAAGTTAGTAACAAAATTGCGCTTCTAGCCCTTGGTAGTTGTTGCTATTTATAATAGCAATTAATTTATTTATATTGGCTTACTGAGTTATTTTCTCTTAAGTCTCTCATGCCTGCTCGCAAACGGCAACTTAATTCAACTCAATTATTACATTAATTACTATTGCATATCGGTGATCATGAAGCGTTTCCCTCGATGTTTAAATTTTTCAGTCAAGCTTTGATGAGGAGCAGAAATCTTAGAGAAAATGGAAAATATCTTCCTGAAGAGGTATGTGATACAAAAGTTCATATATGGGTGTTTTGTTCCATAGATATAATATATTCGCGAACGTATATAATTTTGTCCATCCTCATAAATATAACATTTCAACATGATAGAGTTTTGAGGCCAGACGACATTTCTTCAATGACGAGACAGAAGGGTATTTTAAAACACAGGATAGGAAAGGACCAGTCAAGAATCCAATTTCAGGTTAGTGCAGGTTCATACAATTACAGGCTTGGTAGTTTTATGTATGTCAATTCTTTTGTCAGGGGAATGGGGAGTTTTGGGATATCATGCTAGCTCAGGCTTCCCAACCAGTTTTTCAAGGCAAACTCAAAAAACTGGCTCTTACCAACCCTGAAACCAAATCCAATTTGCCCTGGATTTGACCCTGAAGTGTCCAAACATAGCTGATTCACACATCCCAATCTTTAATTGCAATTGATACAAACATGATAACATTTATTAAAACATAATACATTTACTACACTTTCATCTTTTTATCTTTTTCACCAGATCCAACAATGATGGTGGACATGGCCAAAGGAAACATTACAAATGTTTTACCAATGATCCTCATTGGAGGCTGGATCAACTGGCATTACTCTGGTTTCATTACAAGTATGTTAACACTTCTCCTTTATTTAAACATTTGTTGCTGAAGCCAAGGGCACACTCCTGGGCCAAGAGACTTTTAGCAGACTAAATATATTGCCTAAGCACACATCAGAGCTCTATTTATTTATTTTTCATTTTTGTTCAGAGAGAAGGGGAGAGAGAAGAACATGTCTGATTGTCTAGTCAATTTTTAAAACTAAACATGCCATGTAATGGTGTCATACTTTTATAATTTGTGGTAACCTCCAGTGTTGGGATTTGCTTCATGATTAGTTGTAGGGGTAAAAAATTAAGAACAATCTGTTTTTTCCACCTTGCAGCAAAAGTGCCATTTCCACTAACATTGCGATTCAAAGCCATGTTACAGCGTGGCATTGATCTCACAACCTTGGATGCATCTTGGTAAGTTATCTATGAATTAACAACTTACACGTATTTAGACCCAATCGAGTAGTCTTTAATCTGTGTATGCAATTGAACAGTATCATGCCACTTCTTGTCAATTTGCTTTAATGTTTAGTTTTACCCTGATGTCTAAGTTAACTAACTAAAGTAAGTCCCATACTTTATTAACCAATCTTGTGTCCACAAAAGTATTACAATATTAAAAGGTTTTTCTTATGCTAGGTGCCTTAAACCAGCACTGACAAAAGAAACACATCTGGATTTTAATTGTTTTGTTTTGATTCCTCTATGCTTTCATTGAGCTCAGTTTGTGCAATTTTTGCCTGTATATTGAAATTAAGGAAACAAGGTACAATGTGCTTGCAAGAAAAAAAATTCACTTGTCGTACTCTTGCATTTTAGGGTTAGTTCTGTGTCCTGGTATTTCATCAACGTGTTTGGTCTCAGGAGCATGTATGCACTTGTTCTGGGTCAAGATAATGGTTTGTCTTCTTTTTTTTAATTTTTTTTTTCAATTTTACCAACAAGAAGTTAATTAAACTAACTTTGACAAAAGATGACCCTTTCACCCTCAGATCTCACTAGTAATTTGAGTTTATTGATAATTGATGAATTACCTGATACAGTAGTTATATCTGATCTGAATGATATTTATACTGACTGGCCAATCATGGAATTACCCTTCCATTGTAAGTGATTTAAACTTGGTAATTGTATGTCACATTTACCATACTCCCAACATATGAAAGAGACCTCAAATTCGCTTTTGTGCATCTCTTATCTTGAAATCCACTTTTAGCTGCAGATCAGACTCGTGTCATGCAGGAACAGATGCAGATGCAAATGCAGATGCCACAAGACCCAAGCAAGGCATTTAAGGTTGGAAATAACTAATCATTTATCATAAGTACAGTATTTTATCATCTTTAGTGATAGAACCACCTCCTATATGCAATTTATAATGGTAATAGGACTGAGTGGAGTCCAATTTGGTCTACAATCATAAAAGTGATTGACAAAATTGGACGGCCACGAAGTAGGAGTCTGACTTGTGAATCACAAGTATGATTACAGACCAAATTGGACAATATGAAGTCCTTTTTACCAATTAATCATAACCATTACAATTTTGGAACAAAAAAATACATTAAGGACAAACATCTCCAGTAGGGACAATGTCTAAAGCAAAAAATTTGGAAATTTCCCAGTTTACAGTTGTTGCTATTGTTATTTTCATCAATTCTGTGATTGGTGGATTTAGCTGAGTGGACTTAGTATGATTGGCTGCTTCAACTGTCTGATTACAGGTGTCCAGTTACAGCCAACTGTCCAATTACACTGTCCGATTACAACTGTACAGAGTGATTAGTGAAATATAAAGCAGCTAATGCACCAATCACACTTGGGAATTGTAATGGTTATGATTGAGGGAGATACATCTACAAGTATGTTGGCTAAAATGGTTAACACACAAGACTAAAAGATAAATAGGTTAACTTTCTAAAGAAACTCTGGTGCTGTGTCGGGGGGGGGGTATTACAGGATAATTTGGTTTTATCAGCTGGGTTGATAAAGTAAATTGGCCTCTAGAAAGAGTTTCTTAGAGCTAATCAGAGCTTATCCACTCCACTTGGATTCATCCTAATCAAAGGCTAACAGTCAAAATGTATGCCCCAGAATCTTTCTATGGTGGCCAATCCCTATCAAAGAGTCTAGATTCAAACCTGGATGCATCATTTTGGTTTTTTTGTTTTATTATTTCCAAGTTATACTTTATTTTGTTGAGAGTGAAGTACTGTTTATCGATAAATAACTTGGTTCTGTTTGTTTCTTCACAGGCTGAGTGGGAGGCCTTGGAGATTGTCCAACATGAATGGTCACTAGAAAAAGTTGAGGAAGAGATGATGGAAGACTTTTCACCAACAGACATTATGGACGACATTGCTAAAGACAAATATGTTTGATAGACATCCAAATTATGACCCCCTGATGTAAAAATCCTGATGCTTATGTTGTCGCGGAATCAAGAGGACTGTATACTTCTTTGTTTTCTAAACGCGTTTATTTTCTTCCATCACTCCTGACAATCTGAACATACTAACACTCTAACGATCTAAAACCAATCTGCCCTTACAATTCAGTGCTACTTCGTTTTACAGTTCTAGTTGCGAAATAAAGTAATTTTCCCACAATCACGAGTTCAGTAAATTCCCAATCCCAAAGTACTGTAATATACCCTATTTTAGTTGCAATTTCACAATTACACGTTTCTTTCCCTTATTTAGTTCACTGTACGCATGCAAATCAGTGTTGAACTTTGTTTACAACGTTGTGAAATATCATGTCACGAAATCTTCCTATTCGCGTTACAATCAGTCTAGTATTTCGTTACATTGTGTGACAATTTATAACATTAACCATTAATTATAAAGAAATCGTTCTCGACACTGTCCTTGAAAAAGTGATGGGGCTTTGACCTGTGCCCTATGGGGTAAAACCTGTCTATTTGTGGTCCAAGTCAAACAAATTTATGTTCATTGTGGTAGGAAATTCTGAAACCTTAAAAATGGTTAATCTTCTAAAAATTCCAAGGAACCCAGGCCCTGTGGACGAAAAAGCTGCCAAAGATGAGAAAACGGTCGTAGTGTGGTGGAAAGGCTAGCATATGAAGGTGGTTGAGTTGATGGGAAGTTTTCTTACATTTCTCAGTTAGTAAGTGCACTGTCATAGGGCAATTTAGTGGGTTTTATTTACTGTATGGCCGGCAAAATTCAAACTGATTTGAAATCTTCCCCCTCTACTTTAACCCAGAGTTAGAATAAATATCTTACTATCCTCGTTTTCTCGGTCCACGCTGTAAATTACGAAACGTTGCGCTTGGGCCTTAAATCGTAGCGGAAAATACTCGATCCATAACTTACAGTACGGGCCTCGAACTCGATCCGTAAGAGGTCTGCATTCCTCCCTTAACGTTAAACAACTAAGCCCTTGGAATAAAGCAACTGTTAATAAATAAACTTATTTAATGATTAATTTAATGTAACTCAGTCTTTTTCGTTTTTCTTTTTGAACTCTAATTATTCTTTCCTAGTACTCTGTTTAAGTACAGCGTGAGACAGGTGAAAAGAAATTGAGGAGACTTTTCTTATTCTTTCCATCCTTCCTTCATCCCCTTTATTGCATGCTTCTATGGCTCTTCCCTTTGTACCTCCTACCCCTTGAGAAAAGTATAGGTACGACCTGGAAATCAGTCGGAAAAGCTCCCAAGGACGAGGAGGCAACATTATCTGGAGTTATTGCCTCTTTTCCAAGAGTTACATACGTTAAGTATTAAACAATAGTTTTCCTATTCGCCCTGAAAAAAGGTTACCGCCTGAAATACCATTTTTTTAGCTGACTGTATTTCTCAGTCGATAAACCAAATTATCTCGTTACTAGATTTAATACACTTTGGAAAGAATTAAAATACTGGCGGTGATAACCTTATCTATGGGACATAGATTTTGTGAACTAACACCCGATTGACACCAAAGCTAAGACAAGTGTTATGGCTGATTTCTTTTCTTCAAACACGGTTTGAATTGATTTTTTCCGAATGAAACTGGTGATTTTTACTTCAAATTTAGCGCAATGAAAAGGAAAGTTATTGATAGTTTGAACCCTATGAAAATTCAATTTTTCAGTTTCTATTGCAGATTGTTATTTAATTAAACCTCGTTTGCCTAAACCTAATTTGCTTGTGTGAGTGGGGCATAACGTTATTTTCGATGTAAGAGGAAAAAATCAAGTAGGTAAGGCGAAGGTGGTAGAGACAGAGTTCTTTCATGAAAAAATTTTAGCGGGCGCCAACATCAACTTCCTCTTGCAGCCACCTCGTTACCAGTGTCCGTCTTCTTCCTCCATTCTCACTCGCTCCAGGCTCCAGTTTGGGCCACTCCCTAGGTTAAGGCAAACATTCTCCAGCGCTTTTATCGTCTCTTTTCATGTTCCTCAAGGAACTTCAGTAACCAAGACAAAACGAAAGAAACAGTTTCACCAAAAAAGTACAGTTCCATCCTTAAAAACTTTCACACGACTTACTCAGTATAAGTACCTTTCGGCTGGACTCTCCCGCCATTGAGTGGAATAAATGCCTATTCCAGAGAGAGAATCGTCGTGAATTAGCGTACTTCATAGAACGTTACTATAGAGAATGTAACATGGAAATCTGCTGTGACGACAGAAGTGAGAGTCTGGTGCACGTGCGGAGTTGTTGTTTCACCTCTCAGAACCAACAACCTTTCTTCCTTTCGTACTACTGTCGTTTTGTGGTAGTTAAGAGGCGCACAGGGAGGCGGGAAGCTGATTACAATTTAAACATTTCAAAATTAAGAAACTTATGGAGACAAAAATAATTTCTTCCCGGTAAAATTGATCAAAAAACCTCCCGAGAATCCATAAAGAAGGTTGGACAGAAGATAATAACAGCATCGACAAAAGACTAATGTGAATGAGTGAGACATATCGTTCTGATTTCACACAGCAGAATATCCTATTCCGGAAGCTTTCGTTCGATATAATTCGAACGGTTTTGCATGTGTACGCCTCTTTCCGATTGCGGACCTTTCCGTCGGTTTTCGAAAGCTTTCGTCCGATTTCGGACGCCCTCGTCTGTTTTCGGACACTTTCGTCCGATTTTGGACACTTCCGACGGATTTTTGTCGACTCTAGCTGGTTAGGAACTTTTTCTCATTTCGGACATTTTCATCAGAAGAGAGTTTTTTGACTAAATGGTATCTGATAACAAGATCGCAAAATGTGCTTCCTTCGTCTGCTCCGAGGTTGTTGAATCCCTTCGTAAAACTCGCAGCATTATTGTGAGAAGACAAAGACTGGATCTTTACGACTCCATATCTTGTAAATAAGCAGATAAGAGTAATAATGAGCATCACTGAGAATGAATCTTCCGTCATCGCCGTCGAATGGATTGAGAACCGGTCCCCTTCGATTTTTAACGCCGTTAAAATCGAAGGACAAGATACTCGTAGAACCTTATACCGTCCATCTTCATCAATTGGTAAGGAAATTCGCCTTCTTTCTCATTGATCCATGGCGCAGGCGTAGTTTCGGAATAACATTGTGTCCATTTAGGAAGGGGTGGGGGGGGGGGGAGCTTCATTTTTGCACTTACAAGTTGTGATTGGGAGAGGGCAAACTTTCATAATTTCTTTCATTAAAAAATTATGACCAAAAAATTCTCCTTGACATTTTTCTTAGGATGACGGTCGCTGTGGAGGCGAATTTTATTATATTTACTAATAAGCATTTTTCGTCTTCCGTCAACAAGAAACAGCTCACATTTCTTTATTAACTTGTATTGCGACCAACTAACAGATAGAGGAGGCTCGAACATAAGTTTGGAGTTACGCCTTCACAGATTATTCAAGTTTTACGAGTTGTAGTGTCACGCCGCGTCCATCTTGGTCTGCTAGTAGTGTCCACAACAGTACCACTGAGTGAGACGCATTATGAGGCCATGGACTTTGCTTTATGGCGCAGCATTGGTAAGGAAACCCTGATCAAGAGCAACATCATCAACTGGATGGCATGCAAAGAAGGCACTAGCTGGTAGTATAGTAAATCAGAAGAAGGGGTCACTCTCTTGAAAACTGGTGAAACAGGTTTAGTGCAGGTTTAGTGGTATAGGGTCGAACTCAGTAGCGTCAGATAGTAGTGGAATGTATGTGTATCATCAATTCCAGCTGTCTTTATATTTACTTTGATGGCGACATAGGTGGAGGTTGGCCAACACATGACCCTTGTGGTAAAAGTCAAGCAAATCATTTCAAAAGGTGTGGCGAACCCGCACGGAAATATTTTCATTCGGTAAACTGAACTGCAGAGGATCTATACGCGGAATAAAAAGTGTTTTGTTTAAGGCATGTAATCTCCTTGCTATAAGAGCAATAGTTTTGATCAAGTCATAGGAAGGTATCGCCCCATTGTAAGTAGTTCGCTCTTTAATGAAAGCGAGTTCGCCTTCAGGTCATACAACATGATTCCTCTTCTGTCGAAAAAATATAAGAGGTGTTATGATCTCTTGGTTTGAAAGTGGCCATTTTTTACCACCTGGGGATGGGGGTGAGGGTAGGAACATTTTTGTTGTGTAACAATACAATTCACCTAACCCCTCTAAGGCTCCGCAACATCCTTATGCCCCCCCTCCCCCCCTCATTGGCAATCAATTTTCTTTAGTTCCCCCTATATACTCTGTTGGAGACGACTGATCCCCGCTCCCTTCCCCTGAAAACCCTGTGATCCCTCCAAAACCCTTCGAAACTCCCCACTCCCCCCCTACGCGATAAATATAATTAGCTCATTCCTTAGTATTGTGAAGAGAAACTCTTTTTTAATCGATCTTCTCTGACATAAGTGACCTGAAAGGCTCAAAACTCACTTAGCGCCTACACGTACTTAAAATATGACATGAAAATGATGTTTTCTACTTTAAATGGAGTTGGTTCAAAAACTGTCGGAGCCCAGTCTCTCTCTCTCTCTCTCTCTCTCTCTCTCTCTCTCTCTCTCTCTCTTGGGCAAAAGCTCTCTGAGTGCAGGTGCTGCAAGTGTCCCAAGGTACGCAAGTGTCTCAGGTACGGTGGTCCACAACTGTCACGGAAATAACAAATACCTCACGGCAAAACCAAAAAGCTCATGGCAAAACCAAAAGACTCACTGATCTGCAGGCGTGTGACACAGGCATAATGCATATGAGTTGGCAGTTATCCTGATGCTTCTTACCAAGTGTGTGTTAGCTCCATCGAACCCAATCCACTGTCGCCCCCATACGTTATGTAATCCACAATAGACTCACAATTTAAATTCCACTCACTTTTAATCGCAAAGAATCCATATAGTAACTCTGGCCGCGGCATACGATAAGTCCCTAGTTTCATAGTAGTAAAACAGCATCTACGGCCTAAGATTACAGTATCAATTTTCTCCCGAAATTCTAAAAAGGACCCATCAAACATCGGTTAATTAATGGATGATAACACCTCATTTTTCCCGACACCACCATGGCAGGGTAGATTTAATGGTTGCAGAGAGTTATATATTTACATGTATTAACAATCAGCCACACTCCCTTCCCCCTCAGAGTTCTAACCCTCCCTCTCCCTCATCAATCTTTATATTTGTGTTGTAAAATAATTACAATAATATTGAACCCAAATTTTCGTAATCTCTCTGAATATGAAATACAAAGTAATTATTCTGTGAGTCTTTTGGTTTTGCCGTGAGCTGTTTGGTTTTGCCGTGAGCTTTTTGGTTTTGCTGTGAGCTTTTTGGTTTTGCCGTGAGCTTTTTGGTTTTGCTGTGAGCTGTTTGGTTTTGCCGTGAGCATTTTGGTTTTACCGTGAGCATTTTGGTTTTGCCGTGAGCATTTTGGTTTTGCAGTGAGCATTTTGGTTTTGCCGTGAGAATTTTGGTTTTGCAGTGAGCATTTTGTTTCTGCTGTGAGCATTTTGGCTTTGCCGTGAGCATTTTGGTTTTATTGCCGTGAGTCTATTGGTTGGTGAGGCTCAATCTAGCAAATTTATGCTAATTTAACTCCTGACAGTTTGTTTTTTTTTATGGTGTATAAATAAAATATTTATCTTGTTGGTGCTTAGTGGGGCCGGAGCATAAAATACTTAACGGAGAACTGAGGCCTAACTCGTAAGGTAATAAATATCTTTTGTTGCTCTTATAATTTTCTGATTTAAACTGATGTCAGTGGAGTTATTTTACTACCTTGCTAAAGAAAGAGACCCCTTTTTAAGACTCCATATGTTCAAAATTTTAATTTGCGGCTAAACCGAAGGTAAGAGAAGACAGCCGGTTTGACATTCTCCGTGCAAGCCGTTACCCTAACAATACCGCCTATTTTGGCTGAGAACGGATCCAACACATTGACAAAACGTTTGGGAAGTAGTCCTGTGCAAAAACTGAAAAAAACTTGGCGATATTTGGTTGTATGACGAGCTACTGTTATTTCAACTTTTGTTAATTTATTTTTTTGCCTCAAGAAACTAATAATTTAAGAGCTTGCTAAGGTTTAATTTGAAATCCTGACACGAATTCTGCGGGGAGTTGAAATTAAAGAAGAGGGCGGTCTTGGCTTTGTTTAAATTTAGTTTGAATATTATTTTCGATGTCTGGTTAGCGCCGAAGACAGAGTTATTAATCTTCTCATTCTCACATGACTCAACCTGTTCTATAAAACTCAGTTGGCGCTCATTCTTTATAATAGCGTACATTTTGCTCAGGGCATGCATCACAGTTCCTTTGAATAATCATTTAAATGATGAAAGCGATTTTCTTTTAGACACTCCTGCTCTTCTCGTAAGCGACGCCGGCTCTAGATATGAATAATACGACTTATTTTATATTTAACGTGCTTAGACATTAAACCATATATAATAGGGAAACTGCGTCTTTCAGCAGAAACACTACCCACAGAAAATTTGTGGTAGACGATAGGAAAAAAATTATTTCAACTTCCGGCTACAGTGCGCGCCGTGAAAAAAATGTTTGTCCAACATGGCATTTTAGTTTTAGAAATTTTCTGGGTGGAACTTGAAAATAAAATTTTCATAATCAGTTATGTAATTGAAATTTTCAACTTCAAAAATTTATTTGGGGTCGTGAGGAAATAGTGACACTCTTTTTGCTAGCTCAACCTGGTTCATCATGGACCCGCGATTTTTCTCTTGGAGTGTTTCTTACGCCCCACTGAAAAAATAATGATAATAATAAAATAAAATTTAAAAATAGAGCAATAATATAAAAAATGGAATAAAAAAATGCAATTTTTTGTATTTGACATGATTGCCACACCCACGCAGTATGTTTTTCGAGACAGGCTAACAGTTTATGAAAATAACTTTTCCACGCAGGTGCTTTTAACAAATTAAAATTTCACAACTTTCGAGCTCTCAAATTTCGAGTGTCGCGGTACTGATCCAGCCGGTAGCTGCTTGAAGGAAGCCTTTTTTTCTTTATGAAGAGTCGATCGATTTCCGTACGGGAATGGAAACGAAAATAAATTAAATCGTAACACGCGTTAAATAAATAATAAATATTTCTTAGCTCGTTTTCACTGCGCGTTCGCTCGATTCCTTCTGATGCATGTTATAATGGTAACTGAACTGAGTGGAGCGCAATTTGGGCTGAAATCATATGTGTGATTTCAAAATTGAACGAGCGCGCAGCGCGAGTTCGATTTGAAATCACAAGTCTGATTTCAGACCAAAATTGCACGACACGAGGTTCAATTACCACTTTATTACATCCATTTTGAAATCGCTCAAATACAGGACTTGGTCAGTTAAAATATTTTATTGATGCAGTACTAAGCTGGTTTTAAATTATATCCATCCATTTTTTGGGTGAAAAAAATAATAGTTTTGGAAACAAACTGGTTGGTTACTTTAAATAAGCCTTGGAAACTGGTTACTTTAAATAAGCCTTGAAATCTGATTGGTTGTTTTGTTTTTAGTGTAGCCTCCTCATTGGCTGGGAAAAAGATGCGATTTAAAGCAAAAAATGGTGCGATTCGTGAATAAATCGCACTGATTAGAGCCAATCAGATCACAGGGACCACCAGTGATTTCAAAATGGGTGTAATTAAGTGGTCAATTTTTTTTTGGCCAGAACATCGCTATGGTTACAGCACTGCACATTTAATCACACAAGTCACTTAGCGGGAGCTTTTAATCACCTCAATAAACTCGCTTAGTGTCGTGTTTCTTACTTGTTGTTTTACGTCTATCTGCAATTAATTTGCTTTTAACTGGAATGATTGTTAGTTCAGTTTGACGCTTCCTTCGTCCCTGTTCCCAAGGTACCAAATTTGAATCGCACTCTGCACAAAAGAGTTGCTAGGAAATGAAGTCAGTTTTGTAAGATGAAAACACAAAAAGCCACAAGGCATCTGACCGTATATACTCAACAGCTAGTGCCACGGTCGGTGCCACGCAGTCAGTATTGCATATGCGTATTTACCCAGCTGGCTCCCTCTTTGTCCTTGAATTGAATTAGCATTTAACAGTTTTTCTTAGCTCCCCACAATTCATCAGATAAGAGGGATAGCGTTATATTAAATGGAAATTGAAGAACTGTCAGTATAAAACTGTCAGTATAAAACTGAAAACAAAAATGAATTAAAAATAATAAGAAAATCAAAATCGAAATAAAATCCGCCGGTTTAAAAATTCTCCACTGTCATAAATTTCTTGTTTTGACGTCTTTGATATCGTTTCTAAGAAAAGAAGCTATATAATTTTAGGTTTCGCTGATATTTGGATAACAGACATCAATTATTCATCCGAGACATCGCGCAGTCTGTCAACGTCTGTCATCTTCCGTTATTTCGCCTGTCACGAACTTGAAAGCTGTCGACAAAAGATAACCTAGTTCTTCTTTTTAACATACACAAACAGCTGCTGGCTAGAACGTATTTCAGTTCTCAACGGTAACTATCTGCTTTGTTAAGCTCGTGAATTGCCCAGAGATCTCGTTATGGAAGCAGGTAGTAACGGATTTCAATAATTTGCCGGCGGGAATTGCTTATTTTCTTCACCTAAAAAACAAATGTTACAGAGATTAACTTGGTGGGGTACTTTTCGCTATGTTGTTTACTGTCAAAATCAGAGTCGAATAAGTTGAAATTTGAGAATTTCTTGCTACTCTTAAAAATTGGTACGATTGTTTGAGTGAATTCATCTTTTCACAAGTTTAAGGAAATGTATTTTTAGAAGAGGACAAAAGTTTTTTTTGTCAGTAAAGTTATCAAGTCTAGGGTGTAATTTTGGTACGATTGGTACGATATCTGGCTTTAGCCGATTGATATTTTAAATTCTGTGGATTTATTACCTCCTTTACCGGCTGTTAGGTGAAAATCGATGGTGGATAAATTAGTCTTAATCAGTCTGAAGTGGTGCGTTGATGGAAAAAGCTTTCAGACGCGAAGTTGAGCCTTCGATGCTGACACCTTGTGGTCATTCACTGAGCTAAGATGGCGGAAAAGTTCCTCGTTTTGTTTTGTTCAGTTTACGGCCTAATGCTACTCTTTAGCGTTACGGTTAGCGGATTAAAGCCGACGAAGGATATGTAAGTGATTCAAATTTGTTTTGTGGACCATATTCTCGTTTTTCTTCCCGTCTGTTGTTTAGTATACCTCAAAGATCTCAACTTGCGGCAAATTGTTTTCAAAAATTTTGACACACCAGGGTACGTGAATGGGCTAATCGCCTTGGAACTAACGGGTCTAGCTTTATGGACGGGAACGCCGGAGTAAAAAGTTTAACTCAGGTATTAGAGAGACTCAAATTTCATCGTTTTGTGTCAGTGTTTGTGGTGATCAGGGACTATTAGTATTATATTCAAGTTTGTTGAATCTTTAGGCTTACGAAAACTTTACGTACGCGACGACAGAAAAGATAAAAGGGGATGATGTCCTTAAGAAAATGAAGAAAGAAATGGAGGTTTTCTTCAGAAATAAATCGTCTTCATTGAAGGTATGAACTGAAATCTTGGTGTGGTCGGTGCAGATTTAAAAAGAGAAAAAAAGCATATTTGGAAATTATATCCGTCGCGCAATGTTTACAGCAGTTTCACCAGAACCAGAGATCAGGAAATGGATTTGACAAGTCTAAATAATGACAAGTGCGTTCGTAATTTTAAAGCGTGATATATCTTTTTTCTTGGCAAAATTCATGCCGGGTTTAATAACCTATAAACCTGTGTTAGTGATTTGGTTTTGATCTAATATTTATGAAGCATCCAGTGAACCTTTATTTTCTTCAGAAACCGCGCGGCCTGATAATTATTCACGGCAGCTGGAAAGTTTTTCCATATGTTTACCACCGTGCTTTTCTTTTGTATCTACATGAGCAATTTGCGAAAAAAACAATCGATGAATTTGTATCCAACAATTTTGTTTGTAAAATCCTGCCAACAGCTATAATTTTTAACAGGATATTTAAATGTACATATTATTTTTTCTTTTTAATTTTCCTTTTGCAAGCTTGACATAGATTATTTGCAGCTCGACGGTGTTATAAAAATTTTGTTGATTTTTCATACAGCGAGCTTAGTAGAAACTTTTTTTGACTTCAATATCTTCTATTCTTTCTTGATCGGTGCATCTGAATTTCTCTCTTAGTTTTCGTTACTGAAATTATACTCAGTCTAGTCTATGCTTACCCTAAGGGCAAACATTTAAAACTCTGTCTGCTACGGAGGTGCACCGGGATAAATTATTGAATGTTCTCTGCTATTACGCAAATATTTGTCGTGATATCGAATTCAACTTTCAAAGATATAGATCACATAAATTTTGATCGACCCAATAAAATTTGTGACTAAACACAAATAAGTATAACTACTGATGAAAAAGAAAAGAAAATCAATTTAATGATGTGATTTCTGGTCCATTAGCAACCGGCGCAGCATGGAACGATTTCTTAAATTTACTCGAAAAATTATGTTTGTTCAAGCATCTCATTTTTCTGGATACGATTTCAGGTGATAAGGATGTTATTAAACAAAAAATTATAAATTCATGAAATTATACATGGTGCCTGAAAATGTAAATTTTAATTATTTTTTAAAATTTTGAGTATTAATAATTTATGATCATTGTGCTGAAAGGAATTACTTTGCAAACATGGTTAATCCTTAGATAGTGAAAAAGCTTAGGGTGCTTTCATTGAAAAAAAGAAAAAGTATAATTTACCAGTGGAAGGTAGAAAGATGATTCTAGTTGGTTGATAGCAAACCCACAGCTGATCACAAATAAAAAGTTATGATTTGCTCAAATAAATATATGAATGAATGAGGGAATGAAACAATAAATAGATGAACGAAAGAATGATTGAATGATGATTGACCAACTAATTATTTTTCTGAGGGATTTTTTAGATGGATGACTATCATAGATGACTGAATTTCAATGTATGGAACAAGTTATTATAAATTACAAATTCTTGACTGTCATAGATGACTGAATTTCAATGTATGGAACAAGTTATTATAAATTACAAATTCTTACAAAATTATAATGATCATAAATTAGAATTTATGTATTTTCATGTACTAACTGAACTCAATTGGGAAACTTGTAGAATTTGAAACCAATTACAAAATAACCTGAATTTCCATCTTAGTTGGTGGGGAGAGGGGATTGAGTTTTTCCAAGCTTTGATAACTCTTTCTTTTATAGTTATGCTAAATTTTGATTGTTGGAATTACTGAATGATGTGATTAAAGTTTATTTATTTTGGTCTATTTGGTAGAAATTGGTGAAAAAGGCAGAAGAAGCTTATTGCAAATACAAGTATGATAAAAATTTGAAGGTATGATTTAATGCACCAGCCAGTATGGCTGTTCCTGAGTAGCTCCAACTTCATGATCTGACTGATGATTCTCCCTTCTTCCCTCCACACAGTTTCTGTATGTTAGATAGGAGAATTAGGAGCTCCACCAATAAAACATCATATATATAGTGGATAGTTTTCTAACTTCTCATCACCTTTCCATTAGAAAATGTACGCAATGACTTTGTAAGGAGGGGTCAAATGTTAAACACCCCTGGTGACTGTATTCAAAGACTGTCTGTATTTATTCCTGAGTTGATCACTTGGAAGTCTAAAATTAAATTAATTTTTAAGACCCCCCCCCCCAAAAAAAAAAAAAAAAAACAAAACAAAACAAAACAAAACAAAAAGAGCAATCACAAAAAACAACAGCAACAATAATTTTTAGACTTAACATTCTACATCCTAAGATCAGTAAGTATATTCTCCTCAATGTTCTCCAAACATTTCTCTTGGTAGTGATGAGGAGAATTTTTTTAACAATCCTAAGCATTTTCTGTTGGGGATCCCCTTTCCTTTATGCTCGTGACTTTGATGTTTGATTTAGAAGTGATACTGTTATTAAATGCTAATCACTCTTAGGGATTGAAGGGTTAATAATTTTATTTTGTGTTCATTTTAAGATTAGTGAAATAGACTATCCAAATTCCAAGGATTTGGATAAATATTTAAACAAGAGTGGCATTAAACTGGAGTACAACTCTACCTTTAGAAGTGAGATCAGCTTCAACAGGAGTGTAATACATGTCCCAACAGATGTTTTTGATGGAGGTATGTTTCACTTTGTGAGTCCTGTTGGGTTCCAGTTTCATTTCAGTTGCATGTAAACTCTGAGGTTCCCAACCAAACTCTCAAACAAAATTTTTTAATGCTGCTGTTAATCATTATTGTAACAGCCACCTCAAAGCAGATATATCTAAAGCAAACTAATTTAACCCTTAAACCTTCTGAAACACTGACATGTTTCTTGAAAGGTCTAGGACATGAGTGATGGAAGGTTTACACTCTAACATCAGTATGCATATTCTCAGTACTGTTTTCTATTCATCTCTTGAGATACTGACAAGGAGAATTTGTTTAATGATCAAGAGCCTCTTAAATTAGTGATCACTGCCTTTACTAATTCTCATGACCTCTGCTTTTAATTCAAGGGTGGAATTAGTGGCTTAGAATTAGCCAATCACTCTCAAGATTTAAGGGTTATTAAACCTTTAACTCCCAAGATCTCATTTATAATTCTCCTTACTGTCTGCCACATAGTTCTTGTGATGTTAGTTTTGAGAATTTGATATTGGATCAACCAATAATCCCCTAATTAATATTTTTCTCCATTCTCATCACTTGTCTGCTTGATATTGTATTGATATTGTAAGGAGAAATTCTATCTTGGTCACACATGGGAGTTAAAGGGTTAAGTCACCCCTTGCAAGTTTGAACATCTATTTGATCTGTGGAATTTACTTTTATGTCCACATTTTGCAGCTTCAAAGATTGTTAATGGAATAGAGTGGACTTCTGCTCTAGAAAGTGTTTTTGAAGGAAACCGACACGAAGATCCCAGCTTATCTTGGCAGTACTTTGGATCAGATGAAGGATTTATGCGAACTTACCCAGGTATGAATTTTCATTGGAACACTAAGTTGTCATGATAAAATTTTAATGAGGCAAGAGTCGTGATCTTGGAATGTGAATGCTAAGTGGTTATATGTAAAAATAAAATATGGCTGGTGTTTGTTTGACAATATATTTTTTTTATTATTATTCACTCAAAGCTCGTCACTGGGACATCACTAATGAAAATAATGTGGATTTATTTGATGCCAGAAAAAGGCCATGGTAAGACTGACTTGCCTAAACACTTTGCATGACAGCTACTTCAAAACACAACTCACAAAAAATCATAACCTGTTGTTGTCTAGGACAGAAATAAATAATTACAGTAAAGCTAGCTATAGATGACAAGTTTAGAGCATTGGGTTGCAATAAACAAATGTGACAGAAAAATGGAAATAGGACAATAAGAATGTACATGTACCTGGCATTATGGATACATGGACTGAAAAAAGCTAGAAGCCCAGTTGATGTGAAGATAATCTGCCATCATTAGAGGGCTACTACTAAGGAACTCAGTGAATGAAGTGCTGAAACATTGTTCCAACAAGTCGTGCACATGCAATGTTTTGATGGCAGCAAGAGAAATGAATGATAATGAAATCAATTCAAATCAAGAGGGGACAAATATTAATAGTTTTTTATTTTTATTTGAAAGTTTATGTGGTTCAGAAATTTTAGTGTGTGACTTGGTTATTCTTTTTCTGATTTTTTGATTGATGCCCAGTCATTTTTAATTATTGCATGACAAGTAAGTTATTGAACACAAAGATCTGCTTTTTTTAAAATTTATTTAATAGGTACATTCAGGGAGCAACATCTCCCAAAAACATCATCATTCTTATTGATGCAAGTGGAAGCATGCATGGAGTCCCGATGAGAATAGCAAAGTTATCTGCACAGAACCTTATTGACACCTTTGGGGATAATGATTTTTTCAATGTTGTTTATGTGAGTGTGTTATTATGGGCATAATTGATTGCCCTGCTTTTGGAAGTTCACATTGGCATTGCCAGTCAAGAAACTTGTTGTTGATACCATAACAAAATTGTGTCACTAATCTCAGTTGTGATTGGCTATTATGTGTATGCATCTAATCCTTTTTTGTAGTTTTTTTTTTGTGTTGTACCTAAAGACAATAGTCCATTTTACAGTTGTATGCTTGGCTGCCAAGCCTTTGAACAGTAGTGAGGCTAAGGGTGACCTTGTTATGATACAAACATTATTATGCTAACTAGATACTGGTCTCTATGACAACAAGGTCAACTTTAGCCTCACTGCAAATAAAATGCTTGGCAACTAAGTACACATCTGTAAAATTACCTATTGTTAAATAGTTTTTAGTGGCACTTGCAGAGTGTAGCCCCATAATTATACAAAATAGTAGTAACCCATCAAGCCGAAAAAATTTGGATGTATGATCATACGACTGTACGACTGTATGACCGCACAACCATACAAGGTGCTACTTTTAACATGTGTGGTCAACTGTACCATGGGCAAGCCAATGCCACAGCTTTGTTCAGTAGTCCAGTGGTCAGTGCACTGGGCTCTGAGTCAGATGACCTGGGTTCTAGTCCTGGTCGGGGCAAGGCGTTGTGCCCTTGAGACGTGCAGGAAAAGAAAAGTGTGAGCTCCGCTTTTAGGCTTGGCTAAATCTATATATTATTCACATTAAAATTAATGAAACATAATTATATTTATAAAAAAGGTGTCCAGCAAGCATTGACATAAATTTTTGGTTTCTTTTCCCTATCCTTTGCTCTGGTAGGGAAGACAATACTCAGCCTAAATTCAAATTTTCCTCATCAGTTCAACTGTTCAAAAATTAATTGTTAACTTTAGGTAACTTTGAAACATATGATTTTTGCATTTAAATTTCAACTGTAATGTTCATCACTTGTTTAATTTGTTCCTTTGCTAGTTCAATGTTGAGGCGACAGTACTTTGTTGTGAAAAAGAGGGCCCCATACTGCTTCAAGCTACAAAGAAAAATAAAATCGTAGGTTTAATTTCTTAAAAAGAAGTTTGCTATCTTAAGTTGTATGCAAAAAAAAATTATGAACTTTCCAATTGTTCTTAACAATTTTTATTTAGCCAGGGAAGATTTATGTCATGTTATAAGAAAAATGAATGTAAAACATACCATTTTTCACCAGGAGGCAAATCTATTTTGAGACTTGTATTGAAACAAGATCAGACTTCAATCACATGCAGTTCTACCACATAGAGTTCAACAATGCTTTAGTCTTTTTTCATAGTATCATAGCAACAAATTTTGAAAATGACTCTGCAATCTGTTTGTTCTGCATGGCTCTCTTGTGGTTGTGATTTTATCATAGAAATGCAGAGCAGAGCATTGAACACGAGACTCACATAAATTAATTTAATCTTATGCTCTAAGCGATTATTCTTATGCATTTAAGGTTTCTGATGAAACTTTTGATTTTGAGAAAGCAAACTGCAGCTGGACTAATGAGATTAGTTATCATACAAAATTATTTCCTAATCACCTGGATTTAATTGACTCCTTGTTCCCTTTGTGCTCACTTTAAACACTTGTCCACAGTGGAAATTTTCCTGCCACATATATCTAGCTATCTCCACATGTTGACTACAGACTGGTAATGTGGACTATCTCCACACAAGCTCAGAATATATATATATTTTTTTTCAGTTTGTCAAAGAAGAATTGAAGAAAATAGCAGATAAGGATGTTGCTGTGTGGGAGAAAGGCATGAAAAAAGCTTTTGATCTTTTGGAAAAGGTGAATGATACAGAAGACTTACACCTGTACATGATAGGTAATATCATACATTGGTAAAGCAGAGGAGGGGATTATGTTGGACTAAGAGAAATAAGACATGGTTGAAGTCTATTGGGGGGAGTGGTCTCGGAATCTGCTGATTAAACTTTTTCTTGGTTTCTGTGGTTTCTGGAGCAACCAGAGCACAGTTGTTTGAACAACAATCAGTGGCAACCCAGGGTTAAATTTTAAACCACATTTCTGTTTTCCTTTGTTCAAAAGCTTTTTTGAATAATTCTCTTTAATTTTTGTAGAGCATCCAATAATCCAATTAGAGATAAATATCTGCTGTCAGTGCAACCCATGTCAATAGTTTGCTTTACCCTTTAACTGACCAGAAGTGATTAACATTAAACTTCTCCCTATAATATCCATACATAATTCAGCAAACAGGTAATGAGAATATTCAAACTTATCAGGTAGAAGCTGCTATTTTGATCTAGCACCAAGTTCTCTTAACTAATTTACAAGGAATGTGTAGCAGCCAGAGGGGAGAATTAACAATCAGATCTTGGGAGTTAAAGGGTTAATTGTCAGTTTTTCATTATATTCTTGATCTGGAATTGTTTTTGGAAAATATAGCCAGCATTGTAATCAAGGATAGCATTACTCATTTTTTCTGAAGCTGGAATCTTTAATCATAAATTCTGATATGCCAATTGCACACTTGTAACCAGTCCAGCTTGTTACAATATGAACCATTATCTGGAAATTTTCCACCTCATTCATGGAAAAACAGAACAAAAAGAAAACCAATAGGAAAAAAGTTATTTACTAGTCTAGGTCAGTCCATATGGGGAAAAACTGTGCCCTTGATCTTGAGTTTGGCCCTCAGCGGTTGACCTCAGGCACACTTTTTTTCACACTGACCTCTGGCTTGGAAATAAAATGTATGTGAGTTATATTTCAGGCAAACAACTTTGCAAAGTGCCAGGAGGCCATTATGGTTCTAAGTGATGGGACAACATCCAGTCTTCCTGAGCTTTTTGCAGAGCTCAATCCAGACAAAAAGGTAGAGTTGTCAAGATTTGTGAACGGAAAGATTGATTTTAGTTATAGATTTTGTACTTGCAGTGTTCTTCCTTATTTTAAGCATGGTAGGTGAACGAGATCTTTTAAACTGGTGGAGCAGTCCTTTTATTGGTTGAATTTTCAAGAATTCCAACCAATTTTAGGCGGCAATGTGAGTTACTGCAGGCAGTAAATTGTACTGGTTTCTCATCGAAAAGGAGAATGCAGTTATCCATACCTCACAAGTTTTTCCAGAATTAAGCAAGAAACTTACAGCAAAAAAAAATTTTAGAGATTGTTAGTCATCTCTCTAGAACGAAAGTATTGCTGATTAGCAACAAAAATAACAAATACTACAACAATTTTTGGCCTGTACCCTGCATTATCAAATTTTGTCTAACTAATAATAACATCTAATAATAACGATTCTATAATTCTCCACTAAATTTGCAACATTGAATAAATAATGTCATTAAAATTGTTGGACACGTCATAGCTGTTTATGATGTCGTGCAGGTTCGGGTGTTTACCTTTGCTGTTGGACCTTCTGCTGAAAGCACGGAAGCTTTGCGGAACATGGCTTGTAACAACAGAGGTAAATTGATCAGAATTCAATGACTGGTGGGCCCTTGAAAAATTTGTGAAGTGGTAGTGAATGTCAAAATGGAGGAAAGTTTTTATCAAATTCCTTTACAGAAAAGAACAACCCTCAAAAATTTCCCTCGCTCTCCACGCTTGGCTTCCTAGCTCAGTTGGTAATAAGGCCCAACTAGCATCAGGTTCAAATCCTGTTGAGCCTGAATTTTATTCAGGATTTTTTTCTGTGAATGCTGAAATTGCCGTCCACCCGCGGGTCATTTCTCAACTCGACTTTTGCTCCGCAGGTCAATTGATATCTATTTAATAATTACAAGATGTTAATGTTAAAGTGTTTTGATCTAAAATATCAAGATTCCTCAACCCCCTTACATTCAAACTGGTGGGACGCGGAAAGCAAAGAATCAAAACCAGTTATATATATATAACTTACAAAGAATCTGTCATCAAGATTGTTTTTGACATAGTTTGATGCTACTCTGGTTTGCAGATTTAATGAATGTAACCGAAGAAGTTATAGGATAGACATTTGCCCTTTCTTGATTTAAATGTGTCCAGAGGGGTTTAGGGTAATTTAGAGACAAGTGTCTACCGTAAACCTACCCACACCGACAAATACCTCGCTTTCGATTCTCACCACTCTATTTACCATAAAAAGTCTGTAGCCAAAACTTTTTTTGGAGGCTTGGCATATTAACTCCGCCCACGCTCCTTTAAATCGTGACGATGGCGGTTTGCTTCCTGACGCCTATTTACACCTCGTCAGAAAAAAGGCCGCTAATTAGTGATCATATAAAAGGACCTCTTGTTGCAGCGTTTAGATCACCCCTGATGAAGGCACTAGACAGGAGTGTCGAAACGTTGGGTCTATGAATTGTAACTTCTTCGGTTACATTCATTAAATCTGCAAACCAGAGGAGCATCAAACTATGTCTGATTGTCCATCCGGTTGCCGTGTGAACTTTAATATATTTTAAGATTGTTTTTGTTTGTGAACGTCCGCTATTCTAAAAATGTGAGTGGTGTACCAACTTCAATTGCCTCTTTTGGTGTCTTTAGTTTGAAGACACCAACCATTTTCCCTTGAAACATTTTGTGAGTTCTTCCAGATACATGAAGTTAGCTGGTGCCCATTTGTTCACCAGAGTGGAGAGACCTCGCCTTGTGAATGTCTCTCCAGGAGACTGGATAGGCTCGTACCCAGGTCTTTCACTTAACAGTTCAATGTAATCATTATGCTTCTGATAACCTTAGCATTGCCAGGAAGTTAACGGTTTTGAACTATACCTTTTTTATTATTAGGTTACTTTACAAGGATTCAGAGTGTCGGAGCCGTACGTGAAGTTAGTGAGGTAAAGTGCACTTAACCAGGTGGGCTTGTTGATAACACGGAGTACAACCTAAGATGTAGTTGTAGACAATAAAGAATCCTAACAATTAAATTATACTGACTTGTCCTAGAGTTACATCCGCGTTTTGACCCGGCCGATGGCGATGGCTCCTGAAGCGAATACAACTGACCATACAGTATGGACAAGTGTTTATTTAGATGCCTTGGTTAGTACTTAAAGTAACTTTGGTGATGCGAGAATCAGCGATTCATTCACTTACATGTTTTCGCTATTTCAACGGTTTTATGTGAAGCAAATAAAACATTGTTTTGGCGCTAATTAAGTATTCCACCACCAGGAGACTGTCAAATTTGGATATATAAGCAAGAGAATTTGTAAAAACTGTCTACAAAATGTGAATGAACAAATTGAATAAATTAGAACGGCGATAAGCGAATCGAATCTGCGGTGCAAGTGGAGTTACGTTAAGACGTGACGTTAAGGAAGCAGAGGTGCCCTTTGTTCCTTTGTGTTACATAAACTGGGATAGGCTCTCAAAAATTATTTGGATAAGTTTTAAATGCCATCTTTGTTTCCTTTTTTTCTTTTTTAATAGGGACTTGGCATGATGGTTACAGGGACTCTACCGGTTTTCCACCGTAAAGAGAGCGCCATTAATTGCTCTGTAAGTTTCCGGTTTGGTTTTGTTCGCGGAAAATCTGCACTGTCGTGTAATTCTAATTGTCCCCCAAACTGGACTGACTATTCCTGTTTCGCTGAAGAGACTCGGTTACTAGGGGGTGAAAATAATATCACTGATAACAATTTGACAATGATTTTTCAATCCTTTGGCTTCCAAAGAGCACCAGTAGTACTTCACAGAAACACCATGGGTAGTATCTCCCTGCTGTTTGTACAATTAATAGTGGTTGGAGATGATGAGCCTACAATCTGCGTCAAAATTAGTTGACACACCATCTTTGAAGAGTCACATTTATGTGTAGAATAACACTCCTGTTTTACCACACCCTAAGTCGTTACCACGACCCTCCCCCTCCCCCCTTCAATAGTTTGAATCACGATACAACATTGTTTTGTTTTGGGTTTTTTTTTTAGGGGGGGGGGGGGTAATAGGTTAACTTAACAAGAGAAAAAAGATAAGACTGAAGTAAAAGTGGGTTGAAGAGATCAATGTGTCAACAATTTTGTCGCCGATTTTATTTGATTAAAACATAGTAGAAATAGGTCCCAGAGTCGTTTCTTTATTCCAACCGTATTATTATTCTTAAAATTTCAGCCTTTTAGCTGCAGTCGATAACTGTTACAGTGGTTCTAAAACCAAACTCAAAATTTTCGTCTTAAAACTAAAGACCAAATTGGCAATCCAATCTAACATAGTGTCATTAAACATATTTTTGATGTGGATCAGGAGAAAGGTGGAATGGAAGCTGAAGAGAAGCGCGAAGATCATTTTCTTGGAGTTATGGGTGCGGATGTTCCACTAAAATACCTCAAAGACTTTATGTTACGACCATTGGTTAGTAATATTTTCATTTTTGATATCGATTCATGTGCTTTTAATTTATAGCAGTTTTCAATTGAGTGTCCAAAAACCAAAGTAGTCCCAGCGACCAATCAAAACAAAGTTTACATCATCATTAGCCAATGGGAACTCAAAGTGAAAACAAGCAAACTGCTTGAAGCGCGGGAAAACGCATCATACCTCGACTAGTTTTGTATCTGATTGATTGAGAGGATGGCTCGAGATTTCTGGACCAATCACAGAGCAAAGTTAAATTAAACCAAAGCAATCCCCGGATTACCTCAACACTCAGTTGGCAATTGTTCTGAGGTAACAGATTGATTGATCGATGGATTGATCGATCGATCCGATGATTTTAGAGGTCTTTTCACAAAGCAAACATTTCATGCTGGCTATTAGAGGACTCAAGAAATGTAAATACTGGGCGTGAAGTAAACAAAGATTAAAGAACATGGTGGTTGTTAAGAATAAACAAAAAATTCAGTGCCAGCACTTTGCAAAACCAGGTGCAGTTTGAAGGATCTTGAGGATGCTTTCAAGGTAAAGAGAGCTGTCCTAAAAATAGTGTATATGTGTAATGTCTCTTTTAGTGTTAAAACTTCCATGTTCAATAACCAAGTTAATCATTTTCTTTTTAGGTGGGGCTCAGTGGATATATGTTCGCGGTCAACAACAATGGAATGATTATTTTTCATCCAAGATTGAAAACAGTGGTAAGCACGACTCATATAGAATTACATTGTGTTTGCTTTACCTAGCGCTGTAATTGGTTCAGGAAACTTGCGCCACAAAACCAATTGTATTTACTTTGAAATCTCATTGGCTCCATGTGATTTTGATCTTCGTTCTGATTGGCTAGTTTGAATATGTTTGTTTTGTTTACAAGTCAGCCAATCGAGATGCTTTCTAACTTTGCATTGTATTGCATCCTCGTTGCTTTGTTTTGCAGTATGGTTACTTACAAGACCCCCCAGGGGTCGATCTTGTAGACGTGGAAACATCTCTGACGGGGGCGGAAGTCCAAGAGGTAAAGCATAAGAAAAAAGCTATTTTAAGCGATAAAATTTCCTTCCTCATATTTCAATGTCGAAAACATACACGTGTTTCTTGCGGAAGATTATCATGGTTTGCTGTGTCGAGTGTAGGACGTAAGGAAGAGGGAGTGTCTCTGAGAAAAATCCAATCCTCCACGCAAGTTCGGGTTTTTTTGAACGTGAGATAAGAGATGACGTTAAGGACGTGAGGACTGGCTCGGGTAAATCACGTCGAAGCTAATTTCTAAATTTAGCGTCAGAAATAAATAATGAAACAACTGTGGACGGATTTTCATTTGTGGTTTTATTCTTTCGTTGGCTTTTACTTGCTTTCGATAATGTTCCTATCGAAAATGTCCTATTAGCGCTGTATGACTTTATAAAAACAGCTTCTGGGATTTTAAAAAAAGGCAGGATTTGTCCTTTTACGATTTTTTACCTCGAAAGGTAACCAGTGTGCCTCGATTTCGTGTACTCGACCTAGTTTTCTTGGCTCACATCCAAAAACGTTAAGGTCAGAATTTCTGCTTTTTGGTAACACCGAGGGAACATATTGTGAGACTTGCCACGTATTAGATGCATATTGAAATTTCGCATCGAAACCAAACATTATTTGAACGTTTTCTTTCGTAGCTCAGAAAAGCCATGATCGACAAGGTTCCCATTACTGCCGATGGTCCGAATCGCACTGGATCTAGTCATAAGGAATTTGAAGTCTACGACTTGTCTTTCGATGAGGTTTGTAGAATCCAAAATCAAAAATAATTTTTGTATAAATCCATTTGTCCGTTTAATTTTTGGATGAGTGTACGCTCCAATTATTCGAAGATTTCGTCAAATCTTGTAGTAGTGAACACGGGTGAGGTGATTATAACAGCAAAACTCTACTTTGCCAATGGCTACCATGGTATTTTTGATGTTCCTTTGAAGGATGGGCATGGGCAATAACTTATCGATGCATTTTTATTCTAAGAAAATTCTCCTCTTCAGGTTCAGCGAATAATGTCGACTCAAGTTAATATCTGGAACTATTTTACGATATTTGCGTCTCCTTTAGAGTAGAATTGTTGCTTTTATTTAACTTGTGCACGCTCCTTTCAACCGTTAAAACAAAAATATTCTTAACTATTCTAATGGTAGTACTGCTTGACTAATCTGATATTTTTTGTAAATCTCTGACGTTCTAGTTGCGAATGACGAAGCGAACAATGGAATATTACTTCGGCGGCCTGGAAGGAACGTCGTTCAGGTATGTTTAGTGTCTGCAATTTTCCCAATGCATCAACTGACTGAGGAATTTTGCCCTGCACTATCTTGACAGTTATCCCATGAGCGCGCGTTAGTTCTAACTATATCGTTATCCCGGCAACTTAACAAGCGCAAGGGGATCCTTATTGTATTACAAAAATACGAAAAGAAATGTTTCAAATCCACTTCAAACATTTCCAAAATATGAGCTCATATACCATGGCCTGTAAACCAATCAGAACTCACAAACTGCATTATACCTCGACTAGTTTTTAATAATGTTGAGTCTGCACCGTCACCATTCTATATCCTTGACAACTTTATGGAGAAATGATTAGAGTGGAGCGTGCAACCATCGAGTTATGAATGCACTCAGGAGGTTGCAAAGCATTCAAGAAGCTAAAGTCGCACTCGGCTAAACACAGAGTAAGAAAGTGTAAACTGGCACAAAGAGGATCAAGTTTAGAGCAACAATGTATGTAAGTCTCTACCCCAGAAACTGCGAACTTTCCGTAGAAATTGCGAAAAACTACGTCCCACTTAGATTCTCAATGATTAGAATGGCAAGTTATCCATCGAAGTGCGCATGTGCAATCATGCGACCGCCGAGTTACTCGGCTATCGCCCTCATGGGCTTACTGAGTGCTTAGCAAACCTCCTGCGTACATCAATAACTGCGAAATTGCACGCTGCACATTTCTTTCATAACAATGAGACTCTCAAACATCTTTCGTTCCGTGTGGGGAAAAAAAAAAAAGCAAAACAAACTGATGTCAGCATGCAACCCAAGGGCATGTGGATCTAGCGTTTTAGCCAATCAGAGCGTGCGCTTTTGTAAAGCTATGTTATAATTTATTATGTTTCTTTTGCAAAGTCTTGGAATAGCAACTCCTCTGCTGGGATACAAGTACAATTTACCAGAATACACAGAGACTGAAGTAATTGGTGAGAAATATTGCCTCTTTCATTATTAGAAACTTTCCTAAATTTTATTAAGTGTTTTATTAAGAGCGCCAACATTTTCCCGATGACTTGGGATGAGCAGGTCAGGACTGGTTTTAGTTTTGCAGCATACTGGTTGAGAGAGTGGCGCGAGTTTTCTGAACCAATCACTGAGCGAAGGAAAGCAAAACCAATTCAGTCAAGGATTACTCTCGACAATGAATTGGAAATTGCTATTTTAGTCTGAACATCATATTGTTTTCTTTAACCCTTCAACTCCCAGATCAAATTTGTAACTCTCCTTACTGTCAACCATACAATTCTGATAATGTTAGTTTAGAGAATTTAGTATTGGATCAACTTATTATCCCTAAAGTGATATTTTTCTTTATTCTCATCACTTATCTGGTTGATATTGTATTGATATTGTAAGGAGAAATTCTGTCTTAGTCACTCATGGGAGTTATAGGGTTAATGTGAGTTTCCGTACCCTTGAGGGCTATTCTCATTCAGATTTTATCATGCCAAGCAGGTCGGAAAGTCGAAGCCGAATACTAAGAACTGGGCAGCCCTCTAGGCTGGGGTTGCCCTGACAATGTGCTTAACTAACGAAGTGAGAGCAGTATAACCATTTACAGGTAATTTTCTTTACTTCTTTATAGATAAACTCCACGAGTTGTTGAAGGAAACGAAGTTGTTGAAGGACATTCAAATTGAAAGGTGGTAAGTGGTGGAGTTTACAGGAAAGCAATCTCGTGTAACTTCCAAATCTTGTAAAAAATTTTATCCAACCATGCACGTCTCTCTTGTGTTTGTTTTTGCTTCCTTCGAGTTGTTTGGAAGGTTTACGTTGTTTGCCATGATAATTTAATAGCTCCTTTTGAAAGTTCAGTCGAGGAGTGTTACAAATTAACTCTTTTGATACCGAGTAAAATCGAATTTTCGCTGTTTTTCATGAAATTTATAGTGAAATTGTTTTCTGTTTCTGAGCGTCATTGTTTTTAACAGAGACTAGATGTTTATTCGAAGGCTTCTCGGCCTTTGTTCGATGATCCGGAAAGAATTTCCATTACTCCTGAATCGGAGAGTTTTTGCAATTTTTCCAATGGATTTCTCCGAAGATTTGTTTTTCGACGAAAAGTAGGCGAAACCAAAGGATGCCTTGACGTTAATGTTGCCGCTTGCGTTTGTAGAAAACGGGCTATTAATTTATGCAAGGTGCGTGGCTCTGAATCGATATAATAAGTTTACTTGTCTGTTTTGCAGGCCATATTGCAGGAATGTTGTACTTGCTGAAAAAACGCCACTTGAACAATTGATCAATGAAACCGAAAGTAGAGACACTAAACTATGTACGTAAACGTTGGTTGGACATATTTCAACTTTCCTTCAGTCGATAAGTTTACTTTGAATGGTTGCAAACGAAGGTTTAACCGAGAGAACGCTGGGTTTGAGCATTGGCGGGGATCATAGTGATGGTGTTATTGAGCAGGAACCTTTGCTCCCTCAGTGCCTCCCCCCTCCAGGACGTGACCTGCCATAGATTAGCATTCCATGGGGGGGGGGGGGTGGGGGGAAAGGAGGAAGGAAGATAATGTAAAATATCCCCATTTGCTTCACGTGAAATGCTAAACCGAATTAAGAATTGACACAGAGAGGAGACAGACTTATCTCTGTCAATGCTGTCAATGCTGCGTTGATACATTTTCTGTTACAATTTATGACTTTAGGTAACAATTCAGAATTACTAACGGGTCTGCTGGTGGACTTGAACGTCACAGCTCGTTTACCATCTGTTTGGAAAAGCAAAGCACGGTAAGCTAAGGAAGGAGAAAGTAGTGACTCTGAAGTTTTATCACTGTGATAGCCTTCAACGAATTGTCAGTACCCTCCATCGTTTCGTAGTTGTTTTCTTGACAACAACAACGTCCGTTTGTCGTACGTCTGCCCGGGCCTGAAGTAACACAGTGGTCAAACGTGGGGCACGCACGAGGGGATCAATTTTGAGCGTAGGCGCGCCAATTTCCTACGTATAATTTCAAAGGAAATTTCATAAGAAACAGCTGCACTCTCGCTAAAGCTTATCCTGTTGATTTACTTCACTGTTTTGAGCTAAAAAATATATACTTTTACATGGAAAGCACTGTGACTTTCTGGCTTGTGTGGTTGGTTGTAACTCGTGTGAGACAACTTGGGTCTGACAGCCTCAAAGCACGCCACCCAGTCATTACAACCTTTGCACATGCGTAAGACGTTTGGTCGCTGTGGTTCCTGAAATAGGTTGTTGGGGACTGAGGCTGACTTTCACTGATAACTTGTTATGTCAAAAAAATTACAACTTGCTGAGTGATAAATGGGAGTTTGTTCCATACTGTATCAAATGAAACAAACTTTGATTCCTCAAAGAATCTTCAGTGTTACAAGATAATGAAACCTTTCTGAGCTACCTAAAAAGGGGCAAAAAGACAAATAAGATTTGTTTTTTAAATTTACGCTGTTTGTGTCTGTTATAGGCCAGGTGTTAATGACGTGTTTGTACGGACCTACTGGGGTTTACATCGAAGTCACAGGTTGGTGAAACTGAGTTTGTTGCGCCTTTAACTTGTTTTAAGTTTCAGAGAACGTTCTAAGGAAAACTTGCTAATTTAACCCTTTACATCTTAATATTAGTGCTTATAATCTCCACACTGTTCTCTTTACATTTCCCATGGCACTGACAAGGAGAAATTGACTGACAATCAGGTGCTTTTGAAATTGGTGATCATTTCCTTTATTCTCATGACCTTCAGTAATACCTAATACCTTCAGTTTAGTAATATTTGATTCAAGGTGACACCGTATGGAGAGATTAGAAGCCAATCACTCGTAGGGGTTACAGAGTCAAAGAAGTATTGATGGAACTAATGCATGGGTGTGCAAGGAACAACGGATTTGTTTTGAAAAAGTTTTCTACAAGGTTGACATTATTTATCTGTTTAATTCAATTTTTTTAGTGGATCAAAGGACAAGCGTAACTCTAGTTCAGAAGACGACATCTTTAGAAGAGTTTTTGGATCCCAAATTCCATGTGCCTCCATCATTTATACCACAAAATACCTTGCAGGTATTTGACGCATATCGTGCTGACATCTCCTGTTTCATGTTATGTATTTAGTTGAAGGAGCTGCGAGGACACTCCAGTCGATGTAAAACCACTAAAAAGTTGGGTTTTTGAGTCCTATTAGTTGAAACCGAAAAAGCTATTTCGTTCGTAAAACAAAGTTGGCCATCGTTTAAACACTTTGTACTCATTGACTGAGTAATGTGGTTCTGCACTGTAATGTGTATCTCTCGGTCTTGAAGTACCGTTTATCGTGACCGAGAGCTGGATATTTTCTCGTGCGTCCCGACCTTACTCAGTCTATAAACATTTTACCATATGACTGTTTCCCTCTGTCTGCCTGTATCACGTGTGATTTGTAACTGAAACAACGCCTGACCGCTGCCAAATGTTGAGGCTCACGTGAACGTAAAGGAGCAACGTAGCGGCTTAAATTTTCAGGGTTGTCACTTCGAATTGGTATTAATCGTCGCCATCGTAAACCGTTCTCGCTCACGTTTTGGTTCAGTAGTTTGTCCTTGCTGTTTTTCTACCATGGCAAACCATTTTACAAAATTCCTTGAATTTTCACCGATACAAACGAAAAAACCCAAGAGACTGTAACGTAGCTCTTTTAGAAAGATTATCTTTACGTACATAGCCACTCTTGGGCTCTCCTCTGTGTACCTCACGGAACTCATTAATTTACAAACTAGATATAATCTCAGATCATCCAACAAACTCTCACTGCAGCCACATAGGGTAAAGACTAAGCGCACGCTCGACGACCGCAGTTTTATCGCGGCGGCGCCAGCGCTTTGGGACATACTACCGTCTATTTCGTTTTGCTTTTGACATTTAATATATACATTAAGTGTGAATAGTAGTTTAGATTTTGTCCATTAAAAAAAGTAAGAAACTGCCAAATTCATGTATACCTGATTGTAAATAATAAGATTATTTATAGATATGCCATTTTGTTACTTGAGTTTATTAGATTTTATTTGGAAAATATTATAAAGCGCTAGAGAGCATCTACCTACAGAATTCTAGCACTATATAATCATTCAATTATTATTATTATTATTATTATTATTATTATTATTATTTTTATTGGCATGAAAACAACCAAATTTCAATCGTCACATCACACAGTGATTAAATTATAATTCCTTATCATCTCAGGAGAAATATTTCAAGGCACATAAATCTGTGTGTTTTTTTTCTTTTTTTTGCTATCTTGCAGCAAAGTCTGATGAGAACATTACTTCTGTGTTTGCTTATAAAAGAATATATCGCAATAAATTCCCTGCTGCTAGTAAGTGATCTTCATTAACATTCTCAGGACGGGCACTTCAATTCTAACTTGTTTAATTTTTTTGCTTTTGATTCCCCTGAGGGGCGGGAGTATCGTGCCAGCCCGAAAAACACCACCCGACTGAAAACAAATATTTTCAACACAGAGAGAACTGTTTTGCGTGTCCGTGTCCAGTTCTTCCTTTAAAATATGATCTGACCACCCTTTCAACGTTGTGAGTATCTCCTTGCTGCAAAATTGTACGCATTTTCAAGGCACTTATATGCCTGACTTTGAAATTTTTTTAATTACTTGGAGTGAACATCCCTTCTGACGCAGATAAGCCGCAGAAGTGCGCTTTTATTTCATTCGATCATGATTCTGTATTCACTATTTGTCCCATATGGTACAGTTCCTCCTCATTTCAATTCGAATAATTTATGATTTCCTTTTTATTTCCGCAGTTCTTGGTTATGAGATGGATATGAAGGCCTTTGTCGATACACATATTGTGAAAAACACAGAGGTAACAGTAACAAACCTGATAGTTTCCTCTAGTCCTTTAAAGTCTCATTTACAAAATCATCCACCATTTTTTAAAATTATTATTGAACGGTTAACCGTTTCATAAAGTGAGTGGCGCATGTAAGCCTTTTGTAGGGTATAGCACAAGATGATGCACCCCAGATGTCACTCATCTTAATAACTGTATAACCATCTATCTTGCGCGGGGGTCAGAAATTACTCTAAAGAGAGGTGAGGTTTCTTCTCAGCAAGAGACAACAAACGATTACTCGCTGAAAAGAGACCTATTTTTAGCGATGTGACCAGCAAGGGCGCATCCTGGAATTTTGATCGGAGGGATCCAAACTTGGATTCAGAAACCACCGAATGTTTTCGACAACATAGTCCAAATAGTTCATGAGTATTTTGAGACAAATAAATTTTGAATACGTCATGTGAAGTAGAAAATTGCAATGCTCACGTTGCAAGAACTTTGGTGTTAGACGTAGTTAAGAAAAAAAGAAAAAAAAAAACAGGTCTGATGTGGGAGGGGAGGGAGGAGGAGACGCTCCCCTGAATCCGCGACTGAACAAGAGGACCCCTCTAAATGAAATGAATACTATGTTTATTCTCGTTAACTGTTTGCTCGATATTGCCTCTGTAGAATAATGAGAAGTTTCAGGCTAATCACTTTAGAGAATTCAACGGTTACTTCAGAAATCAATCCGTACATGTTGTTTGTATTTATCAGTGTCAGTCAGAAGGATCAGCGTGTGATATCAGCTGTGACAGGACTGGAAAGAATGATGTAGGCTAAAGCATAGTTAACCGTTCACACCGTGACATTAGGATGCATATTCTCCATATTGTTCTCTGTACATGTTATTATCTATTGCCCCTTTGTAACTTTTGCTCTATTTTTTATAACGAAGCTCGCAGAGCGTAGCCCCATAATTATACAAAATAGTAGTAACCTATCAAGCCGAAAAAATTTGGATGTACGACCGTACAACCGTACAAGGTGCTACTTTTAACATGCGTGGTTAACTGTACCGCGGGCACGCCAACGCCACGGCTTTGTCCAGTAGTCCAGTGGTCAGTGCACTGGGCTCCGAGTCGGACGACCCGGGTTCTAGTCATGGCCGGAGCAAGGCGTTTTGCCGTTGAGACGTGCGGGAAAAAAATGCGAGCTCCGCTTTTAGGCTTGGCTAAATCTATATATTATACTACGCTATCTCTGACACCCCTGATATGGGCTTTTTCTGTTTTCCCTTTCTTCAAAAATGCGATGTGTTTTTTTTTATTAAGCTTAATATTAATTCATAACTTGCCTCCATTTTTGTTTTTCCTCCTCTCCTCTTTCCTTGGTTTTTTTTTCTTAGCCTGTAAGTAATGCTAAATATTTTTTTATTCATATTGTAAAACAAAAAAGCAATATTAATAATAATATTGATAATAGTGAGACAGTGAAACAGGTTAACCACGCAATAGCGTAACATTGGGAATGATGTCATAGCTGTTAGTAACGTCTGCTTCCCAAGGAAAATAGTATTGAAACAAAATATAAAAAAAGTATTGTTGTGAGTAGTCGTAGCATTGAAAATATTGTTTTAAGTATTTTTTTTTTAATTTAGCAATTTTAATGTTGTAAGTAATGCTGTAAGTAATTTTGTTTCTTTTTTTGTATGATTGAAAAAATAAAAAATATATTAAGGACAATTAAATATTTCATAGACCCAACGTTTCGACACTCCTGTCTAGTGCCTTCATCAGGGGTGATCTAAATGGACCTCTTGTTGCAACAATCAGATCACCCCTGATGAAGGCACTAGACAGGAGTGTCGAAACGTTGGGTCTATGAATTGTAACTTCTTCGGTTACATTCATTAAATCTACAAACCAGTGTAGCATCAAACTATGTCTGATTGTCCACCTGGTTGCCGTGTGAACTTTAATATATTGAATATTTATTATGGTGGGTTGTTTCCCATCCAGCCATAAAGTAACTATTTTATTTATTTTTAACTAGTACGAAGGCCTCTACTGTTACCTTGTGGATGAAAATGGCTTTGTTGTGGCAGGAAATGATGAGAGTGTAAGTCATGCCCACCAGCAAGGTAGTAAGTTGATTCAATGATTTAATTACACGATTTGATTGCCCGTCCTGAGAAGCGCTGCAGTTAGGTAACGTTGCTATTATGCAAGGATCAACGCCATCAGAGTTTCTTTGAAATCTTTCGTTTTTTGTCACACGATTTTGCACTGCCAAAGCTTGTTCGATCTCTTTCCACTGTTATTTCAATAAATGGTCTTTGTGTTAACATCCTTTCCATGGTTTTGTTTTCTATAGTCAGCTGGGAAGTTCTTTGGTCGAGTCGATGCGCCCGTGATGAGGCAGTTAATTCGTTCTGATGAAGAGAACGGTTCTGGAATTTATAACAAGTGAGTTATCTTTTATTTCATAAAAATATAGTAGTTTTCATTGAGTGTCAAAAAACTAAAGTAATCCCAGTGACCAATCAGAACAAAGAATTGCATCATCATTAGCCAATGAGAACTCAAAGTGAAAACAAGTAAATTGCTTGAAGGGCGGGAAAACGTCGCGATTGTTTTTACTTTTGCATTTGATTGGTTGAGAGGCTGGTGCGAGGTTTCTGGACCAATCACAGAGCTAGGTTGAGTAAAACCAAAGCAAGCTCGAATTATTTTCGACGCCTTCTTGAAAATTACTCTGTTCGCTTTGGAGAGTTACTTTGTTACTTTTTGTTATTGCCTAATAATTTTGCGTTGTCGGTGTCCATTATGCTTCACGTGCGTTGCGGCGGCTGTGCTTGGCGTAGTTGTGTACTTTCCCGCGCTTGAGGTCTGTGATTGGCATTAGTTACGAGTTTTTCACCTTTGGCACGAGGTTATGTATATGCACTTGGCCTGGGCTTCAAATTTTCCCGCGCCTGGAGTCGATGAGAGATTTTCCCGCGCTCGTTTGATAAGAATATTTTCGCTGGCTTGTCACTGATCTCATTAGGGCTCGGTTATCACGTGAAGGAACTCTTACGTCTCGTAGGTTTATGACCAAAGCTAAACTTTACCGTCATTGCTTCATATAGTAGCGATAGTTTTAGTCATTGAGTCACGCAGCCGAACTCTGCCATGTCGCGTATGTTGCATTTTTATATTGCTGTTATTTTGTTGTTATAACGATGAGAGTCACAATGTGTCACAAATTTCCCACTGATGAATCTCTGTTCAAATAGGGTTGTACTGACGGACTTCCAAGCAGTTTGTCAAGTAAAAGGCGGAGTGAACAGCGGAGGAGTCTCATTTCTCCTCAAGGTGGGCTCAGTAATATTATTTTGATCAAGTTCCCTAGGAAATCATTTTATGTGTATTTGATTCAGGGCTGCAACAAAAATAGACAAAATGTATGATTGAAAACAAGCTATGTGCGTAACTCGTAACGTTACAAGTGTAACGATCGTAGGTAATGGTTCTCCTTTCAATTTACTTTAGTACGTGGAAACCTTATAACTTGAGCATACTTGTGAAGTATTATTATTGTCACATTATAGCCGTTTTTTTCACTCTCTGCTTACGCTGAATGGTGGACGACCAAAGCTGTGTGGTATGTCTCTTTTAACTTCAAGTCCTAGTTGATGACGTGCCAAAGTTATTACATATTTTCACGCTGTGAACTCAGCAGACTTCTGACAAAAAAATGTTTCTCCTACGTTATATGATAAATTTTTCCCAGTGTTAACACACCTTTTTTTCTTGTTGCATTTCTCTACCGCCTACAATTTGTCTTGTAAAGCTTATAAAGCACAATAAAAGGATAACAAAAGCAACATGATGCAAACCTATCCAGTTGTGCTGCAATTTCGCAACTTTAATGTGTTGAAACCTATCCAAAAACAAACAAGCTCTACCAATTTTTGATTGAGTATTGTCAGTAATCCAAGATTGCCTTTGTTCCCCTTACTCCGCACTGTGATTGGCCTAGAAAAATCACGCCACCCTTTCAACCAATCAGATGCAAAACGAAAGCCAATCGCTAATTAGTCACACATTTTCCTGCCATTCGGGGCGATTGCATATGTTTTTACTTTCTTCTTATAATACCTTTTTCTGATGGATTTTTGTGATTACTTTGGTTATGGTTTTACGACAATCAAGCCAAATGGGCTCTACATTGGAGTTCAACATCGTTTCCAACACTTTTTTACATAGCTCTCTCATTTTCCTTATATTCTTTTCTAGGTCGTTGCTTTATTTCAATTTGTACAGGTTAGTTCGACTTGTTTCTTCTTTCAAAACAGAACTTAGTGATATATTGTATACTGTCAGTTCTCTTTTGTTCTGTTCATATTTATGCTCTACACGGCATTACAGGGGGTTTAGATAACTTTTTTTATAGGCGGCCGCCAATAGTGTAATAGGGGCTTGTGCCTGGAAAAAGGGATATAAGGCGAACCTCAAAGACTGGAGGCTGCACGCAGGTTTAACAGACAGCGGTGGAAGGTGGTAGGGGTGGGGAAAGACCGCTGGCCACTTGCTTTTATTGAAACCCTTAGTCCCGGTTGTTCGAAGGTCGGATAACGTTATCCACAGGATAAATCTCTATCCGGTGGATAACGGTATACTTTTTGCCATCACTTATCCGCTAGATAACCATTTATCCGTTGGGTAGCGTTATCCGCCCTTTGAAAAACCGGGCCCAGCATTATAAAACACCGCTAATGTATGCATATAAAACAGAATTTCACGCTGCAAATGCAAACGTGTACCAGTATATACATTTTCACAGACGTTTTGGTTTTTCCTCAAGGTATGTTGTATTAGACTTATAAAAAATAATGTCTAAAAGTTATAAGTTTAAAATGGCTGAATCCACTAATATTTATTGAGAACAAAGCGAGTCCAAGAAAAATAGAGAACGGCTTTTAAAAGGCGGAGAATGAGGTTTTTTGTGACTTTTATTTTCATAGTTGGATTTTTGCTGAGAGTGGTGCAACAACTGGTGAGAACGTTATTCGTTTTGTTAGTGAAAATTATCTTCGTGTTAATCCAGACAGGTAAAGGATTAACTTGAGTGACGAGGGAATCCCTCATAGTTTCCGGCTCTTGGGGTTGCATGCATGTTTTCTTTCTTCTGTTACCGATTGCATGTTTCCCCCTTTTGGTGTCGAATAAATTTTTTCCTGCACTTTGTGTAGACTGCATGTTTTCCCATCCTTGTTACCGATTGCATTTTTTTCCACTTTTGGAGCCGCGTACATGTTTTCTGGCTCCATATTGGTGGTGTTTGCATGTTTTCTACTCTTGGGTTATACACCAACTCCATTCTTTAACTGCTCTCCTTTCGTAATTTACAGAGGCTACCGACGACATTCCAAAGAATATAAGCTGTATCCGAAATATAACAACCTATTATGCCGATCAGGGAAATGTAACACTAAACGGTTAGTAAGTTTTGGTGTCGATTTAATGGGTTGGGTTGAAGGTAGATTAATGACCAGTTTCGGATCTTCCCCAAATTTCGTATCTGCAACGTGTGTTCTGTTTTCTGGAGCTAAAATGTGAGCCTACACCCGACTCCCAACCGGGAGAATGGGGAGAAGCCTGCAGAACAAGCCTAAATTGTTTGTTGTTGTTGCTCTCCCAAAGTCATTTCTGTGCATTTTCATGCTTTGGTCTAACTTTATTCTGCAGGTGTGACAAGCTGCGGAGACTGCTCGAGGTAGGGTTTGAAAACAACTAGGCTGAATGTAGCTGACATCTTTCACGTCTGTCTGGTGTTATATGATCTATCTTATCTAAACTTCAGGCGTCTTATTAGGGGGAATTAAGGTTACAAGCTCACGATCGTTTATTCGACTGGCCATGTTTGACTTAGAGTTAGAGTGGACGGAAGGAGTAGGGGGCGGGGAAAGGCCCCATCCCCCCTCTCTGCCCTTCTTTTTGACCGTCACTCACCCCCTTGGAACAAATTTCTTTCTCTTCCCAGCCTGAGTTGGCAAGTAATTGTTTTCCAAGTCTAGTAGAAGAATACTTTAAAATCGAAGCGAGAACCAAATTTGCATAAGCAAGACAAGGAAGGGCTTTTGTTTGACTACTCCCAGTCATTTCATAATTTGAGGAGCCTCTCGGTTTACTCTGAAATCCTCTGGGCCTCACGCTTCATCGTAGAGACTAGCGTTTGTGTTGTAGTGACAAAAATCTCACAGAGTTCTTGGACTACTCTAGTTAGTACTTTTTCAAGATTTCTCTCACCAAAAATTCCAAGATGACGCAGTCTCCGCAATTAAGCTTGATGGCCAAATGACTTATCCCAAGAAGTGTAATGTAAAGCTTGTGGTTGCTTTCTTTTGTTGCAGGGAACATTTTGTGGCCAGCGTGCGTCATAGTAACTTATACCTCGTGGTGATAAATGCTACGTGTGGAAAGTGCGATGAAATTGATAGGGAAATGGGTGTTCCCGGAGAACCTCGAGAAAATATCCTTTGATAGATAATTTAGAATTAACGGAGATGTTAAATACTAACTTCTTACTAGGCCTCCCAATCAGTCAATAAGCATTTTATCATATGACCACAAAGTGCTGAAAACTTCGCAAATTGTGTTTCAACCGAAATAGGACGTGATAGGAGGGCGCACGCAGGACAATCGGAAAGAGGACTCTACCAATAAAACTCTTCCTTTGCTTTTCCGGGTCAGAACAAGAAACTCAAAATTTATCGAAAAACGCGACTTGTTTTCCTTTCCTTGTTTTCCCTAAGTTTTTTGAAAAAAAAAGCTCTGGACGCCTTTTTCCTGATCGGCGCACGTCAGCTTTCACTATAGTTTTCTATGGGATTGCGAGAGCGGGGCCTCGTGGATCATATGATAAATATTTATTTAACGAGGATGAACCCCAGCAGGAGCTATGACGTACCAAGAGGGACTCAAACCCCTTTCGGACGACGGAACCCCAACCTGGGTTTTCTATCGACCCATGAACATTTACATGTGAGACACGAGTGTGACTCTTTGCGAGAGTACAGTTGGGGTTGTTTCATATCTTTTTGTGTCTCCTTAACGACATTACTTCCTCGTGACACCGTGGAAAATTCCTGTAAGGAGCCGGGCTACAGGAAAAGACCTAAGAGATGTTTTGTATCCACAAATCCTGTATGTATGCCCTTGTTCATGACGCTGCGATGTCAATTACTATTGCATTTTTGTTGTTGTTGTTGTTGTTTTTTTGGCAAATCTCTATTGGTGCTCGAAAACGCACATTTTCGGTACCTTATTTTAGCCTGTTTACATGTGTTGCAATTCCATTCTGGAAGCCTCTTGAATTCTATTCCTTGTACACTGTCAATGATCTCAATCCTAACAAAGACCAAACATTCTTCGAGGCCTTAATTTGCTTTAATTTCTCAACTTAGTTTGAAAATACAAGTTTTATTTTTCTCCTTATGCAAGTAACCGCAAAATATACTTACCAATCCTCTTTAATAATTGATTCTAACAGTTTTGAGCTAGAAATTATTTACAGCTTACAGTAACACGGGAGACAGGGCCTCCAGTAAATTGCTGTAGAACAGTTTCCGAGATTAATTTGATTTTGCTATAATTCGCTGTGTGATTTGTCCATAAAACTCACGCCACTTTCTCGACCCGTTGCACTCAAGACTTAGACCAATCGCGCCATCGTCACCCCTTTTTTCCTGCCCTTCAAGCAGTATTCTTATATTTTTTTCGTCGAGTCCACATTCGCTTCCCTTAATATCTTTCTTTCTGCTGATTGTCTTTTTTGATTACTCGAAAAATACACCATTTCTCATGGTTATCAATCAGCTTAAAGAGGTTTTCAATTAAGTCGAAAAACAAAACCAAAGTTATGACATCTACCAATCAGAATAAAGCTTGGCATCACCATTAACCAATGAGAACTCAAAGTAAAAAAAGGCAACCTGCTCGAGGCGCGGGAAAACGCGAGTGGCAAGTTTGGGGTTGGTTCTAGTTTGGCATTTAATTTGTTGACATGGTGGCGCGAGTTTTCTCGACCAATCACAGAGCAAAGTAAAGCAAACCAAAGCAATCCAGGGCTATCTAAGATAATCGATTGACAACTACTCGAACTGCTTGGTAAGAATTCTAATAATTATGTCTCTGTTTACAGGAGTCCGGCTATGCGTGTGGTTCCGGTTCGTTCATAAAGCCTTCTCCTTATATCGTCACTTTGCAACTGTTTTGGCTTTTTGCAGCTCTGCGGAGAATAGTGGGGTTCGTGTGATAAATACTTATCTCTGAGGAGAGAGTTAAAAGTACATGAGGACAAGCTCGTGCCTCCGAGGTGTCAAGATGAGATTTTAAAATAGTCGACGTTTACTGTGCGTCTTGGTCTTATGCCGGGTTCATAAGAATCATTCATTTTATAAGTTGTTTTTAAGCCTGCTTCACAGCAAGTTTGAATCGAACATCAATAGTATGCAGGAACATGCTTTGGTTTTAGTACTCTCTTCAGACACCCACCGATTAGGAACCACATCAAAGCGCAGTTGGAACTTCCTACGTTTGTTCAGCTGTTTCACCTTCTTAATTGCGTACCTTGGTGCTGTGATTTTTCTATCAATAATGCTGACGACGCCCCTTCACAATTTCCCTTTGTTGAAGGAGTCGCAATATTAAGAGAGGTTGTATCTAAACTTCCCTCTCGTATTTATAACGCGCAAGAAAAATTTAACTGTTTTAACACATGTATTATATTAATACTACACTTGATAATTTATTTCAAAGCCGTACAGCCAAGTAAAGTTTTATTTCAGCAACCATTTTCATCAATCGCACGATTTATGTAAACCTGCATGTGGATTGATCAAATTGTTGACTTTTTAAGAAGTTTTAAAATTTCCTTGACACATGTAAGTCTATTAATATTTATTTTTGTCACTGACAGAAAATAACTGAATGAAACTTTTACTCGTGTCTTATGAGTCACGAAGAGCTTATTTTTTTGTTAAAAATTGTTTAGAAATGTAACGGCTGAAATATTTATTGTAAGAAAGGAGTTACATTTTCAAAATATAACTCAAGGTGATAACTAAAGTGCGTTTGTGTCTCCAAGTAGATCTTATTTGTTGTGAAGATTTCTCCGTTTCTCTAGAGAAAAAAGTTAAAATCAGAGACTAGCACCCGCCAAAACTAACCCTTCGCCTCCATGTTGTTCTCGCTGATACTAAAGAGAAAGTTTTGATTGTCACCGCTTCACCCTTCCCAACCCCCCCCCCCAAAAAAAAAAAAACAAAACAAAATATTTCAGTAAATTAGCAACAGTTTCTCTCCTGTTACTTTTCCTTCTCTAGCAGGGGTCCTCTGCGATACTAAATTTCAAAACACGAACGAGATCGTTTCAAAGTTCATTTATTTACAACACAAAGGCACTCAAAAAAACTAATGGAGGAGAATGTATTTACAATCTTATAAGAAAATCAGTTCAAAACGCTGCATTGATAATGACCAACTACATTTGCGTAAAATTCCCAGATATAAAAACGTCAATTAGTGAAGAGTTACTTTGGCTTTTCTTTACTCTTTTTCTTTTTCTTCTTTTTCTGTTTGTCTTTATCTTTATCCTTCTTGGCCAGACATGAAGAACAAAACCAATCTACACCAGGGTCCTCTGTTATCCCAACGCATCGGCTGCATTAAGAAATACAATAATATCAGTATTTCAATGTCCCCTCACTGGAAAGTGTAATGTGTTCGAGCCGGTACCGAGACGAGAGAAGTCCCGAAATGGACCCCTGAGTTGGTGTTCTGTAAGCGCTTTGAAGCGTTAACGGGTAAGGAGTGAAAACGAGCGACGAAATGAGAGGGAAGTAAAAATGAAAATATTTTTTTCCTACTTGCGGCTTGGCGGCTCGTCGCTTTAAAGCGCACACAAAACCGCCAGCTACGTAGGCAAGACTGCAGACAATGACTAGCTTTTCAATAACTTGGGTGGAAATCATCATCAGAGTCGAGTTCGTGAGCGCCGCTTGGGCATCTTTATCATGATTTTACAACCTGTTGGGCTCCAGCGGCGGTTTTGATGAGCTGTTAGGATTAGGATCACCTTTTTCAAGGTCACTTAAATCAAGTTTGTTTGAATCACATATTTTGCCCTTGAATGTCCCTTCTCGAGTTTTCGAGAAATCGGAGACTACATGGAAGAATACCATTCTACTCCCCGTCATCTGACAAACCACCAACAAACTCTTCCCTTCGTTAATTTGTAACTCACCCATGAAACCATTCGTCACATCCATCACAGCCAATCATGAAAGTTCCATCGTCAGGCTCAGCACACACGGGACAATAGTACTCTTTAGCGTATCCCTAGAACACGAACACCAAGAATACCACTGTGTTATCGTTATTACTCAGAGCCGGGTTGTTCGAAAGGGATTTAACGTTAATCTTGGTTTAAAAATTCACCTTGGCTTAAATTGCTCATGTAGAAGAACGTGTGCGAGAGCTACGGTTTTGTTGGGTTTCATCTCAATATAACTCGAAACTAACGGGCAGAAAATGCAAACGAAAATCCCTTTGCAAAGCTATAAAACTAAATTAAAAATTCACATTGACCCTGGGTTAGTTAAACCGTGTTTTGAAAAACCCGGCCCAGGTAACTATCGGGCCCAGAGCATTTTCTTCCAATTATTTTCTTTTCAAATCTACCTTCGAAAAACCAAGATGTCGCTACGGGGCACTTGAACTACGTTACTGCTTCATTATCATCCTCACATTGTACAGTAGATTAAAACAAAGTTTGATGTAAACCCTAACGAATCCCAGTCTGTGCACAACGAGCAGAAGAGTCATATTTGATTGCATTTCACGTTGCATTCACCGAACAAGTGCAGTGTGGCTCAACCTTATTGAATGATGGTCAATACATGGGAATGCCTTATAAGAGCACCCTTGGAAAGCCAAGCAAGAATTTTTAAAATTTTTTTTCTACCAAGGTGCTAACACGCGGAACGTCAGCTTTAAAACCTCTTTACAGTTGCCCATTTACATTTTCAACTCGGTTGATAAAACCGAATTATCTTTTTAAACCCCAAACGACACAGCACGGCAGTTCTTTCAACAAACTTACCCCCTTATTCATTAGAAAGTTTTTCTGCCGATCACTACTAGCAGTGAGCCTACGTAATCACTCTGTGCGGTTTTTGTCTTGCAGTTGGGGTTTTAATAGACTTGGAATATTACCACATACAGTGGAAATACAGTCAAAGATAACAACTCTGCTCCCTGTGTATGCAAACCTTCATAATTTCCGTTGTGAATATTTATAAATCAGTGAGACATCCGCAGTTTACTTACATGAACAAACGTGGTTGATAGTGTCTGTGAGACGACTGTTCGTTCCAGTGGTTCACTTTTGATCGTTAACTTGGGTGCAGGTGAGGCGGTGACAACTGAGGCAGTGGTTGTAACAGTTTCCTGTTTGCTTGAGACCTTTGAAGACCCCGCACTGTCAACGGCTTGACTGCTTACAGTAGAAGAGAAGAGTTTTTCTGAACTACCTTTTCCATAATCCCTGTTAAAAAAAAAAAAACCAAAGCAAAACAAAACAAAAAAACAACATTTAATATAAAGATGGTCACCAATCCCTGTTTAAAAAAAAACAAAACCAAAACAAAACGAACAAAAAAAGAAAACAACATTTAATATAAAGATGGCCACCAATGTCGCAAGCAACTGCCCCGCTACAATCAGAAAATGCAGGGGTATTACGCAGGAGTAATAGAATGTCAAGTAGTTTGATTGTCTGGGTAAGAGTAGTCCTGTAAAAGAAGCTATTGGTGTGTAGCGACTGACATTTCATTTCACTCTGAGATAGCTTCCACTAAGGTTGTTGAAATAATAGTCACTACTAGGTACCAACAACATTCCTCTTCAAGACCACTCTAATCCGCAAGGTCAGTTTACACAATCACATTCCCAATTTCAACCCGATTATGTGGTCCCCTACGGCAAAAAAAACTGAACAATTTGCTACAACACCTTTTAGTGATGATTTAAAATAGGGCTTAAACAGTGGTGTTCTTGAAGGAAAACAGGCTGTGTGGCTTTTCTTAATATAAAGTTAAGGATTGCCTACTAACTTACCGCAAGTTCTGAGTTAACAATTAGAGCACTGTCCCCCTCAACCAAGAACAGGCGCTTCACAATGAAATTTTGTATGCAATTTAATTTTACTTAACCTCATCCTTTAAGAATACTCTATTATACTGAAGCACAGGGCTACATACCATGGTAAAGGTTCTGTCTTACTAGCCCCTGTAGTTGTTAATGACGCGGAATTGGACGGAGTGTCTAGTTTCACAGTGATACGAGGGATGGGTGTGGGGAATGGCGATTCTGGAAAAGGTTCCGCATGATCTGTCTTCAGCTGAAACATAAAAATATGTGTGGGTGGAGATGAAAATGTATTTCGTTATGCCCTTGCTGTGTTTCAGTGCCTTGTGTAAGTGACATTATCGTCCTCCCTCTGATTCATCAACAGGTCATATCAAGCGAATCTACTGCTACTGCTCGTTATTCGATAAATTCGCAAAGCGTGTGTGTAACATGATAGTTTTTTTCAAAATGTAAAATTTCCGTTGTCGACTTATCGCTTTTTCAAACCCAAAAGTTCTTTGTGTTACATAACCATGAAACAAAAAGGAAACTTATGGCACTGAATAACAGACTTAAAAGTCGCGCATGTCTTTCGTCCGTGCGCGCGTAAAAATCATATGTGCGCGCATAAAAATCATAAATGCGCGTCTGACTACCGTATTTACCCGGTACCCTGCGTCTGAGCATATGAAATCCGTCTGCACAGTTAGCATATATCTGAGGGTACTGCAATATATTATTGGTACTTGACCCTTAACTCCCAAGATTCAAGTAGCAATTCTCCCCTCTGACCACTAGTCATTTCCTTGTAAATTATGGGTGAAAGTTTGGTACATGTATAATATCACAATCACATCATCTGGCTGATAAGCCTGTCCGTTCTCATAACCTTTTTGCAAGATAAAATATTGGAATCACAAGGAGAAGTTTCATACTGATCACATCTAGGAGTTACAGGGTTTAAAGGAACTAAAATTCAAAAGTAACTTCTTTCTAGAGAACAGTAGATTTAATTGATTTAAGAACGCACTAACCTTTTTACTCTTGTCTTTTTTCTTTTCTTTTTCCCTATCCTTTTCTTTCCTCTTTTTCTTTTTCTTCTTGTGTTCCAGCGCTGGGTCTATTAAAACATTTCCTGGCAAATTTCTTTCTGCAGGTGCAACTGTAAAGTCTGCCATGGAAAATTTGAGTCCCTCATGGGTAGAAGGAGTACTCCAATCTTTGGGTTCCTTTTTAACTGAGGGCTCTATAACTTTGTCTTTTCCTTTTTTTGCTTTTGTCTTTTTAGCAGGACCTGCCTTTGGTTTTGAATTCTTATTTTCTGATTTCTCTTTTACCACTGTGTCATTGGAAGGCAGGAATTCAGACACAGCAAACTGATGCTCTGCATCAGTCTCCTTCTTGATGGGTTTTATAATTAATTTTGGCATGCTTTCTTTCACTTCTATGTTTTCTTTGGCTGTTTCAGAGGCTGGCTGTGTCAAGGATTTCTTGGTAACAGGATTCTTGGTCTTGGTTGCTGGTTTTTTCTCTTTCTTTGCGTTTGTTTTAGTTTTCTTTGAAGAGCTCCCTGTTATTGACTCAGTTTCCACTGGAGTCACACTTGTTGGTTTTGGCATGGGTGATTTCATTGGAGATGGGGACTTTTTCTTTGCTGGTTTCAGTTTTGGAGGTGTTTTTGGTGTAGCAGGTTTCTTTGCAGGGCTAACTGTGTTTTTAGCAGGCTTAGGCTTCTTTTTTGGGCTTGATTTCACCTTTGTACCTGGCTCCTTTCCTGCTTCTTTGCTCCCAACAGCTGTCTTTTTCTCCCCTTGTTTGGGTTTTGCAGTTGCCTTGGAAGTGGTGACTTTTTCTACAGACTGAGTAGCAGCTATAGGAGGAATACTTGATGTTGGTGGGATCTCAAATGTTTTTGCTGAACTCCAAATGTCAGGTGATGGAGTTGGTGATGGGGAGGATAGGTTTCCTTGCAGTGCTTCAAGAATTTCCATTTCATTTCCCCTGTTTCCTTTCTGAATGAAAGGTAGATCCACACGTCTCTTTTTTGTGTCATTTTCAAGCGCTGGGGGCATATCAAGAGATCTCTTGACAGCTACATGTTCAATAGAAGTTTCTTCAGCTACTGTCTTGATTTCCTTCCTCACGTATCCTTCTCCACTTGTTGGTTCTTCTCCAGCATCAACTGTGTCTGCATCTTCTGCTGTTGTTGCTTTATCTTCATCTGAAGGAAAAAAAGAAAACGGATATTGCAACCATTTGCTGACACAGGGACATATATTTAAAATAAAACAAAATAATGATAAGAAATGTAAATCTAAGAATATCTCAGCACACTGTCAGACACATGAAATGTTAATTGTCCTACGTAATGCAGCACAGAATCTTCTCTAAGATTGAAACTTGACACAGAGAATAAGTTGGAAAGAAAAAAGAAAAAAGAGATTGCACTAGTACAGTGCAATTGGCCAAAAATACTCTCAATGCACTGCCATGTAAATTGTATGTGAGTTAGATCCTAAAGGCCTTGATTCTGGTTCTAACAATGCATTTTTAATTGATGATTGTAATCTATTAAGGGGCAATCTAATATATTCCTCTATCAAAAGTCATATATCTTGACTGATGGAGTAACAAAAATGCAAATGGAGATGTAGCCCAGTCTTGGTATATCAAAACTCAGCTTTAAAGAGAGGGACATTGGGGTCTGTTAGAAACTGCAAAACAACAGAAAAAATCATCCAAAACCACAAAACTGGCAGAAGAATTAGATCAAAACTAAAAACCCCATGCAAAACTGATAAATTTCCACATCTCTGTTTTAAAATCCTAATCTATCCAATACAGTCACTGACAAGTGGAGCATATAGAGGTTTCACGGCTATTCAAGATCAGTGGAGGTGTATAATTGCTGCTCAGATTGACAAGAAACCGGAACCCAAATAGGAAAAACTGAAAACCACATCAGATACCAAATCCAAAAACCCATTAGTGATATTTACAAAAACCAACAACCAAAGGCTAAAAAAAACAGAAAATCCATAAACCACAATGAATACTGAAACCAAAACACTCAAGTTTTTTGGCACAAAAACTAAACCCAATCTAAAAAATATCCAAAACCTCAAAACAAAAAATCCCAATGCCCCTCTTTAAATGATAGACATCACCTCAGAGCACAGGGGACCAATTAATTCCTACAAAGTCTGAAGTTTTCCACTCAGCACCTTGCTCTTACAGTAAGGTCTATTGTTCAGGCTGAATTTCAAATCAGTGAGACTGGTGGGCTTTATGAAAGTTAAAGAAATGAATGTGTTAAACAAAAAAGCCTTTGGCACTACAAGGGAAAGAAGACTGCAGCAACAGTCATACAAAACCTTCATTTTGAAGAAGCTTAGAGACCAAGGGAGGCAAGTAGTCATAGTACTGCTCCAGTCTCTCTGCAATCTCTCCATTACGTGGATGATGGAGCACATTAGGTTTTGGCTTGGGATACTGTGGCAACTGATGAATAAATGGAACTTGGTCTACCTGGGTTACAAAGTCTTCTAGTTCGCCGAGGTAAACGCCAATATCTCGAAAGGCAAGGTCTAGGTCATCTAAGTTTGGCTCAGTTCTTGAGTCTGTGAAATTTAAAAAAAATATATATATATTCATCTCTCTTCCAATTACTCTAAATAACACCAATTCATTTTTGTTTTAGGATTGTAAATTAATGAAACCACTCAGCTTGTCTAGATATATTTTTTCTCGGTAGCTTATTTTTCTGCAATTAAGTAACAGCACAAAATAAACTAACGTGAAAAAATAATAACAATTCTGTACTAGCTGTTCGTTTGTAAACGTTAATTTCTACGTGTACACATTGCATCAATCAGCATCCTATAAATTGTATGCACTTTGTTATGAAATAAAACTGAACACTTCGTCCAAACTCACATATCTGGGAGTATCCATGCGCTGACTTCGCGATCTCCTCAAGATATTTCTGTAACACGTCGGTCAACAAGTCGTGGCTCGACTTTTGTAAGGCATCCCAACCCATGGACTGGCAGATCTGAGCCACCGCTATCTGAAGAGCACCGTGGTTAAATCCGTCACACATGGCGAATAAGGCCAAAAAAATTATCAATTCAATTTCTAACAAGTAAGCATTTGCTATTTGTTTCACTTTAAAGAGATTACCGAGGAAAAATAGACTATTTTAAGCTAAATTTCTGTAGAGCTTTAGTTAGTTCTCGCCAAGTGAAGGTCTTAAAAGGGACGATAGAGTACGCATGCTCCTCATCATGCCTACCGCTATACTCGAATACTCTTAGCTCATAAACAATTTTCTCGGCGGAAACTTTGGAATTTTCTGATTTTGACAGCGGCAAGGGACGGAGGAACTTCGATGTGCTCCTGCGATGGATGAATTAGAAGTGCCATATTACGTCGATGGCGACCTAGATGAGTACTATGATGATCCTGATGAAGCCTTGTTGTACGAACATTTGGAAAAAATGTCCAAGTATGGGCGATTTTTCTACATGTTCCAGTCTTGTGTGGGACCGACGACTGTTCAGACATTTGACTTGGTCGGTCCTCTCTTGGTAATGTGCTTTATTCTACGGGTTGTCTCGGCACTTAAACTTCCAAGACTTGTAGTTCATTTCGTTTCATTTATCTGTGGACTAGGAGCTTTATTTTTGTTCCTGAAAAAAAACTTGGTATATCCACTGGCCATGAGCGCGCTTGGGTATCTAATTCTGTTCGTGAAGCACGGAAATAGAGGGATGGTAATGGCTTCGACTTCAGTCATGTTTTTAATCATATGGTGCGTCTTGTTGTTTATAATCTCTTTCATTTAGTTCTTTGACCCTGCTGAAAAGGAATTTGTTGTAGATGACAGAGGCACATCCAGAAATTTTGGAAGGGGGGAGCCAAACTTTTATTTAGAAAATATAATTTTGTATTGGTATTATTATCTTTTTTCCACTTGAGCCTAAATGAGGTTGGAGTATTTAAAGGAAATTTTTAACATGCCTAGTTTAGTAATGATATGCCATCCTCTGCTATAAGAATTTTGGTCCCTGTCAAATAATTAAAGAATCACTTATGTCTGAAGAGTGGGGTGGGGTGGGAGGTTGGGGCTGAATCCCCACGCCCTTCCACCTGGTTCCCCAACTGGATAAGAGCCAAAAGCATCTGACTAGTGCATAGGAGATCATAGCCTGTTTAGGCTCTTTGTTAATGAGTTTAATAAAAGGCAGATAAGCTAAGAGAAAATCGCTGGGAACCTGAGAGAGAGTGCTCCTTGTCTTTTTATTGTATTTTTCAATACATATACTTACAGTACAATATGGACATTACTTACAAGAAAAAAAAGGGGTAAAAAGTATACAACTACATGGCTTTTAATTTTAACCTACTGTAGGCTGTTTTCTCCTTGTTGCCTCAATGCATCTATTTTGCTTGCATACCCCTGCTGACATAGAAGCTTGGCCATGTTAGTTGAAAAACATTTTTCCATTTTTCTTAGGTACACACAGTCAACTGTTTTCCCTGCATTCTCTGTTGCCTCTTTAGTGCGTGAAGTAATAAAGAGTCTGGCTAATTATGTACAGCTTAGTTCTTTTTTTTAATTATTCACAGTGAACTGTTTATTGTTACACCTGAAAACTGGCACCAGGTTCGAGGTATTTCCTAAAAAATCATTTCATTCATATCAGAAATACTTAGTCCTTGTTATTCTATGATATGACCTCTCAATCAAAACATTGATCATACTAGTTGGTAGAAAGAAATTCTTACAGCAGAACCTGACAAAGAATGTTTTTATTTAAGTATAATAAAACTTTTTATTTTTATATTGCCCCAAATTCATTGTTAAAGTATTTCTTTGTTTTAAATAGCACATGCTGAGACAATTAAGTCTGTTATTTTTGTTACTGTTTCATAAATTGTGTATATCACATGAGATGATTGGGAAGAAATAACTTACTTAATGATAACTAGAATCTGATTTTTCAGGCTCTCAGATGGTACTAGTAATGAAGCTTATTTCATTGGGTTTTGATATGGATAAAGGTACAACTCCTCGGCCTAACATCGTGGAGTATCTTGGGTACTCTGTGTCAGTCAGTTCTGTCATCTTTGGACCTTTTCTGACATATTCAGATTATTGCCAGCTTTTGGATGGAAAAAAGTTGGTAAGATAAAGGATAAATTTTTAGCCTTACTTTGCACATATAATCTTTGTGCCTACAAGTGGTGAATAGCATTGCCAGGAATGGCTATCAGTTGTAATTGGTATCAGCATTCTCATTATCATATCCTAATCGTCACTGTGGTTAGGGTCATTAGTATTATATCTGTTGCTTGTCACTGTCATCCACATCATCATTATTAGTTTTTACGCAATCATCATCATTGCTGGCATCATTCTTACTCCAGTTTTGTTTATATACTTTCTTTGTGCTGAGTTAAAATCAATGTCTGTGAATATATGAAAATCATGTATACATGAACTGGAGTTTAAGAAAGGAATTTGAAAGCGATCTTCACAGTAATGAACACTACTTAAGCAGTAGTGTAAATATTAGGCCTGAAAAAAATTCAGGCCTGGTCTGGATATGAACCCATGACTTCTGGGATACCAGTGCAGTGCTCTACTAAACAAGCCAACTGGGAGCTGGTCATTATGTTAGTTTGTAGTAAACTGGTGAAGTGATGAATCAATGTCTATGAATATTTGAAAATCTTATGTGTGAACTGCAGTTTAAGAAATGAATATGAAAGCAATCTTAGCAGTAATGAATGCTTCTTAAGCAGGGGTGAAAATAAGACCTGAAAAAGATCCTGGCCTGTCTATGATTTGAACTGATGACCTGCAATACCAGCACAGATATGTTCACTTGATAAAATCTAATTAACCCTCTAACTCCCAAGATTTTATTAATAATTCTCCTTACTGTCTGCCATACAATTCAATTGATGTTAGTTTAGAGAATTTGGAACTGGATCAACCAATAATCCCCTAATTGATATTTTTCTTTATTCTCATTACTTGTCTGTTTGATATTGTACTGATAGTGTAAGGAGAAATTCTGTCAAGGTCAGTGGTGGGACTTAAAGGGTTAAACTAAGTAAAATGTACCACTATTTCTCTCTCCTCTTTTTCAGAGCTTTGCTTGGTTTCTAGGAGTAGTAAGGAGTTGTTTTCTGTCCTATTGTTGTTTAATAGTTTCAGCTTGTGTTGCACCATGGATGTTTCCAGAGGACTCTTTTAAGTAAGTGAGATTTCAAATAATAATTGATAGAAATAATTGAGTCGCTAGTAAATTAATGGCTTGTGTATTTGACATTTGGGTGGATAATCTTATGGTGTTGAGAGATCAAAAGAAATTTAATGATTTTTTTCCACTTATTTTTATCAACATCATTCAGTAAATAGAACAAGAGAGATGGTAAGTGTTAGAGCCCAGTAAAGAAACAGAGAAAGATGTTTTTTTGTCTTGTCACGAGCATGGGACTAAGAAAAAAATACTGAGTTCCCATGAGGAATCAAACCTCAGACCTTCAGATTCTGTGCTCCCATGTTAAGTATCACTGAACCACAGAGACTCTACAGTGAGCAAGGTCTATGAGGAAGTTCATATGACATGCATACTGTCAGGATCAACAATGTCGATAGCATCATGTTTGTAAATAGTGATTAAAAATTACATTAACCCTTTAACTCCCAAGAGTGACCAGGACAGAATTTCTCCTTACAATACCAATACAATATCAACCAGACAAGTGATGAGAGTTAAGAAAACTATCAATTTAAGGATAATTAGATGATCCAATACTAAATTCTCTGAACTAAAATTATAAGAATTGTATGGTTGACAGTAAGGAGAATTTCAAAACTAATTTGGACTGGGAGTTAAAGGGTTAACAGTAATTTTAACATATTATTTCTATTCTCACCTACAGATGGTTTATGGCATACCAATCAGCAATGTCATTTAGATTCAGCCATTATTTTGTGAGCTTCCTATCAGAATGTACAAGTGTATTAAGTGGAATTGGCACAGAAGTTAACCAAGAAGGAAAGCCAAAAACAATCTGGTAAAATAATCATTAATTCCTGTGATCACCGCATAACATGTTCCAGTGAAAAGTTTAATAGGAGGCCAGCTGTTTCTTGAATACTTAACAGGACTCACCTTTTGATTAAAAAAAAAATTGCATTATGTTTATTTTTTTGCAGTTATTGTTGAATGTAATCATGTTAATGGGTTGATCTGGTTCATTGTTTTGATTTTTCATAGGAGGTATGATGTAGCACGACCCCAGCACATTGAACTTCCTCGTTCCTTGGTGGAGGTAGTAGTTCACTGGAATATACCAATGCATTTGTTTCTCAAAAATTGTGAGTATGTAGACTGCTGAAGGAGTTAAAAGTAAGCAATGGTCCACAATTGTGTTTGGAAGTGACTCCGGGTCACTTGATCAAGAATGTTAAGTCGAGCTTAGTAGTCTATTTGAGTCCCACTGATGCAGCATTACAGTTTCTTTAGAAACTTACCCCCTTCATTCAGGCCAAGTGGCCTGCATAGTTTCCTGGCTTGTGCATGTATGTGTCAAGCACGGGTCAACTGTAATTGAAAATGACGTGCATGTTTTCTTTTTCCAATCACCAGATGTGTTTAAGAAAGCTATACCTCTTGGAAGATTTTTTGCTGTTTTTTCAACATTTGCATTGAGTTCATTACTTCATGTAAGTATATCTTGGAATGCTTGAGTTTATAATGGTGTTGAAAATCTGACAGATGATGAAGCTTGGTGCAATATCAGATGACTTCTAAAGGTATTAAAAATCTCTCTGGATAATGAGCTGATTCAGTTTGAAATAATGAATCATAACTTCACTTGACTCCTCTGTAAACTTTAAAATAACTATTTTTCATGCATTACACTCATTGTATAAGCATTGAATAAGCACGTGTTAACATGGCGCGTTCACTGCTCTTCTTGAGCTCCCGTTTTATTTTAATTTTATTACTATGTTATAGCCTTAGTCCTATAAGTATATGGCAAAATCAAATTCCAAGTGGTGAATCTCTTTCTGTCACTAAAATTGGACAGTAGAGTTTTTCCAAGTCGCAATAACGGTCCTCGAAAGGCGAATGGTGCTGTACTGCCGCCATGTTTAAAGGCCAAAGCTTCTCTTTTCGTTTTGGAAGTTGGATTGTCTACTCTATTTCTACTTATGTTAGCTGGAGACGTCTCTACTAATCCAGGGCCACAAACTGTACGTCCTGGGAGCCAAGGTATTGGTGAAAACTCAAGCTTTGTTTCGCTTACAAGCGATGAAGAGTCAGCTAGCATGGACGATACTGTTGAGTTTCATAATGACTCAGATGATTCTTCGCAAAATGATTTATCGCCTGATGGCTTTGACTACTTTAACCTACATCTTGGTCATAAAGGCATACGCTTTGGTTCTTGGAATGTCAACAGGCTTACGACTACAAAACTAGAACAAATAAAATTGTTCCTTCTTAATGAAGATGGTCGACCACGTTTGGATATTTTATCAATCAATGAGACGTTTTTGAAACCGCTCCTCCCAGATTGTCTATACTCAGTCCCTGGTTTCACAGTGCACCGAAAGGATCGTATGGGCCTGAAAAATGGTGGTGGGGTTCTAATTTATGTGAATGACGATCTGAAACATCGAAGGAGAGTCGACATTGAGCATAATAATAATATAGAAGCATTGTGGTTGGAAGTCTTTCCATTCAAATCTAACCGTCCCATTTTATTCGCCGGCATTTACAGACCTCCTTCAACTAATTTATCAGAGGATGAGGCCATCGAGAATATGTTAGAATTAGTTTATCTATTAAATTTAGAAACCATCATTACTGGCGATATCAACATTAATTTTATTTCTCCGGCGTACAAGAAACATCCATTGGGACGTGCCTTTTCTAACATGAATTTCAAACAGCTCATTACTGAAGTTACTCGACCATCAAGCGGAACCTGTCTTGACTTTGTATTGTCAAATTTTCCTGAAAGAATTAAGTCTATTGTCGTCAAAAACAATGGGCTGTCAGATCATTTGCCTGTATTTGGAGTTCGTTTATATGAGGATAACGCCAAGCGTCAAAATAAATCTTTAACGATTAAATATCGTAATACGAAGCATTTTGACAAATCCGCCTTCGTTTCCGACCTCAAAGAAGTTCCTTGGAATACTGCATTTGTCTTTGACGATTTAACTGATATCTTAAATGCATGGATGTTTACCATTTAACCAAAGACTTTTATTTTATAATAGTTTAATTAAGCCATTATTTGATTATGCCAATGTTGCATGGCAGTCACTTTGCTCTAATGAATCTCTTTTAAGAATACTTAGGCTACAAAAGAGAGCTGCTGGTTTTATTAGATGCTGAACCACGTAGTTCATCAGTTATGCTATTCAATCGTTTAAAGTGGATACCATTTTATGACTCTACTAAGATGGCTAAATGTTCAATACTATTTAAAAGGATTAATTATTGTGTACCTAATTATCTTAATGATAGCTTAAGATTATTAAGTTCAGTACATTCACGCAACACTAGATTTTGTAAATACAACTTTTTATTACCTAAGTTTAAAAGGGCTAGAGAAGGAGGGAAAACTTTTCTAGTTTCTGCCATAAAATTATGGAATCAGTTAAAGCCTGAATTAAAAAAGTCTAATACACTTAAGGCCTTTAAAGACAACGTATTTAAATATTACTATAAGGACCAATCATGCTTAGCTCATTTTAATCCGTAAATTTTATTGATAGTAGTTTTATATATTCTTACTTGTTTTAGCTAATTTTCTATTTATATTTCATTCTATTAATGATTCTATTGTATTTATATATTTATTGTAATTAGGAGGACCACAAGTTTATTAGTGTTTGTGCACTATCACGTGCTATCCTCAATAAATAAAGTCTTTCTTCATTGTTTATGTTATCTTGAAGGGTATCAATTTTCAACTTGCGGCAGTGTTGATTTCTGTAGGAACATATGCTTACATTGAACATGGTAGGTGAACACCCAGCATCGTTGTGTGGGATCTTAGGAAAAAGCTTGAATCTGTAACCATTTCATCTCGTATTTAGCATAAGAACACATTTTTGTGGGGCATTGTACAAAAATGGATTTATCTTCTAGAATTCTACACCTTACTAACACTTAATCTTGTCAGTGGTATTTACTGAGAGCAAGATTTTATTAATGATAGAAGTAGTTTTCTAGCGTGACTGCATGTGCAGGAGCACCTCTTGAACTCTTTGTTTTTTGGAAACCAAAATACTATTTGAAGGAAATTTTTTCACTCACAGCAATTTATGTATCCAAGTTGATATTAATTTCTTGTCTGAACAGTTTTTCGTCACAAGTTGGGGAAAATTTTCAATGCTTGTATTCTAGCAAGAAAATGCAGACCAGAGTGTGGACATGTTTACAAAGATGTGAGTTCTTAAATATCTTTTAATCCTTCATCAGTATTCTGGAGCCTGTTTTTTTGACAGGCATTTAGCAATAATTCAGGATAAAAAGTTTACCTTGTCCTCAATTTCTATTAATTGCAATATAGGGTATATTTTGGCTTATGTTTTGAGGAGACATTTTACAATTTCGTCTTACAAAACTGGAGGAAAAAAATATGTGAAATAATTCAACTGTCTGTGAAGCTATGCAACTAAAAAACAAAATTGCAGAATAACCCACTGTTACCTTATTCCTTTAAATCTCAGAGGTGATTAACTAGTAAATTCTCTCTGCAATATCCATACATTATCCAACAAAACAGCAATGAGAATACTCAAACTGATCAGATAAAAGTATTTATCTTGATCTTATAACACCAAATTCATGTCACTAATTTACAAAGAAATGTGTAGCAGCTTGAGGGGAGAATTAACAATCAGATCTTGGGAGTTAAAGGGTTAATCTTCCTTTGATTAACTTGGCCCTTGGCGATTTGTTACACTGCATTCTTTTGGATCTTTTAGGTACATCTTGTGTAGAATAAAACAGCTGTTTGATCAGCACTGTTTGTGAATTTTAAAAAGTTTTTTTATGCTCCATCTTCTTTTCTATATTCTATCTTCTTTCAGGGTAACTTTTGGGTGATTGCTGCTAATCTTGGCCTAAGCTTCCTTGCGGTCTTTCACCTGGCTTATTTAGGCATCATGTTTGGGGGAGACTCAGAAATCCAAGAAAAGGTCATTATGAACAAAAATGATTTTATCACAGTAAAAATCTTCCTTGCTAGGTTCATTATCTGTTTTCCTGTGAAACTGTGAGCACTGGTGCTCTCTGTTTTGTGAGTTTCACAGTGAAAATTGACTTAAATTGTGTAGAATTTTGATGAATGCATTCCTAATTTCGTGGTTTTAATTTGTTTCAGGGTTATGGCATGAATCACACTCTAGGCAAATGGTCAGATTTGGATTTTGCCAGTCATTGGGTGGCCCTGGCAACTTTTCTTTTGAGTAGAATTATTGGCTGAGCAAGTTTAAGCAAATGCAAAATACAGAAGTCAACTACAGTATTGTGCAAAAGTAATGCAAACACCTGTCGACGAAATTCGGCGAAATTCCTGGCTTTTCGACGAATTCTTGACCGAAACGAAACTTCGACGACATTTCCGCGAATTTTCGAGGCATGTATTGTTTTGAACGGCTCGAACTTTCGGCGACAAATTCCTTGATGGCGTAAATGCGACTCGAAATTTCGAGCGAAAATTCGTTCTATGCGGCTAATTTTCGGGGCGAAAATTCGTTGTATTGTTCATTCTTCTCAAAAAGATTTGGTTGAATTTGTGGTTGGTTACTACACTATGTAATACTCCGATAAAATTTCCCGCTACGATTCCAGTCTCCGCGCGCCCTATATTGTTTGCAACCATGGCAACACAGGTTGTTGTGTCGATGCGTTTGGGATCATTTATGTACTCTACTTTTGATAGTAATCATGGCAAAAGTTTCAAATTATTCTAGAAATAGAATCGAGATCCTTCACAAGCAAGGCCTCAACCCAGCTGAAATACTGAAAGCGTTGAAACACGAAGGGCTGCTAGTGAGCTTTTCCAGTATTACGCGCATCATTAAAAAGTTGCGACTTACCGGTTCCGTGGCAAATTTACCTCGATCAGGAAGACCTCAAAAGCTGTCTACGGAAGCAAAAACTTTCGTAGATCAGCAAATGCGCAGGGATGACGAGACGACCAGCAATACGATAAAGAAGAAGCTGGAGAGACATGGAATCTGCGTGAGTGCGTCCACTGTTCGTAGAGCACGCAAACAGCAAGGTTGGACTTTGCAGCGGACCGCCTACTGCCAGCTAATCCGTGACGCAAATAAAGTCAAGCGATTAGAGTTCGCACAACGCGTCCTAGAAAGTGGTGACACTTTCAACAACGTGATTTTTAGCGACGAGTGTTCGATTTCCCTTTAGGCGTATCGCCGCACTTGCTTTAGAATGGCAAATGAGCCCACAAAGCGAAAGCCGAAACCTAAGCACCCACTCAAAGTGCATGTCTGGGGAGGGATTAGCAGAAGTGGTGCCACGAAGATTTGTATCTTTGATGGCATCATGGACGCTGATTTGTTTTGCAGCATTTTAGAGACGACGCTGGTTCCTTTTATCGTGTCAGAATTTACAAAAAAATAGAGCAATGTGACTAAACTAATTGTTGTTTTCAGTCGTCGCCAATTGGTATTCAGTGTTTTGTTGTGAAGAATAAATATTTCCGAACAAACATGGTGTTGTGATATCTGGAAAGCATGCTGCAATCAGCGATATGGGTGATGTCTATTTGCGCAGGGATCGAAAACGAATAAACGAGGAACATTCTTCCCAATAGAAAACGTTTGAAAACACACTAAAGACATTCTCTGCTCCGTCTGGTTAAAAAGCGTTGTACTTAGGTTAATTTTAAAAACTATTGCAATCATTTGAGAGTTTATTTCCATGAAATACATGTCTCTTGGTCGGAATTGCTATTCATCCCGATTTACTTTCATTGTTGTAAACTGATCGAACTCTGAATTGGATATGATGGTTTAGGCCTCTTCAAACGTCAGGAAACTGAAGTTGATGTGACGCTTGGGACAATTTTTCCGATTTACTTTCGTTGTCAAACACAAATCGAGCCCAGAATCGGGCGTGATGCTTTTCGATATTTTGACCTTTTGTCTACTGTGTTTAGCCTCAAATATGAAGTGTCTCCGTTTATATGTATATTTCGTGTCGCTTACATGTGTAGTAAACAAACTTGATTACTCGCGAAAGTCTATTGTCAGTTCGAAGCGAAATTTCGAACACTAATGATCGAAGACATACTTTCCGCCGCGAAGTTTCGCTTTGAGGCGAAAATTCAACGAAAAAGCGCCCTTTGTTCAAACGAAATGTCGCTTAAGAGGCCTCGAACTTTCGATCGAATTTTCGCCCGAACTTTCGACGAAAGATCGTCAGAACAAATAACGAAATTCGTCGAATTCCGTTTGCATTACTTTTGCACAATACTGTATGGTGATTATTTTATAGGGGTCCACTGTTTCCATTGCCTCTATAGACTGAGCAAAGTGACGTAGCCTTAATTGGCATGTCTTAATTTGCAAATGGTGCTTGCAAAGATCACCTGAGAAGACTGGACTGGGAATCTACCAACTTTCTCCAATACTTTATTCCAACCAAATATTGGTGTAAAATAACACTGTAGTAGTCAACTGTCAAAAAAGGACTTGACAAAATTATACAAATGCTAATATTAATAAAAATGAAACCTTAAGCCATTCAGTTCTCAGCCGAAAAAAGAAAGAAAGCTTTCAATTCTGTAAGGCGTTATTCCTGAGTCATAAGATTTTCCCTTGTATTTTAGTTAAGAAAACGTTTCTGACAATAAACAGTGGCAGCTGAGTAAGAGTGTTTTTCCTTCTTCTCATACCCAGTCTCTTGGTATCTGCTAGCTATGATTGACTTACTGAATAAAGGGGGATGAGGATTCCCATGCTAATTTGAAGTAACTTCATATCTGAGGAATTTGGAACAAGACTGACCTATAAAATCACAAGTGACAACAAATGCAATGCACGGGCAGCTCAAGTAAAGCACAGCATATGAACTTTTTCAAATGGGTTACTCAAAACCAAAATTTTGCTCAACACATGATCTATAGATTTTGTTTTGTGAATAACCTTAACCTTGACAAAGCCTTGTGCAACAAAAGACTGCAATTTTTACAGCTTTATTTGTTGCAGCATTGGGTCTTGTAGTTGACTTTCACAACTAATTATTGTCTCAATTTTTACAAATTAAAGTCAAAGCCACTTACAGACTGTATTGTGACTAAGAGGTTATCAATTAAAGATACAGAACCATAATTATACAGTTTTGCACTTTTTTGGTTATTATGCAGTACAGGGCTTAAGTACATAATTTACAGTGTGTGCCTAAAGTGTTAATCTAACAATAATTGTATCAAAATGAAGGCCATATTGTTTCAAAACCTTCACAACAGAAAATGAAAAGGTGACATGAAACTTCCTTTCCCCTAAAAACCTGGACCCAGCTGTGTGAACACTTACTTAAAAACGCAGGGTTTTTATCCTAGAAAATGAGAAGTGTTCCTTTTTCTTTTTTTACCTTGTTTTTTTCCTAATTTTAGCGTCAAAAGCATGCATTTTAACAAGTACCATCATTTAGTTGTCTTGCACAAAATTTTACCAGCTCTATTTGCTTGCAAGAAATACATGCATATATACAACTATGTAGAAAGGCTTCTAAAGTTAGGTCAACATTCTACAAGCCATTGATATATCTTTAGTTGTCTACATGGCCAAAAAATTTAATTTTTATACTTACAACCTATACCTATCTAGTAAACTATGGTTTGTAGGGTTAGAAAGATATCTGTTGCTAGGCAGATTATATTTCCACTATAATTTTTAAGGAGCTTGGGTTTTTTAATGCAAGATAGTCAACTAATTGTTATGTGCATTAAGCTGTGAGTAAAATATGACTATTTTATAAGGTGTCCATTTGCCACCAGTAAATATATCAGATATTTACATGGCATCATGTATCAGTAATGTACATCGGATATTTTGTTACATTTTACCACAAAAAGTGTCAAGTTTCTTTTTCTACTCAATTAGATCTGTAATGTTAGTTGAATTTTCATGAAAATACAACCATGATCATGAGTAGGACTGCAATGTCTTCAGAAGTTTGTTAGTTGAGGTCGACATGCACAAACAGCAGATGTATGGCTGTTGTAAGGAAAGGCATCAACAGTGTCAACAGAACAGCCTTGACACCTGTCAAATCAATGCCTAGGATCCGAATACCTCTTCCATTTTCCAAGTATCCTTTCACCTTATTCAGGATTTCATCATCATCAAACAGGTAATCCCCCTCTCGCTGCTCACTGTACTTGAGATCTTGGACAACCTCAGGTAGACTGGTCATTATCTTGTGCAGCTTGGCCAGGAAAACTATTGGGAGGCTGTATAATACCAGCATTTCCAGGAAATCTGCCAATGCACCACAGATGATTTTGGTGATCATCCATCCGTCTGTCTTTGAAACAGTGTGCTTCTTAAAGGCCTGGGATTGTGTGGTATTTTTATTAACTTTGGAATCTGCTAGCCTCAGGTATATAGCCAGTTGCTGTGGCTGGGAGTAGTTTTGCTTGCCAATATCAACAATACTGTTTGGATCTCGTGGAGTTTCCCTTGCTCTTGTTAGTTCTGCTTGGTCAGTGTAGGTCTGTTTGTAGTAGCTTTCCGTTTGAATACGTTCCGCAAATGAAAAAATTGATGGAATGAGGAGAATCAGCAACAACAGTAGATGTATCAATAAGAATGGTTGGAAAGCCCTCTCTGCTCTGCGGATCGTAATTTTGATGTCGATAAACCGATTTCTTATTTTTTCTTTACCTTCGCGCCACTTTTGTACCTGCTCCTTGAAGAAACGAACTCGACTAAAGATAATGTATACCTCGAAAATGAACACTATGAATATCGGCAGAGCCACAAGTCGCGCCAGAACCGAAAATAGAAGAGAGAGAACGATTTCTTTCAGATCGAACGATTCCACTTTCTCAGTGGTTATGTTCATCTGAGTGACTCTGGAAAAAACTGGCACAACGAAAACACCAATCAACACAGCTGCGCCTGTCTTGAAGATCGTACGTCGAACTTTCTTCCAGTATCGCCTGGTTAGAATCACCTCAGACAGCATTCTTTCAAGGTGGCGCTTTCTAAAGTAATACAACCCAAGAATGTACATCTCGAGGTACCTGAGAGACCAGACGATGTTTTTAGCGGCTGTCACTGTTTCTTTTAATTCTTCCTCAATCAACGATCTGTTGTGAAATGCGCCCATATCGTAGGCATAACAGATACAAAAGAAAATTACTATAAAACACTGCATCATAGCCCAAAACGCCTTGCGTTTGGTTGACGCGTTTTGAGGGTACCACTGGAATGTGATGAACTCAAGGTAGAACCGCAGCCACTTCAGACGGGAAGAACTCAAGCTTAGATTTATGACAGCGTCGTCTCTGGTCACAGGCTTGCTATCATCGATCCAGGCTGTTTCTATATCACTGTCACTGTCTCCATAAGCTGTTTCTTCTTCACATTGTTGCGACACGATAGAGGTCATAGACGAAGTGCGATCTCTGACACCTTGGAAGTCACTGTCGATGTTCCCTGTCGCGTGTGCTGTTTCTTCGTAGTTGTCCTCTGTTTGTAAAGTAATAGATCCTCTGTCGCCGCCAAAATGATAAACGGGTCTATGTCCAGAGGCCATGATTCAACGAACAAGGACTGAACAATCTGCTATAGTCAAGCTATAGTTTACGTCAATATAGGTTACTCTTAGGCGTGATTTAGGGGATTCCCCTCTATCGCTTTCCATTTGATTCTGGCGCTTTGCCACTTCAAGAAAACAAGAAAAGCGCTCTTTTCAATTGCATAACAAAGCACACTAAGTAAGAAATGCTTAAATCATGAATGTATCATAGATTTCTCTGGTATATCGTGCGATAATAAAGCTTTTGTAAGTTGTAGGCCGTCAAATACAATGCGTGTTTGGAATACAGTCCTGCTGCTATTTTCTTCTAGATGTGTCACGACTTATCTCTGGACTTTGAAGTGTAAATTTTTAAAATAGTCAGTTTTAGTTTCCGTTGAAACCCGAAAGAAAATATATCACCTGCTTCAAAGAGTAGCAGTCATTAATGCACAAAAGTCTGTTGTATCGTAAATAAAGTTTTCCACGAAAAACGCTCACGCATCATTTACTTTTCTGAGAGGTACGCAATACTATCTACGCATACTCCCATTTCCGGGAAAGCAAAAGCAAAGCGGTTCGGAAATAGTGGTTCGCAGCATTCACTCGCTTTGAATTTAGCGAGTTATCCTCGTTTGAAAATTGTACAGACAAACCGAAAGCTGCCTTTGTCTTTCTTCAAAATGCCATGGTCAGCAACTCAACAAAAAAGGCTTGGATTCGAGAAAAATATTCTCGAGAAGTACTTCGGTAACAGAGTTTCATGGATCAATCCAACTAGCGATACGAAGGTTGAAGTAAGGGTAACAACCACCAATGATAAACAGTATACTCTCAGAGTGTACATTCCAAGAGATTTTCCGAATTCATGCCCGGATATGATTGTCAGTAACCCTTCGTCCTGTCTGAGAATGAGAGACGGTTCTGTGATGAGCGCTTTGAGTGGGCTAAACCATACAATGGGCGGCAGAGATGGCTGTACTCAGATCTGCCATTTTAAGCCGAACTTGTGGAAAGATGACAACACTCTGTACCAAGTGGTTATGAAAGGGCTGATATGGCTGGAGGGATACGAAGCACATCTTCGCACTGGGCAACCTTTGAGTAATTACTTGCAAGAGATGTAAACAAATCGGCTGAGGACAGGAAAATAATTGTGGATCGAGACAAACACTTCTGTGACAATAACATAAGTTCGTACATTTCTACTTGAGCCTGAACCTTGATCCTTCCGTTTGGGTAAATTTTTTTGATTATTGTTTAGATTTAGCGCTGGATAAAGTTTATTTTTTCAAATCCCGGCTCTTATAGGATATCTGACCAAATAATTCACATGGCTAAACCTTCACTTCCGCGCTTTGAAGTCCATATTGTAATTATTATTGCCATTTTTATTTGTGTCGCTTTCCTGTATTATTCGATTTCTGCAAACTCTCTTGGAGTCAGGCGAAGGATCTTATTCTCCAAAGTGCTAGCAATATCGTGGGGGACTCGATCACATCCAATGACCTCCAAAATACATTTGTGAGATCCCGAAGGCGTCTGAAGGGTTGCTTGAAAGACGTTTATTTCGATCGCTTTCGCCGGTTTCTACAATCGAATGATTTGCGATTAGAATAGGATCTTACGTATGAACCTCTTATCTCTTGATCTCGTATTGATTCTTTTTCATTTCAGTTGGTACATTTTTTCGATAAGTCGGCTTCTTGCCAGGCATTCCAATACTTAGTCAAAATACAAGTGACCATTACCCTCTCTTTCTCCACGTCTCTATAACAAATGTTCAGTTTTGAGTGTCACGCGAGGCACAGAGGAGGAAATGAAAAACCATTCCGTTTTAGTGAACAATCACTTCTCGTCAAGTCAAGAAAGGCCTTCTCCACGTTCAGAGCAAATGAAAGTTAACATCGAACCTCTTTTTCTACATGAGGCTCAAAACTGCCTTTATTTAAAAGACAACTTCAAATGAGAGAGAAAGATCGAGCAGGGGTGAGAAGAACGACTAACCTGGCCTGGAAAGTGGGGGGGGGGGGGGGGGTAGGGGGAGGATAACTAACTAAGAAGGTCAGGCCGTTTTAAAACACAACATATTCTGCTTCTTTTTTTTCATCTGAATTGATTAATGTTAATTGGCCTCGTAAAGGATTTCTAATGCTGAGGTTTTGAGGTTAGCCCTTCGTCATCTCAGTTTCGGTGACTAGTGATGGATTTTAACTAGCCACCCCACTTCAGTGAATATTTGTTGGTTATACTACCTCCCGACATGCAGAAGAAGTACCCAGTTACTTCGCCGACACATTTGGTCAACTCGCCGACAGTCGTAGTCAACCCTCTTTTCGAGTTTTAAGCTTAAAGATCTCAATCCCAGATTGATAATCAGAGTTCAGTTAATGACTTCTTTAAACAAACAGCACATGCAAACCTAACTCAACCACTTCAGTAAGTGTATTGTTAAAAAAAAAATGACGCCCGTTATCTTGAATAAACATAATGAAGGTTTTTTCTTCAACTTAATTGCCATTTGGCGCAAAGTGAGATATTTTGGCGTTTGATTTATTCAAAACATGAAAAAGTACTCGTGTTAATGTCAGTGAGAGAGGTGAAGGGTAAAAAAAGTCTACTATTTTCGGTACTGGTTTCGCTATACCCTCGAAACCGCTGACCTTCAATGATGATGCGGATACGACTAAGTGATACAACTAAATTGTTTTCAAGATCTCTTACAAGAAACTTCTAACGATACATCTACTACCATGCACTAAAAGATCGATTTAAATTTTATTTTCAGAGGGGACATAATCAGTCCTTTCAGCGTGACAAAACGTGTAACAAAAACAATTGTCGGCGAGTTGACCAAATGTGTCGGCGAAGTGACCGGTATCAACCCGCAAAGGAAAGGTCCGCAGAGTGTAACGCATAGGCGAGGTTTCTAAATTCCGAGAAGGGATTGAGGAAGTTTGCTATGCATAGTGTTTTAATTTTCGCCCTTAAGGTTTTCCAAGTGATATTTCTTCATCGATTTTTCTCAATTGATGCTGGTAATCATAGATAAATTTTGATGGGTCCAGTCTAAAGCCAATATACCTGCAACGGTTAGATCTGCTATTTAGTGAATGAACGCCCGTCCACAAGAACACGCTTTTCAAGTCCATCTGTGTCTTCTGTTTGGACTTGACCAACCTTTAATTTGAATCACAGGCCATTAAGTGAGACGGCGTGTTTGGGAAGAAGACGACGTGAGGATTACAGAACTATTGAAGTCGGGTATCAAACCTTCTCCTATTTAGATAAAAGTAATCTTTCCTGGAAAAATAATCATACCAACTCCCTACTTTAAGTTGACAGGAATCGCGGTGAGGGTTTCAAAGAGATTAAAAAAAACTACCAGAGAAGACTGTCACCAAAACTTTGAATATTAAGTACATTATCACGTTACAATACATAGTTGTGCTCGCGTGCTACAACAGCAAAAACAATAATCTCAATTCAAAAATATACGAATTATTCGCACGCTACACTACAAAAATGGTCTTGAAAAAGAAAAGGAACGCTCCAATTTAAATTGAATTAATCATCATTTATCAGAGGATTTAAATATTGCTAGCAAGCACTGCTGTAAATTCACTATAAAATTGTGCTTATGGTAAAAGAACCTTCCCTTAAAGTATACCGATTTTTTTTGTGTATTTGACCATCCGTGGCTGTCTCAGAGACGCACTGCGCTAGTAATGGAGAAATATTTCCTTTCAATACAACTTCTACGATAGAGAAACTCGTACACCTAAATAAAGATTTGCCCGCAGAACCGCAGATTGTACGGTTTTTCTTATTCAGGTGAGCAGAAATAAACGCAAAGCGAGCGCTGGCCAAGCGTAACAGAAGGAGCTCGAGAAAAATGACTCCTTCCGATCACGCATGCCTCGCCCTTCAAGTTTGCCTCCGCGCGCCTGTACAATGAAAGACAATTTCGCCCGTTCTGCAGGTTATATCAAGAGGTGCAACGACTAGTATCACTTTTCTTTTCATTTGCATCCGTTCCCAATCAAGATGGGAACGGTCAATTTAAGCGACCGATTTTACCAGAGTAAATTGACGAGGGTGGCAGGAAACTAAAGTTCAGTATGCTTCGATATCTGAATCATTAATATCTTCTTCATCTTCAGCTTCGTCAGGATCAAACGTTACCAGAGAGGAAGGAGAAGATCCAGAGGGGTTCAGTCGTTCGGTGGCTTCCAGAGCCACAGGGAAACGCTGATGGTAGCGCTTCAAAGTGAGATACTTGACGGCAACAAGACGACCTGCAAATCAAAGATTAAACCCACCGTTAGCGGGAAAATAATTAACTCTCAGTAAATGTCGCGTTTTCTTTTTTCGGAATTCCAGTGACAAATGAGAAAGTTCATCCAACCGATCCGTTTACAACCTCTCGATAAGGACTAATTTGATCAAAAGTAAATCCTTCTGATTCCTATGGTATAGGCACCAAAAAGAGACTGAACTAAATTCTAAAATTAAACTCTGCAAAACCTTACCATCAAACCAACATCCGTGGAGACTTCGAAAGGCCAGGCCTGCTGAACTGTGTGTGTCACACTTAACATACACACATCCCTGAAAGAAATATACCGGTACAAACCATAACTATGTATTTCACGAGTCAAGATGGGTGTTGCGGCTGGTCGACGCCCAGCCGTCGCTTGGTAACCCAAACGGGACATTTAAGTTTTTGTGCATGCGCGGTACCGAGTTTAAACCTCTTTATCACGTTTATTTTTTCGATTTTCTTGGTCTCAATGTTAGGTTAAACAATGTAAAATTTTTTGAGAGTTTCCTCAAAGCCTTCGTGGCGGATTTTGGATTAAAGGTTCATAATTCAAATGTTAGTCACAGTTCGCGGCAATAATAGGAAACATAGGAAGAAGAACAACACAAAAATTACGAAGGTAAAAAAATGTATCGTACCTCGCTGGAACTCTTATCCACTGCTATGTGAACAACTCCTGCTCCATTCTCAATGCACTTTTCTAATATGGCATCTTCAATCATCACATGCCAGCCATCTTCAGTTTCGCTACAACAGTCAACATGCGATCAGAACAGGTAAAAGATGAGATCATGGAGAAATTTGGGGAGGGTAGTGTGGAGCGTCTAGCCCCTCGTTTTATTCAAATTAACTCTCAACACCCTAACATCAGTATCCATATTCTCCATACTATTCCTTACACATTTCCTTTGGTATTGAAGAGGAGAATTCGTTTGACAATCAAAGGTTGTTGGGTTGGTGATCATTTCCTTTATTCTCATGATCCTACCGAATGATTCAGCAGTATTATGGTTGGGAGAAATTAGATGCCGGTCACTCTTACAAGGGTTAATAGGGTAAGGGACCAGTCCCCTTGTAATATATCTACTGAAATTTCTAGGCACAAATGAGAAGTGAGAAATTGGAATTTTGAAATCTAACTCCACCAATTCTTCTTCGTTGGTGAAAACTCTTGTTGATTATGCATCACTTTTTACATGCAGCATGGGAAATGATTTATTGAAGATGCTTGTATTGAACATAAAATCTTAATAGAGAAATTTCATTACTGAACAACTTCAAATAGAAAATATGAAATTTGGTTGCCATGAAATGAAAGAAAAACATGATCTTGTGACGAAATGACAACCTAATGCAGTAATAACATAAAAAAAGAAAGATCCTACTCTACACAACCACAATGTATAATTATAACACAACTGTAATTGTTAATGTTGTACTTACACATCTGGATCAAACATGTTCCTTATTTTCAAACAGGGTGTTGGACTGATCACAGGAGGATTAACAGCAGACTGGAAGTTTTCAAATGCTGCAAAATGATGTTAAATAACTAAAAAAGGATCCCATCACATTGGCATTTGAGCAAATCATTTCTTAACCCTTTAACTCCCAAGATGTAATTCTAAATTCTCCCTACACTTGCTACACATTTCTTTGTGAATTAGTGTCAAGTGTTTGGTTTTAGATCTAGATAAAAACTTGTACCTGATAAGTTTAGGTATTCTCATTACTTGCTTGTTATATATTGTACAAATATCATAGAGAGAAGTTAATACACTTTAATCATGTCTGGGAGTTATAGGGTTAAACAAAAAAGAGAAATCAGAGATTTCACTGTCACAGTCACAGCCATCTTTTCATTTAATCTCATGACTTTAATAAGTGATTCAGCCGTGAGAATATAAGGAGAAACTGCATCCTTATCACTCTCAAGGGTTTAAGGGTCAATAAGTCTGTAATATCAAATTAAAGGAAACAAGTAGCAACTAGAAACAAAACTGAAATATCTAAATCACCTTGTCCTTGCCAATATTTGCCGCGTTTTGTGCCCTGTAGGATAGTAATTGTAAACTATCAGTTCAGCACTCTAGATACAGTTTTTCCTTACAGCTGAACCAGGCCAAGCTCAAGAACCTCCTCTATTAGGTTTGAAAATTCAGTTGTAAATATCAAATTAGTGTCCTTTTCCGCCATATACATGTAGTCACAGCAAAACAAAATATCACAAGGAAATGATGAAAGTTACTAGTTAAAGTGAAAACTACCAGACTGCCCAAGAAACAAAGAGGGTGAAAGTTGAGGTTGTTTACAATCTTACATCAGATTAGTTGAGAGGGTGTCAAAAGTTTCTTAAAGTAGTCACATTGATATAATTTAATCACTGCCTCTATCAAATTTAAAAAATTGCATTTCTGCAGAGGAAATACACTTACCGAAAGTGACAGTTTGGGGCTGTGAGGTTTAGGTGTAGCAATGTGGATCCACCGCCAAACTTCAAAATCCTCTCCAGCTATCCTTTGACTTTCCACACGGATGCGTGATTCATTTGCACTCAGAAACCTCACTGCTCTAGTCCATGCTTTAAACTTCTTCTGTCTGTTCAAAATGAAAAAGAAAAAAAAAATGGATTCTATATCAGAACAACAGCCAAGTAAAAGTTAGGTTGTCTGTGCTCATGCTAAATGGCCCATACAGCCTAAGCTTATACCGATTTACATAACAAAAAGCAACAAGGAATATTATTGCCCCCAAGCATTTCATCAGGCAATTTGCCAGTACCCATTTACACTCCTGGGCAGATGTAGGCACTGTGGAAAAAAAAAGAAGTGTTTGGCCCAAGAACACAACACAATGACTTGCGCAAGTCTTGAACCCAGACCTCTCAAAGGGTGTCACAGTCAGCCATTAGGTGACTGTGGAAGAACAATGAAGGTACTTTAAAATTCCCAAAGTGCAAAAGAAGCCACTGGGCCGACACTCAAAACTACAAAAGTGTCTGAGTCCTTCAGTACACCATTCAACAAAGCAACTATGTGACTGCAAGTAAATTAAATTGTTTGTTGGCTAACCTTTCAGTAGGAGGAATTAACATGTCCCTAACATGAGGAATTGGAAGATATGGCAGCAAATTCTTCTCAGTTTTGCTTGCCTCGTGGTGCTCCCGTAAAATGTCTTAAAATGGAAAAATTGAGCTCATTTGTGAACAGTTAAAGGAAAGATTCAACTTTGCTGAACAAGAGACAATTATATGTGAATGCAGCAAATCTGGGGGAAAAACCTGTGAGAAGTGGTTTCATTTAATCTTGTAAATAAGCATTATTGACCAAGCATGATGTAGAGATGACTGAATATTGGCCAAGTTCTTTTCTGCATTTGTAGCTTCCAAATTTGCGAGAGTCCTCTATGCTTCATTTGTTTTGCCCATCTTCAGTCCCTTTTGCTCCATCTCAGACATTGTCCAAAAGTTATGAACTTTGTAGGTCTGCTCCACAAAACTTTTTTTTCTTTGCGTGGAATCAATGCAGACAATTGCAAGTGAGCCAGATGGGCCCGTCTAGCTTGCTCAGGTAGCCAATCAGAACCCAGTATTCATTTCATATTGCCCATGAGCACTGCCAGCTATATAAATAAATACATTTATTCTCCTATGCCTTTAAGTTGAGCTCCATTTTCATGAACATGACAAAGGTATTCATGGAATTTTTGAGATGCTACCCAAAACTCGAAACACAAACACTTTTACCAGCATTGTGGAGATACATTAAAATTTTTTAAACATCAAACTGGCATGCTAGTAAGCATGTGCCATATTTCAAAGAAAAATAACAACTCAAGAAACTAAATCCCTTAAACTACAAAAATACTGTCTTTCAGGGAAATGAAAGTGTATAAAAAAGCCTCAAAGTCTAAATTATCAGAAAATAAAAACTCAACACTAAAAACCTTGCACCCACCAATGATTTTTTCCACAAACTGGTACATCAGTCTGGTCTCTTCTTCTTCTCTTCTCCATCTTTGTCGCACAATAAAATATGCAATCATCAACCCTCCAATGGCTAGAGACAAAAACAAAGCACAGGGCGACTTTTAACAAGAAAAACTCAGCATGAAAGTTAGTTCAATGTGGCCATTTCTGTGAGAATGTCCATGAAATGTCTGAAGTCATTATGCTTGCTTTTGAAAAGGCACAAACATATTTCATTGAGCCAATAACCCTGTAAGATTGTTTACCATAAAAAGAAAGAAACTCAACATCTGCTTGGGAGTCTTGCCATCACTTGTAGCGTAAACTAGACATCCATGCTATAGGGGCCAAAGGAGAACTGTCAAAGCTCTTTTATTTAATGCTAGACTCCATTGCACCTTCTTGGCTTACCATTAGCTTTTCTTGAAATCACTGAGCAGAGTATTAATCAAATTTGAAAGCAACTCCCATCTTAACAAATATCAACATAAAATATAGTAATAACACTTTAAGACCTGCCCCAAGAAATTGGTCTCAGAAGAAAATACTCTCTGTGGCATTTAAAATGTCTGGATCTAGCAACTTTTACAGTTAGTTTAAACTTACTTACCAACACTGATCAAGAGAGAGAGATATGCCAAGTGCGATACTGCTTCTTTGATGCGACAAAATATAGGTTTTGCAGAGACTGACGTATCGATCCAGGCCACACTTTTGACATTAGGTGCTCTCTCACTTATATTGTTAAACAACCTAATGAAATCATACAATACATTATACATAATGACCATGAATACATGAATGATATATATTTGACCTGCAGATTAATAAAAGAAGATAAGAGAGATCATTGCCATTAAGAACACTAATTATTTTAGGCAGTAGTGAAAATACAGCCTGAAAAGAAAAAACTACCCGTAAATGCATGAATTTTTTTTTCAGCTTTTTTTGCTACTACTTAAATAGTGTTCATAAGTTGATTACAGCAATAAACAAGCACTTTTGGGAGCACAATTGAACATTTAAAAATATTAGAATATATGTTTCTCAGGAACTATGAAACCCAGCCTTGTAAAAATGACATGTTACAGCACTGACTTCAAAAATTAGATGTCAGTGTTCAGTAACAGTTACAAGAATTTACAGCAAACTTTATTTGATATCTCTTTCAAAAGCATTTTGATGTAAATACTGTACTTTAAATTGAATTTCTGATTCAAATGATTTATGCCTACATTGAATTTTGTTTCTGGTAATCAGCATACTCTATAAACCAAGGAAATAACAAATGAAACTCAGTAGTTTGAAGTAGTTTTGACCTTAACCCTTTAACTCCCATAGGTGACTAACATGTAAATTCTCCTTATAACATCCACACATTTTCCAGCCAACATGTAATGAGAATACTCAAATTTATCAGGTAGAAGTTAATAGTCTTGATCTCACACCAAATTCTTGTGACTTATTTACGAGGAAATGTGTAGCAGCTAGAGAGGAGAATTTAAAATAAGATCTTAAGATTTAAAGGGTTATAGATTTGATCCTCCTTGTCTACCCTTTAGGATAAGAAACCAATGAAGAAATGTTAAAGACATTGTCAGCTACAAGGAAAAGTGAAAATGCTTGTCGAGACCACAGAAAGGTTTCTCAATTTTGTCATCTACATTCCCCTTGGGCTTTCAAACTTGTTTTGGGGCTTTCCCAGTTCAGAACTTCAACAAAAACCACCACATGCCATTATGTCACACTACCTTAATTTCCAATCAGGGTTATCAAGAATCAGCTGTAGTGCTGTGTGAAGGATTTGAATCTGATCATCTGGATTTCGTAAAGGCTGCAAAGCAAGAATTGGCAAAGCACTGAGTTCAATGAGCAGTGACTTTCTTTAAGCAGTGAGCCTCTGACATAAGTGCTTACTTCTGAAGTTTGCTTGCAAATTCTGATGGTAAAAAACCTCGCAGAACTAATGACTCTCCCAATACTGCATCCTCAAAATGCAAAAGTAACATGGGTTTTTTACTTGAGAATTCTATACCACAACACGGAAACGAAGAAACTAGTGTTGGTTTTCATAATTTAAACATGTTCTTGGTTTCAATTTATTCAGGCCCTTCCTCTACAATATAAAAACTGTTCTTTCAACTGTGGTAGAGGAAATTCCTTGAACAATGTGAAAAATTTTCATCATCAACACATCCATTTATTGCCTCACATAAAAAAAAATATTAACTACCAGTCTAATGACTTGGCAAAAATATCTTGTAAAAATTGATATTTACTTACATTATCCTGTTTTATTTGTTTTTGTAACTCTCCAAATGAGATATTTCTACTCTCCACACTTGGATCTCCACATTCAAATAAACCTAAAAGGAAAAATAAAATACTATTTAAAACTCTCCTACAATTGACTTTCCTGAAATAAAGTCAACAGTTTTTCTAGTTACATGGAAGGCTTTACTGGAATGTACTCCCTGGAGCACCAGAATACTGGAATATACTCCCTGGAGCACTGGAATACTGTACTATACTCTCCTTGCCATGGTTATTCCAAGGGTGGATAATGCTATTTACTGCCTGAAACTCTATCTAGTGGATACCCCTGAACCTTTTTTTAACATGTCTCCGCTGGATAGGGATTTATGTGTTAGATAGCATTATCCACCCTTTGCAAAACTGAGCCAAAAACGTTAATCCTCTCTGATGTAGGCGATCCCCTGAAAGTCCTGTAGTTTCCCTTCAAAGATTTTGGAACCCATCCATACTCGTGGTTGAAAATAGAACAAAGAGCCTTAAGTAATAACCTGAAAACAAAACACACTCACTTGGGACAACTTAAGTGCTAAAACTTTTAACACAGAGCCCAGCTTGCTAGCAGCAACTACAGCTTACCCTATCACTCATCTCTAAAATATCTTAAGTTCTCTCACCTGCTCTGATAATAAGTCTTTTGTACAGAAAGTCTACATATCCCTTGCTGATATTGGTTAATGTTATACAATCAGGATGCTATAAAGCAATTACATGAAATAGGAGTGAATAATGAAAATTAAAAACATAAACTAAAAACATAGAGTATAACCAGATTTACCTTCAACTCTCAAAAGTGATTAACATGGTACTTCTCTCCACAACATTCATTACACTATCCAGTAAACAGGTTATGAGAACATTCAAATTTATCAAATGGTAGTTGTTATCTTCACCTTACACCAAATTTTCATCACTAATTTACAAGGAAATATGTAGCGGCTAGCTGAGAGAAACATTAATCAGATCTTCAGAGTTAAAAGGTTAAAAAGGAAGGTAAATTTGAGCTTTTTCATCAACCAAAAAGAGATGTTGTCATTTATCACAAACACTGTGAGCAGAGTCTGTTCGAAATGGTGATTTTTTTTTCTTTTACCTCAAAAGCCAGACAAGATATTTAACACATCACACCAGTCATTAAAACTTCACAAACAAAATAATCATTTAATTATGTGCACCCTTGGGGACCTACCTAAAATAATGGAGACTATTAATAACTAAATGTGAAGTTGAACACTTCAATTAAGTTTGAATTCCACTGAGAAATTATGTTGTCAACGTTCAAATGTAGGTAACATTTGGGTAAAAATAGCTGCAGTGACAAATATATTATGCTATATTAATTAACAAGTCGATAAGAGATCAAACTCACGAGCAATTATCATTTTGTATATCATATAATCATTGTTACCTTGGGTTTATTCCCACATACATCCAGTGGATTTTTCCCTTGGCAAACTGTGAGTTTCACTAAGGAAGAGAAATGAAGTCAGCAAGTCTTATCACATAAGTCAGAGACTAAACTAATTAATAAATAAAAACCACAATTACAGCAAAAGGTCTAAAATTAGAGCATCGTTTTTTCAACGATTAAGAAGTGTATACACTTCGAAATGAAATACATTTATCTCTAATGAGTGGTAGATAACTTGCTAAAATACTTGAATGCACAAGATACGATTGGTTGATTAGATGATAAAACAAAACCGAAAAGGCGATATTACGACGATATTCTCACCTAAGTCTGCAAGGATCATTTGTTCGCTTGAGTGGCCCTTGAAGGTCGCATACAACAAAAGAGGAATGCAAATAGCACTTATTAGTAGTAAGATCTTAGCAATTGATGACCAAGAGGAGCTATTCTTCGCACGTTTGGCTCCAGTATGTCTCTCTTGAAGTGAAGAGCTTAGTTTAGATTCGGTAGAAGAGAAATGTTTGTTGCTGCCATTGGTGGATGAAAGCGTAGTTTCTAATCCTTCACTTTCGTCTTGAGATCTTCCGCGTTTTGTCGAGACGGGTGGACGAGAATAGTCAGTTGAACCAACAACTCGACCTCCTGGTCTTTGATAGCTTTGCGCATCGGAATCTGAAAATTCTCCATCAATACCATCCGTGGAATCTAACGTGTTCACAGCAATGCTACCCTGATCGATGACGGTCGTTACGCGCGACCTCAAATTGTTCCTCCTTGATGGAGTAATCGACCTCGACCGGCTGCGTCTCTGGGAAACGTTACTAAACGACGTTTCTTCTCCACGCCTAGCCCTGCTATCATCAACTAAACTACTTGAATGAATTGGTCCTGCGTCTTCCTCGTCACTAGAAAAGCCGATCAACTTACGCGACGGACTTTGATTTCTCGTTGCGGGTATCGACCTGCGGGCGATAGTCGATCGTTTGGGAGAGGACTTTTTCGGAGGCGTCGCGTTGCTTCCTCGTTCATTCTGTAACCTTTTTAATTTACGAAGTAGCAAGCCCTTGGTAGAGGGTGTAACAGGCCCTGGCTCTTCACCTAAAGCCTTAAGTTGGCGGCGCAATTCGGCGTCAGAAATATTACCGTCTGAGGCCGCCATTATCAAAAGACTTGTTCAGAAGGCCAGGTTACACTGGAAATAGCTATTTTTGGGCAGGACCGCTGAGCATTTGTCATTCTTGCCACGCCATTGCCACGCCTACAATTTTTACCCCTGATGTACCGCAAGGCTGAATAGTCCCCAAGTAGTCCCCGAAATAGGCAACTTCTATAGATTGATGATACAGCGTTCTTGTTGAAAAGTTTATTTTTAGATCGCTTATTTATTTTTCTTATCCTCCGGGAAAACAGTGACTTCCTTAGCGGATTGTATTGGTAAAATGATATCATAACAGAATGCTATTTTTGAACTATCTTTAAAGCTGTCATTTGGAGACAGTCGACAGTGCCACGAGTGAAGTTTCCAACGCCAACTTTCCTGATTAACCGAGAAGAAATCGGGTAAACGCTTAACTACATCCACCATATTGACGCCCGACATTTCAATGACATTATTCAAAACAACTATCATCACGCCATAAACAAGAGGTCTCAGATCATGCCTGCCTAGGCACGGCAAGGACAAGAAAGAATTCTATAAAAAATCCTTTTCCGATAAAGAGGTTAAAATCCAAGGTCCGTAACTTAAAATTTAATGAACGTATCAAATGAAATAAAATATTTTGCTGTACATAAATATTTTGAAAAGCCTAAGGAAAACAGGCAACATTGATTTGTCATATTGAATTGGGAAAAAAACTTGAGTGTCCGCCAAAGTGTTCATGTCAAACCCAATGTCAAAGTCAAGGTCTCTAAACGCGATTGGCTATTGATTAGATCACACATGTTGCATCGCGTGTGTGTACAGACAGGGAGATTAAACCGGCCATGTTTGATTTGGAGTTAGAATTGACGGTAGGGGAGGGGTTGGGGAAAGCGAAATAATCTCAACCTTCTGAGAGACGTTTCATAAAACGCCTTTGGTTTCTTTTCGTTGCTATCACTGACTCTTCGTGGTAAGAGATAAAAATCAGGAACATAGAAGGTTCGTAAGTCATGAAAACAAACACTTGTTAATCTCTCGCACTCGTGATAATGTCCTGATGAAAGCTGATATGCAGTGAGTGCATTAAGTTCAGTTTTAACCCTTTAACTCTTAAGATCTGATTTTTAATCCTCCCCTCGAGGTGCTACACATTTCCTTGTGAAGAGAACTTGGTGTTAGATCAATAAAGCAACTTCTACTTCATAAGTTTGCGTATTATTATTACCTATTTGATGGATAGTTCGTGGATATTATAGGGAAAATTAACATGTTAATCACCTCCGAGAGTTTAAGGGTTGAGTGGGAAAATGATGGAGAGATATTAATATTTCACTTTATGTCGAAGAAGGTCAAATGTGGAAAGCATTGTTTTGTGTTCTCTTTTTCTGTTTTATTATTTTCCGTAGTAATCTTCAGACGAGTTTTCAAAAATCCAAGCAGAATAACACACCGAGGACAGGCGGCGATCAATTAACTCAATTTTGAAATATTTATGAGATACAGAATTAATCGAGTCAAGAACAAACGAATTTATGACGTCGGAGAGCAATAGCGTTGGTGGGGAAAAAAAACAGTTTTAATACCGCGCAGCAATAGCTCTGTAACTGCGTTTTTCTCTTGTGTTTTTTTTGCTGGACACAGTATTTTCACCTGAGCTGCGGGGAGCGATTTTCTTCACATTGAACATTAAAACCTACGGTCCAATAAGTAGAAAGTCAACTTGTTTTAATGTATCTGACTACAAGTGTTTTACCACAGGCAAGTAACCCATATCGAGGCTGCTTGACGTCAGTTTCTTGAAACGCAGGTAGAGGTGATTAATTTGCTGCGGTCGATCTCGGCTTGATTCAAGCGAACGACGAAAAAATAAAGCTCATAATGATGACCTTTAATCTCAAAATCCTTTTACTGGATGTCAGATATATAAAGTTTCTTTAGCTTCCGTTTTCTTTGTGTGATTTGATGGGTTTCGAGGACAGTTCATTTGATTTTCCCTTCTTTACTGACTCCCCTTCAAGCATAAATAGGCGTCAGAGAAAAATTGGGAAATTAATCCCGTTTAAAACTGAGGCTTTTACAGACAACAAGCTCACGTATCATTAGTATAACAATTCATCTCAGATTGTTTTACATCATTGTACAAACTGCTAGAACTAATAATTATCTCTCTTTGGAAAATTTCCTTTGAAATGTAAATCAACTGTTTTTTTTTTGTTGCTTGCCAAGAACTTAATATGTTAACTTCTTTAAATCTTCTGACATGATTTTCAATTCTCTCTTATAGCATCTAAAAAGTTCCTCGCACATTAAGAGGATTAAGAGGATTCATTACGTCAAGACAAACCCTATAAGTGATAATTTGGTCAATTCTCAAATTCTTGTTTTCTGAATAATGAATGAATAATGCAGGGAGAAAGGAGAAGTTGCATATTAATCATTTCTGCAGGGTAAGTAAAGCCGGAGTAAATGTAGTTGTTGCGTCACTTCGGCAGAACGGCAGAACGCTCGGTTTATCACGTGATCACACATTAGAGTCGTTCGCCTTAGTCAAATTTGCATCATCATCTTCCGTTTGGCAATAATACTTCTTGGTTTCCGGCATAAACTTTGGATCTCCTCCAAGCTTGTTTCCTTGCACATTTACGTCGACAACTCTCCTGATTTTGCGAAATTTGAGGATTCTTTTAAATTCCGTGGCAAAGTCTCCATCTATGGCCGCAATAATTAGCGGTTTCACGCGATGTGAGACGTTGAAGAGAAAAGTGCTCAACAAATAGATTGAGCGCGGGAGACACTTTTCGTTTGTGAATGCGTCGGCAACGTCGCAAACGTAACCAGGGACCCGGAAAAAAAGAGTTCCTAGTATAAAAGCAGCTAGAAGCTTTGTTTTATTTTCTTCGTCTTTCCAAGCATTTAAATTTTCCATTCGCCCTTCTTGAGCCCAAAGTTTCGGATCTTTGAATCTCCGCTGAATATTTAATTTCGCATAGGCGAGGTTTCTAAATTCCGAGAAGGGATTGATGAAGTTTGCTATGCATAGTGTTTTTAATTTTCGCCCTTAAGGTTTTCCAAGCGATATTTCTTCATCGATTTCTCAATTGATGCTGGTAATCATAGATAAATTTTGATGGGTCCAGTCTAAAGCCAATATACCTGCAACGGTTAGATCTGCTATTTAGTGAATGAACGCCCTTCCACAAGAACACGCTTTTCAAGTCTATGGGTGTCTTCTGTTTGGACTTGACCAACCTTTAATTTGAATCACAGGCCGTTAAGTGAGACGGCGTTTTTGAGAAGAAGAAGACGTGAGGATTACAGAACTATTGAAGTCGGTATCAAACCTTCTCCTATTTAGATAAAAGTAATCTTTCCTGAAAAAATAATTATAGCAACTCCCTTCTTTAAGTTAACAGGAATCGCGGTGAGGGTTTCAAAGAGATTAAAAAAAAACTACTAGAGAAGACTCTGTCGCCAAAACTTTGAATATTAAGTACATTTTCACGCTACAATACATAGTTGTGCTCGCGTGCTACAACAGCAAAAACAATGATCTCAATTAAAAAATATACGAATTATTCGCACGCTACACTACAAAGATGGTCTTGAAAAAAACGAACGCTCCAATTTAAATTGAATTAATCACCATTTATCAGAGGATTTAAATATTGCTAGCAAGCACTGCTGTCAATTCACTATAAAATTGTGCTTATGGTAAAAGAACCTTCCCTTAAAGAATACCGATTTTTTTTTTGTGTATTTGACCATCCGTGGCTGTCTCAGAGACGCACTGCGCTAGTAATGGAGAAATATTTCCTTTCAATACAACCTCTACGATAGAGAAACTCGTACACCTAAATAAAGATTTGCCCGCAGAACCGCAGATTGTACGGTTTTTCTTACTCAGGTGAGCAGAAATAAACGCAAAGCGAGCGCTGGCCAAGCGTAACAGAAGGAGCTCGAGAAAAATGACTCCTTCCGATCACGCATGCCTCGCCCTTCAAGTTTGCCTCCGCGCGCCTGGACAAGGAAAGACAATTCCGCCCGTTCTGCAGGTTATATCAAGAGGTGCAACGACTAGTATCACTTTTCTTTTCATTTGTATCCGTTCCCAATCAAGATGGGAACGGTCAATTTAAGCGACCGATTTTACCAGAGTAAATTGACGAGGGTGGCAGGAAACTAAAGTTCAGTATGCTTCGATATCTGAATCATTAATATCTTCTTCATCTTCTGCTTCGTCAGGATCAAACGTTACCAGAGAGGAAGGAGAAGATCCAGAGGGGTTCAGTCGTTCGGTGGCTTCCAGAGCCACAGGGAAACGCTGATGGTAGCGCTTCAAAGTGAGATATTTGACCGTAACAAGACGACCTACAAATCAAAGATTAAACCCACCGTTAGCGGGAAAATAATTAAACACATCCCTGAAAGAAATATATAGTACAAACCATAACCATGTATTTCACGAGTCAAGATGGGTGTTGCAGCTGGTCGACGCCCAGCCGTCGCTTGGTTACCAATACGGGACATTAAAGTTTTTGTGCATGCGCGGTGGCGGGCATCCTGGAACGGTGCCACGAGGGCACCGAGTTTAAACCTCTTTATCACGTTCATCTTTTCGATTTTCTTGGTCTCAATGTTAGGTTAAACAATGAAAAATTTTTGAGAGTTTTCTCAAAGCCTTTGTGACGGATTTTGGATTAAAGGTTCATATTTCAAATGTTAGTCAAAGTTCGCGGCAATAATAGGAACATAGGAAGAAGAACAACACAAAAATTACGAAGGTAAAAAAATGTATCGTACCTCGCTGGAACTCTTATCCACTGCTATGTGAACAACACCTGCTCCATTCTCAATGCACTTCTCTAATATGGCATCTTCAATCATCACATGCCAGCCATCTTCAGTTTCGCTACAACAGTCAACATGCGATCAGAACAGGTAAAAGATGAGAACAGGGAGAAATTTGGGGAGGGTAGTGTGGAGCGTCTAGCCCCTCGTTTTATTCAAATTAACTCTCAACACCCTAACATCAG